AAATATGGCACCGTGGCTGCTTATCCTGCCATAGTGATCTCCTGATGATGATGCCTTATCACTTATTATTGAAGTAGTCTGCGTGTCATTCCTCTGTAAGGACAGACAAGAAATATAAATCCTTTGTTGCCGTGGTTGGTTCTGACTTTGTTGCCACAAGAATTAAAAAGAAAAAACAACAAAGAAACAAAACTGATAACTTTGAAAGCTATTTGATTTTTTCTAATTTACCTATTTATTCAAAAATATTTCACTTTGAGTGAAAGGTTGTGTGACTGGGGCAATACGGATAAATTACTATATCTATGAATCAAATATGTTATTTACGATAAAGATAAACACTACAATACTGGCGAAGACATATACAACTCTTCCAGGTTTAAAACATCTACAGAACATCAATTACAATGACCACACCATATGCACATTTCAAGTACATTAATTCATCCACATCAAGTGAAGAAAAGTATATTGTGTGCTACATGAATGCTACAAAGTGTAAGAAGTACCATTTGATCCAACATGTGTGGTGCACTTTAAGGGATGCTAAAGAGCAAAACGATATTTTGCGTTTTAGTAAAGCACAACTTCACAATCCCGAAAACACCACTCTCACCGCGGCTCGAGGCTTAGTAAGCAAGAAACCACACAAAAAAGAAATGAGGGTGGCAACGCCGTTTTGAGATTTCCGCACCAAACACAATTGTATGAAAAATACAAATATCAGCAGGCCACTAAAATTGGAAGACAAACAATGGTGTCTGCTATTGCTTTATGACAGCATCTGTTACCTTTTCTCACAGCCTGGTTACCGATTACAGGTCAATAAACTTTATCTAAAAGAATGATGCTGGTGAATTAAAACTTTTCAGGAAGATTTTATTTTGGGGCACTTTATCTGTACAACGATATTTTCATATTAGGCTAACCCTCACACAATCAAAATGCCACTCACCCACATATTGGTGTTTTCTTATAGCACAGTGCCAATTAGAAAGGTTGTGTAGGCAATGTTGCAAAATATATCTTCGGGTGATATTTTAGCAAACTCTTTGAGCTTTCGAACATTTTAGCATGTGTGCGTTAATGTAAGTAAATGGCTGTGCTCCTATTCACAGCATTCCCTGTGCTGTAATTCATTTCTTCAGTTTGGCACAACACTACTGTTGGCACAAGGAGAAGTCATGGAAGGCAGCACTGGTGCTAGGTTGCTGCAAAGACACGTTAATGCCATTTTTAGCCACCTCTGACACCAAGCAAGCTAGGTGTGAGATGTGCAGCTTCGTTTAATGACCCCTCTATGTCAATTCCATATAGTATTTGGGTCATCGCAACTGTGTGATGACGAGTCTTTTTTCAGGTGCTGCTTCTGCCAGTAATGGAAGACAGCGGTGCATATATCATCTGGGAGTGATAGTGCACCAAAGCATCCCTATCTCTGGATTTAAAGATTTCGAGTTTAATTGTGAAAAGTTTTTGTCAAGTTAAACACTTTGAATGATGGTAGGCATGAACGCTTAAATGTGAGCACACATTGTAAGCTCATTGTAGCTCTGATCATTGGGAGACTTTTGTTTGGCTTTCGTCTTGGTCATTGCATTGTTTTTCAAAAGTTCTAGAAGCAGAATGGCTCTGTGATACCCTGATTTTTGATGTGTTCATTAAACTAAAAAATCTACATGTGTATTTCGTACAATGACTTGGGTTTGTATCTTACTACTTGAGCAAAGGCATCTTGTGCTCAGTGCTGCCTTATTTTCATTTTTGCCAGCATTAGTGGCCAAATGCTGTAGCGTGCTGAACCGTTCACATTGTCTATCTAAGAACAAAGAAACTGGCTGCAGTTCTGACAAAATTGCCTGTACTTAATATGAGTGCACTTACACTGGAAACCGTGCCATTCAAAATTGGGAAGATGGGTTTTTCTAGTGGCTTCTTCTTCTTGCTGGTTGTCACCAGTGCCACTGGTGTTTTACTGCTGATGGCAAGTGCTGTCTGTAAGATGACTATGTTTGTAACATGCTCTGCCGTCGCCAACCACATATAGTTCCTTCGGCATCCGGCATTTGCATTCCATTGTGGCATTGCTTCATGTACCAAATAAACAGTTCAGGCAACGGGACACAAGAAGAATCGTGGGCACTGGGCAACAGATTAATATATCAGAAGCACCCATTTCATGCTCCTGACATACAGCGTGACATAGCTGCTTATAATGTTTTGTAATTACAGACAGTAGCTGGAGACTGTTGTACATTTTTGGTAAATGGCTGAGAGACCTACGAGTTAGTGCCTGAACGATGACGATGGATGGATGACAGCACAAAGTAGGCGCAAAGAGAATTTTCAAGTATTTGAATGACACTGTCGGAGAGACCACAGTGTTATTGATGAAGTAAGACATGTTAATTGGAATGCTTGTGGAGAAATAAAATCACTTAGCATTATGACTTTTTGATGTTACAATGCTATTTGCTTGCGAGAAAGTGCTGTAGTATATGCTTTTTTCTAGTCCTTAACCTGATAGATGCAGTATGTATGTGCTACTTCATAGAAACAAAAGTGATCTTTCTTCCCACAATGCTCTGGTTAATAAACAGTTTCTGCTTGACTGTGACATCCCACAATGTGTGCACATGCTACCTTCAAGCATTGAGGTTTCTTTATTCTTTGTCACCTTCTTGCATTACCTATTTTACTTCCTTTGTGTTTAGAATGCGGAATTTCCAAGAAAGATAAGAATAATACTTCAGGTAGAACTTATGCTTGCCATCATAAGCGATGCACATTGAGCTCGACAGGCCAGAGGTGTCTTGTGAATTTGTAACTTTTTTGGGGCATAATAACTACACCTTCAGATAACACCATTGTCATGAGACTGTGACATGTTCCCTGTAGTTTTAAATTGTGGCCTTAAACATTATACTTTGAGCCTTTATATAAAAAAAATTTGCATTGAATGCTCAATTCAGGACAATCAAACTATTTGGGAAGGTATGCTATATATATCCTTGTGGCTTCAATCTAACTTGAAGGGGCACTACAAAGAAGGATTTTTTTGCTATTGGTTAATGGCTTTTTCAATTCCAAAATCACCATGTTTTCTGCGAAAAGAGTCTTGGTAAGCAAGAAAACGTGCAAAAAAAAAAAATGCAGGTAGCCACGCCACCTTGAGATTCTCGCACAAAACACTGTGACGGCTTAGGTTTTGACGGCATCTCCTAGTGGCTGCTTAGCTCCTAATCATTAAAAATAAATCAGATTGACCTCTGGGCTGGCTGTATTTCTAACATACCAAGTTTCAGGAAATTTCGTTCTGCCAATGTTGCTAAATTGAAATTCTTTGCATTTAGCTAGGAGATTACGAAGTGAGATTTAAAAATGGTACTTTAGCCTCAATTTTCTCCTCCCGTAACAAGCTTATTATGATGAAATTATTGACATCAGAGTTCTCAGGGAATACTTTATCAATAGAAATGGATTTATTGCTTCACTCCATTGTCCTTTTAAACACGAATGCCCATAATAAACCTTTGGCATTGTGGGACTACTAGTCGCTAGGTCAGTTATACTGTCTCTCGCTTACTCATTTCTTCACATGGCTTCTTTTTCTGTTGCTATAAGCCTTCAAGGGCTGTACATTCTTATCAAGTTAGCAGAATCTGGTTACAGTAACTGGTTGCCAGAAAATGCTGGTATTCTTACCAAGTTATAATGTGATAACTCTGTGGCTCTTGGCTCCACAAAGAAAGGACCAATGCCATGTGAATGTCATGTCACCTGGACAGATGTAAATAAACGCTTCCCTCACATTTGCATTGTACTGTAGAAAGCATGAACAACATCAGTTTTTAATAATCATGTTCAAGACTGCTTACTTTTAATGAAACCTGCAGGGTTTGCTCTTAAAAGCTGTTCATTTTAGCCATTGGCCTCTTTGACAAGGCCCATTGCTTCAGGTAAAAGTCAAAAGAGCTCTCACTGGCTATGTACAAATGTGAGTTTCTTGAAGTGTAGTTCAAAGTCAATTTTCTTAAATATTTGCACTGCAAGAAGTAGCACAGCGTAACCGAAAACTTTGAAATGAGCAATAATGTCTGTTAGCAACGATTTTCAGGCAGTAACAAGTGAATTGGCCGAAAACTTACGTCAGCATCCGCAGACGGTGACTTGGCGTCTTTCCCTGTATTCCTTCTTGAAAAACAATTGCAGGTGACCCTAATCACCAGACGTTCCTCCACTGGCTTGGACCATCGAACTGATGAGAAGGAAATATGAAGCGACATGTTCTGATAGCATGCATTCTTTGTTTTGCCATTAATTGTAGAAGGTCACATATTACTGCTACACACTTCATCATTTTCATTTAAAGATTGCAAACTGATGTATTGCGACATCAGCAGATGACATAGTGTAAAGTGTTGCGAAGCCAACTGTCATGCCAAAGTTTAGATCAAACTTTTCTGACAACTGCACTCAGATGTCAAGAGCTAGTACAATAACAAAATAGATGGTATGACGTGAATGCCATAATTGAGTACATGCAGAATGTGGAGGAGGGTCGCCATGATTTTTTAATAGTTTTGTCTTTGCGCACCTGTTAAAAGACTAATGAAGGTTCCCAGGACAAGGACGATAAATGCACCAAGAAAACTGTACCACAGGTAGGACAAGCGGTAGATGTACTCAATCTGAGAACTGTGAAAAAAAAGAAAGAGAAGACAAGTTATACGACAAAACGAATGGCTTTCAATGAGCCATCACGCACAGGCCATGATGCTTACTGGTCATGGGTCCTGTGAATAACTTGTGCTATGATAAGAGACGTATGCTACCCTGTCATTGCAATAAGACGTCGTGTGTGGTGGTTGCTAGAATAATGCAGTGCAGTATTGCCATCTATGAAAGGCCTTGGCTGTCACTTCGTTTTAATAATTTATATAAAATAATCTTGAATTTAGCTTCCCGCAATTTTCGGCCATCATACGGTGATTGCACGCTTACTTGTGCGCGTCGATGTCGACAGAAGGAAGCGTTGGCTGTTCGAGGCCTGTAGCGTTTAGGTACAGCTGGACACAACCGTCCACCGAGACCGGTGGTCGCCAGTGAAACGGCCTCCGGAGATAGGCGCCCACGCTGATCCAGGACAGCGTGAACACACCGGCCACCAAGCCAGTGACGGCTCCCTATCCGGCACGAGAATTCGATAAAATGTAGTGCGGCCCATTTCATGTGGTTGATAACTAATCTACTGACTTCAATAATTATTGAGTTTCAACATCCCGAAACCACAATATTATTATAAGAGACGCTGTCGGTCTGGAAATTTCGACCACCTGGGGTTCTGTAATGCGCTCCAAATACATGGGCCTCGAGCGTTTTCGCCTCCACCAAAAATACGTGACCTGCTGGTCAGGAGTCTAGCACCATGATCACTAGACCACCGAGGCGGCGTAATGACTTCAGACATAGTCTTTGTGCATTCCCCTCATAAACTGTCCTTTAATCTGCGTGAAGTATGTGACGAAAACACAATGGAAGGTAATGCATATTTAACGTTAATGATACAGTTCCCTTTAGCATCATTGGGAAAACTCTGCAAGCCAGTAGTCAATGAGCATCACGGTGCATTCACATCAAGTGTGGGTGGAAGAAAAAAAAGGCTGCCAGCCTGTTCTGCGAACGTAAATGTTCGGGGTGAAACTGTATCAAAAAAAAAAAAAAAAACCTGCTGAGGGGGGGGGGGTATTATTTATTTCTTTAGTGCACCTTCAACGTTATGGTTGTGATAATTGCTTTGTGGCTGCTGTAGTTGACCGTGATTGGTTCTGTGACCATTGTCAGCGAGATGAATTCGTTTCATTTCGTCGAGCATTGTATTCACACCCTGGTGTACTCAAGCAAAAATGCTACTCGAAAAACGCTTTTTTTAATTTCATTTTTTGCTTTTACTTGCTTTCACAAGTTTAGTCTCTCTGCTTTCATGACAAAAAAAAATTTAAGTGTGTCATAAAACTCGAAGTAGGCTAAAATCGCTTTTAAAGAACACAAAGTGGCTACTCAAAACTAAAAAAAGCTCATTGTCCAGAGTCTTTTGGAAATAGTCACCTGGCTGCTTGAAATTGCATTTCGCATGAGTTCACTAAAGCCACATGCCCAATATAACAATGATTCCCAAGCTCTTATAATGCAAGAAATTATTTCAGAACACATATCTTTTTGCCACACAGATGCACTTTCATTTCTACGTCTAATATGAGTTTTTCGTGAGATGCGATTTCGGCCAGCTTCCTGAATTTGGTAATCATGTTTTTGGTACTTCTGATAGCCGGATCAAGATAAAAATTTTCTCTTGTATTTCTTAACATTTGCGAAGAGTGTAATCATCTCGTTTAAAATGTGATATCTCACATTTAATTATTATGAACTCAAAGTAACTTAATTAGTATTGTCTGAACATTTTCAAAACCTTTCCCAGTACTATATTTTTGTTCATTTAAATGTATTTTAAAGACCTTCCTCATGGTTATTTACATTCTGCAGTTTATGTGGAGCAATATGAACCATTAATGGCCCATAGATATAAAAAGTGTAGGGCAGAAAAAGTTTGTCCAGAAGACTATATTTTACACATTGTCATCGTACAAAATGACAACCATGCAACTTACAATAACACTCAGTACATATTTGAAATCAGCATAAAAACCTATGTAGCAGCAAAAAATTCATTGCCGTACACTACAGATTAAAAAATCTTTTTTTTTTTCTTTTTTAGTAGCATCCCCCTTTAATTTCTGTGGTCTAGCCATGGCAGTCTTTGAATGAACTGATTGTGTTGCTAGACCGATCTCTCTCTTAAATATACAGAAACAAGAAATAAAGACTGTTTGACGTCATTTGAAGGCAACTTGTGAAGTGCTAAGCAGCAACACCCTCAAAAGAAAAAAATTCTTGAGTGTGTTGCTGCTACCAATTTTTACCGGGAAAACACGGAAGGGCATTCCCGTTGTTTATGGACGCCTTATCATCTGGTCTGCATTCGGCTTCAATGCTTGTTTTGGGGTTTTTATTGAAATGAAATGTTCGTGGTTTTTATAGAGCTGTATTGTTTTGTGGCTTGTTTTGCAGTTTTTCTAGAGCTGTATGCCTGATTGCAAAAGAAATATATGTAGTTTGCCTTCGATTGTTTCTCCTAAACCACCCCAGAGGTCGAAATTTAGTTGTCGAGTTGTTGTTGTTGTGCATGAGTCTACAGCAAACCCATTCGTCGGCCCGGCTGTCCACATGTCTGAACGCTTAATGTCCCTTGATGAAAAGGGACCTTACGAACGCTCTTTCTCAGCGTCCAAGGTGAAAACTTCAGGAGCGCGCGCATTTGCTAGCAGAGAAGCGTGCCATTGCGAGCGTCTGTTGTTGGTTTAGGGGAGAAGGAGAAAAAAACATTATTTAAGCTAGCAGTGCCAGATAGCCCTCATCCCCAGGACGTCAGTAGTTGAAGGGGTCACCCGAGCCCGCTGGACCATGTTCCTGTAGTTCCCAGTCCTGCTTGGTGCGTTTGGGGGTCGGGGTTAATTTTGAGTTCATTTGGCAGGCCCAGGCCATATAGCCACTTCACTACAGTACTGGTACTGCCAACTTATTTTGGGGTCGTAATATAAGCGGGCATTGCCCACTTATTATTGGTCGGCACAGAGCTTTCTGTGGGTGCCTCAGGACGCGCTCCTCCATTTTCGAGAGTCCCTTCGCTGGTGCGGGATACAAGCGGCATTGCTCAATGTAGTGTTCTTCAATTTCTCGCAACCGTGTTGAAAGTGTGGGGCGTTCAGATCTATCAGGACAACAGGGAGCTTCGCGCGGATTGCTGCATGGGTAGCTTCATTACCCTAGAGACCATGATGTCCCGGGGTCATGTTTCGGGGTGGGATCGTGGCTCCTGGTGCTCAATTTTAATAGTCTGCCAGCCAGCGGAGAGATTTCTCCCAAAAGATAGTTCTCTCTTCGAGAGTCTGTAACTATTTGTTTCGATTTGGGATAGGATCTCGCCAACGCGATGGCTACCTCCTCCGCCTGATTTGAGTTCACAACTTTGAAGGTTTAGGAGCTGGCGAGAGAAAGAGAAGAATGAAATGAGGGAAAGGCAGAGAGGTTAACCAGTAATTTGAGCATCCAGTTTGCTACCCTGCACTAAGGGAAGGGAGGATTGGGAAGAAATATGGGAGAGAAAGCGAAATAGACACACACACAAAAAAAAGAAAAAGTGAGCTGGGGTGATATAGCCTATTCAACAGGCACTACCACACAAAAAGTTTGTCCCCCCCCCCCCCTTCCCGAGATGAAGCCGTTGCGGGGTAAAGGAATACAAGTTTGCCGTAAAAGAAAACGTACGAAGGCAGAACTCGTGCAGCATTTAGAATAATGCAATACAGCGGCCTCCGTAGTCAGCTCCGTGAGCGCGCACATTGCTGCGTTCGCGTGAGCTCATCTTCCCGCAATCTACCGTTAATTCAGTAACATATGCTGTTGGGCTAGTTGGTGTATACTGTGTAATACATCGTTGGCGCAAACTCGAAAGAAGACGAAAGGAGAGACACTGAACAGCGCAGTTTTCCGTGTCTTTTCATTCGTCTTCTTTCAAGTTTGTGCCAATGATGTTTTACACAGCTACCGTTAACTAGCTGTCTTAATTACAGTAGCTGAATTTTGTTCTAAACATGCAGCACAATGACAAGCTTCCGCATTTCGATCACGGGAATGCAAGATTTGTTGTGTACGCCGCACTTTTATTGCGCATGCAGTTAGGCTGGCTTGGCCTTCCCCCGGACAAATAGGAAACTTCCTACGCCTGTGTGCTGTCCTGCTATTGAGATTTGGGGCAACTGTTGGACTCTTGGCCGGAACACTCCACTGCGGTGTCTTTACGTTTCAGTTTATGGGTTACATATGCAATAGTTACATAATACATGTATACATATGAGGGTGCCGGAGTATAAATACTGAAAACATGACCCTCCGAACGAAACGATGTATACTTAAAAAAAAAAAAAACTACAAGGCGGCTTTTCTGTAGGGCTGTTTCTCAACCAAAAACTATTGTTCACAGACTGCTTTTCTTGCTATTGTGCTTGTAAACGTTTTTCTTTTCAACAACGACTATGTGGTTGCCCGTCTTGTAGGTACTTGATTGATATGTGGTGTTTAACGTCCCAAAACCACTATATGATTATGAGAGACGCCGTAGTGGAGGGCTCCGGAAATTTAGACCACCTGGGGTTCTTTAAGGTCTCGTAGGTACTCTCAGTCATATAATGGTGGACGACATAGCGCCTGTCGTTCGTGAGGAAAGGTGGGGAAGGCGAAAGCACAATGAGCGAGAAAAGTAGTCCGTGAACGACCTTTTGGTTGGAAAGCAACCTTACAGGTAAGCTGCCTTGCAAATGTTCGCAAAGTGTCCATTGTGTTCGACGAAGGGTTCCTATTGAGACGTTAAACCCCGATCTGCAAGCCCTACTTCATGCCAGTTATTTCCAGCACTACATTTTGAGATGCTGTGCCAGAAGAAGTTAGCGCACGTACTTACTATGGAATTGGCGAAGGGGACGAAGATGCCCAGGCTGTAGACGCCGACGAGAGGGCCACCGACGATTCCAAGGATAGAGAGCGCTGACTACGACGTACGTGCGTGACGTAAAACACAAGGTCATACGCACAATTTGCCTGATGTAAAGTACTTTCTATAAGTGGCGGCAAGAACAAGTGGAATCATAGTCAAACATTCCAAGCACATGCGCCTTTATCATGCTCACCAACGTTGTGTCGTACACTGTTCATAAAACAACTTAATTGGCTGCCATGATAATGTTAGTTTGCTGACAGTGTAGTTCATGTCAACGGTCAATCTCGCAGTTGTGACCCTTCATGATGCTGTCCGAGTGGATGGACAGTGAACAAACATTGTAACTGCTCTAATTTTTGGATAGGAGCAAGATTACCTGTGCGCAAGATGTTCTGAGAGAAGGTTGGGAATCACTTCTACCTAAGTTAACATGACAACTAATTATTATGATTAAGGTTATTAACATTATACTGTTGACTGATATTTTCAAAAGATATATGTATGTCGAGTGATCGGTCGGTCCCGTTTACGTATATATAAGTCAACATAGAGGTCCCACACTGTACGAGCTTTGCTTCCCAATAACTCCAAGACTACTGTGCACAAAACAATTGTGTTCGCAAGTTGTGTCGTAAAAAACAGGTGCCAGTGAATGGGATAGAATGAATGTGGCATTATCTAATGTGTACTACTTAGCCATGTGACTTATAAGTTGTATGACAGGGCAAAGAGTGTAGAGAAATTGGTTCCAGCTTCCGCACTCATTTCTGTTTACTACCTAGCGCGCACTTGTCACAGCTTCGTCAATGGTCTGCGCAGGTCAACCGCGATGCTTTATCATAGCACCATGTTCCGCTACCTGAAACGTTGCAGCCTTTGATTGATGCAGGATTCCATTCACTCGATATAGTATGCCTTCCTTATCAATTACTGTTCGCAAGCGGTCAGTCGCTGTAAACTGACTATAGGCGAGATGGGTTGTCATAACGCCGTCTTCGATCGGCTACAATCAAAACATTCCATCATTTGCACCTACCTGTAGGACGTCCCCCATCTGCTGGGCCACATACACCATGGCGACGACGATGACTCCAAACACTATGGCTGGATGCCCAAGATAAATAATGCGAAGGTATCAATGGCAGATGTGTTCTCCTGCTGCTGCTTCTGATGTACTCACGGACTTCTTTTTTAATTGGAAGGTATACACATGACATAATGACACCTATAGGCCACAAAACGATCAGGAGTTGCATGCTGTGAGCACCTACTGCACGACATATGAAATGCTGAGTGCTCGTCTCATGCGTAGGGGATGTTCGAACAATTAGTTAGCATCAAACTTGTTGGGATAGTCGGTGCATGGTTAAGAAATCAGAAGATAAAAACCACCAAAAGAGAAGTGAAAGGCACCGTTTTCTTTTGTGGTTTGTGTCTTCTATTTCTTGTAATATTATTAGCAGTTTCTCAATTCCTTCGTGATCAGATGTACTTAAATGAAAATTGAGCAGTGTAATGGAGGCTATTCGGATATTACAAGATCCCGTACGTGGTGAAGGCGCCTAAGTAATGTATCTATATTCGGCAGCAAACGAAGGTGTTGCCCTGCGTGCATGAATGACATAGATATAACCGACAATTCAATTAAAATCACGCATGCAATTTAACCATGTGAAAGCTCCGATGCTCTGTTTTTAGTAAGCTTACTGAGAACTTTCAGTAGGATGCCGGCAGCCCTGTCCCCTAGGTCCGGCTTGATGTACGTCTTTATGATATCCTGAAGTGTCGTTGTCGCCAAAGAGCTGAGGCTTGCGGATACGCCACTGCAAATAAACGAGCAATGTAAAGGGGTGGGGGGAATCGGATTCATTATCCCCCAATGAGCAACATCAGCGAATGCGTAGTCGCGAAAATCTGTTGCCATGTTTATAAATCCTGCACCTGAGACAGATCGATGTGTGGAGTGAGAAGAGCACGATTGTTTCAAACGACCATATTGTATACGGTAGCAAACGTGTAATGAGATCTAACAGACAATAATGCCAAGGAAAGTATAGGGGAAGCTATTAGACCAAATTGTAATGTAAATATGAAGAAAAGTGGGTGAAAAAATAACTTGCCGTGGGCAGGATCCAACCTGCGACCTTCGAATGACGCGTTCGATGCTCTACCACTGAGCTACCACGACAGCTATCCCCCCAGCCACTTTATAGGGTTTATATGTGAATTAAACGTGAGAGTGTCAGTCAGCGTCACCAGTAGCCAGGTCAGCGAGTGTGGCACACTCGTTTGAGCCTGTTTGGCGTCACGTAGCACGTGAACTTGTTACGAGTGGGCAGCTGGCCAATAGTCCCTCGTATACAACCTAAAGGCACTAAGTCTGCCAGTACGAGACCCTCGTTAATGAATAAGGAAAGAAGTGTCTACTTAAGGGCTCGTTTTTCCGTGTTTTTACACAATATTAATGAGATTTAACAGACAATAATGCCAAGGAAAGTATAGGGGAAGATATTAGACCAAATTGTAATGTAAATATGAATATAGGTCGCAGGTTCGGGTCCTGCCCACGGCAAGTTATCTTTTCACCCACTTTTCTTCATATTTACATTACAATTTGGTCTAATATCTTCCCCTATACTTTCCTTGGCATTATTGTCTGTTAGATCTCATTAATATTGTGTAAAAACACGGAAAAACGAGCCCTTAGGTATACACTTCTTTCCTTACATGTGTGTGTGTGTGTGTGTCGTATGAAGAAAGGCAGGGAGGTTAACCAGAAAGCAAGTACCTGGTTTGCTACCCTGAACAGGGGAAGAGAAAATAGGAGACAGAAAATTAGGAAATATGTGACATACATATATAGCTTAAAAAAATTAAAAACACCGGCAATTACGATACTGCCTAATGCCCATTCTGAGCTCAGCTGTTTAAGCAGGCATTTTGATTTTGCGATAAGTTGAGGCAAACGCTGCTGATTTTGCGTCGGTGGCATTGAGCCTCTGCTCGGGCAGCTCGTTTATTAGCAACAGCGGTAGACGACGCACTTCCACCAGTTGCGTCGCTCATTGTTCAGAAAGAACTGGCCGAGACTATTTTGTATGTAGGTACACTATTTACCTGAAGAATAGACAATGCCTCCTTTATTTCATTTCATGCCAGTGCAAGCGTGCGCTTCTCAACGGGAGCCCTCGGTCCTCCTTAGTTCAGGGAGTGGTCGTGATGCGTCGCTGCATGGGGGGAGCGCTGCTTCCGTCACTCACACGTATTTCCGAGTGTTTCCCCCGGAGATGCGATAGACGAAACATGAGTTGCCCTCTCCAATATCATACGTCTGTCAGATTTGTTCCTTCATGCTCCGTCTTTGTGGATCGAAGCAACGCCGCCACCACCTCCCAGAGCTAGTTATGCAGTGGCGTCACCGTGGCGCGTCCCCATTGGTTCCCGCATAGCGCCACGAACGGTGACACGAAACGTCGTATCATTTACAGAGTCAGCGTCACTGCCAACATTGTGATCACGAGAAGGGAGCGCGCACATGAAGGCTCACTCATCACGTGTGGAGTGCCTCGATGCGCGAACGGCGAACGAGCGCATCGAGGCAGTCACGAGGATTGCAAAACACTGCTCCACGGATCTGTACACAACTGAACAGAAAATGACAGCATATCCACGGGGTGAATGATAGAGAGTGGAGCGAAGATGGGTCCGCACGGCGCTGCCGTGCCGCTTCGGGCACCCGTTCTCGTACGCCGGGATCTGGTCGGCGCCGCCGCACAGCTTCACGGCATGCTTCTGTCTCGCGCGTTCACACATCGGGGTTCCGTCTTCGAGCGCGAGCCGCAGCCGCCTTGCGCGCACGCCTTGTCCATCCGCCGACCTTCTGACCGCGCGCGCGCCAGAACGGCTTTGATGATGATGATGATGGTAATGGGGCCATTCCCTTTGTAACGGGCGGGCACACTTTGGCACCCTAGCCGATAGTAAAAAATAAAAAAATAAGAAAATAAAATACAGACTGGGCGGGTTGCCGAGTTAAAAACCCTCCCGAAGTCCCCGGAGAGTTATTTTCCTCCATTGTTCTAGGCGAGTTTTGCTGCGCCTCACTGCGGCGTAGTCCACCACATCACCTGTGTCCACAAAACCCAGTGCGGCAGCGAGATCTGCGTTCGAACTGGATGGGCTCAGTTGCGGGCACTCAGTCACGATGTGTGCGATGGTCTCGTCAGCCCCACCACACGCGTGACACACCGCACTCACGAGTTCACCGTCGTATAGGCTTGCTTACGGACGAGAGTACGCAGGGCCCCTGCTCTCGCCTCAAACAACAGCACACTTCCAAGGCCATTGTCGTACAGTTGGACTGGAGCAATGGTGTCCTTGTGCTGGCGGTAGAGGAGGAGACTTGACTTGTTCACTTGTGCCTGCCTCCACTTCTCCTCCTCGGCCTCCTTAATACGTTGGCGAATTTCCTTAGTGCGTCCCCGTTGGTTTTCGGCCGTCAGTGGCGCCTGGAAAAACCCGAACTTTTTCTCAAGTTGGTACACTCGTCGTCCCACTTGGTGCGCATACATGTCGCCATGAGGTAGTCATCATTCACTCCATGTATAAGCTGTGATTTTTATTATTGATCATACTACAAGTAACGTCCTCTGCAGTATCGTACCATTTGCCTTTTTCAGCGTATATGCATTTCGTTATATGTACAAGTACCGCCCTCTACGACCGGTTCAAGAACTAACGAGAGCTGGCTGCATACGATTACGACGGGACGCTCAGCCCACGCCTGAAGGAGCTTGGCCCCTAAAATCTAGAGCGATATAGCTTATATTTCATGTTTTAGCAAACGGGAAATATTCAACACAATGTTACTATACCTACCTCAGTCCTCCGCTGAATATTCCCGACACGATGAGCCCGGGCACACCTGGATAGTTCCCCAGTATGTCCATGACAAAAAATGGATTTACCTGCGCGTATATAGTGCACTATCGTTGATTCGATGTGTTACGCAAGGTAACATTTATTAATGTTCATTTTCGGTACCGATGTAGCCGCCCTTAAATTAATAACTTCACCGCTCATTTCCCACAACTCTGGCAGTTCAGATTAACTGTAAAAATGAAGAGTTCGTTTGCAGATTTAAATTTAAGAAGCCTTTCGTGAAGTTTGAGTATTACAAGCAAAAAAAAAAAATTGATGCGCGCAGGTTGCTTGTTGTCCATCGTATTTACAAAGTATACAAGTTGTAGCGTAAGTGTCGCGAAAACTCGACAAATCCTTATCCGAGCGTCTGTCATTTCGAAGGAGGAGCAAGTGCGAAGGTTACACGCACACACTTCGCTGCCGGTGCTGCTCGGTACGTCAACCATGGTCAAATGCAGAGTGCGCAACGCCAAAGCTGGAGATGTGCACCGCGAAGCGAAAAAAAATTGCGCCATCTGCACGAAGTATACCTTGATCGGGACTGATCGAGAGAACCCGTGAATCTTCGGTACAAATCATCTACCGTATAAAAGACGTGACACGTTGTTATAGGGGTGATTGTATATACACCTATAGAATGTTTTATTATTTACATTACCACGCTAATATATACACTTACACGTATATACACAAGATGCAATCATTTACATATCGATGCAATCAGGATCACATTACTGACTATACAAAGCTCCGGGACGCGTTACCCTTCGAAGATTACAATTTTGTGGTCGGGAAGTATGTGGCGAGGGTATCTTGAATTCGAGGTTGCAGTTGAAAGTCGGAGAAGGCGATGTCGATGCAGGTCCCGATTCGAGGTTTTCGTGCCGCCTCTGCTTCGCGGGCTCTCACTTCGCGGTCCGCCTTCTTCGCAGCACAAATTGCACATAATGCCTTACAGATGTGTTTTGGGTACCTCGCTTATCAGCAGATTGACTAATGACATAGGCATGGCGGGTGCTTCCCTACTTCGTGAAAGTTACGCTGGGCGTGTAGTGGGTACATTACACTAGGCGTACACGCCACTCACCTCGAGCATAAGAAGCTTGGCGAGCACGCTACTATATAATAAAATAGAGGCAAAAAGTCAGTTTCGCCGAAAGGGTGAAGCAATTTAAATGTAATATAATAACAAATTAGAATCTCATACGAATAAAGGCTGTCTGGTCGCTCTTCTGGCGAACTCACGTCTCTATGACCGAGTACGAAGCCATGAGCTACCTGTTAAGCAGCCCTCAAGGTATAAGTGCACGAGTATACACGCAAACACAAGCCAGAGGCGCGGAGCACTGCTTAAGCGAAATACAGGCGGGCTGAGTGAATGCTACGAGCGCCCCCCCCCCCCCCCGCGCACACACACACACACACACACACACACACACACACACACACATTTATTTTTGTCTCTGAGTCAAGAACAGTGTAATAACAAATATGTTTTGGTAATTGGTAGGTTAAGAAGATGTAAAGTATAGTGCAAAAGATGAGCAAAGGAAGGTGAAAGGATGGGTATATAGTCACCGTCACCACACAGACATGGGTGCCCAAATTGAGCTGTCAGCTTAGACGTGAGCAGAACGAACGAATTCGAACTAACTTTTCTGTTTCACTACTCACTACTACTCACTTGGTCCGCCGCGGCGACCTGCCTCGTGCTGACGGGGTCACAGTCATTGTATCGTGTGAATATCACCAGTCCCACGTAGCACAGCGCACTTTGGAGCGCAATCACGCCCAGCAAGTTCATCCACATGGCTCTAAAGGAGGTCAGGAAGTGCAGGAATATTTTGAATGAGAACTAAGAGACAATGATGGCAAGGAAAGTATAGATCATGTTATTAGAGTTAATTGTAATGTAAATGTGAAGAAAGAAAAATGGAGGAAGAGATAACTTGCCACCGACAGGGACCAAGCCTGCGAGCTTAGAGTAACGTGTCCGTTGCTCTACGACTGAGCTGTAGCGCTGGTCATCCCTCCGTCCTCTTTTCTGGGACATATATGTGCATTTAAACATGGGAGTGTCAGTCAGCGCCACCTGTTGTCACATTGTTGCCATTAGTGCAGCAGTATTTGGATATGTTGTAGGCCCGTGTGCTCAGATTTGGGTGCGTGTTAAAGAACCCCAGGTGGTCGAAATTTCCGGAGCCCTCCACTACGGCGCCTCTCATAATCATATGGTGGTTTTGGGACGTTAAACCCCACATATCATCAGCAGTATTTGGATGCAGACGTGATGCATGCCAGCTGATTTTGCTCAGAGAGTCTTGGAGTGGGTAGCGCCTATTTCACTTTACAGTGGCTTATGGAGATACGATACAGTGGCGTAACTAGATAGGACGGCGCCCAGGGCAAATATATTTCCGCGCCCCTCATTATGCCCGTGATAATGTTTGTTATTATTATTATTATTATTAATAATAATAATAATATTATTATTATTATTATTATTAATATAATAATATTATTATTAATAATAATTATTACTACAGCTCCTATTAATAATAATATTATTATTATTAGTAATAATAATATTATTATTAAGAATAATTATTACTACAGCCCCCCCCCCCCCCCCCATTAAAAGCGCTAATGTAGGCTTCCGCGATTGCCTACTGGCGCGCGGCGGGCCATTCGGAGGCCAAGGGCCACCAGTTCTGATTTCGATGAGCTACGCCCGCGGTTTTTGTATAGTATTTTTCTTTTTTTATTCAAACTTCCGGAAGTCCCTTACCCGTCATTGTTCTCTTCCAGTCCACACTGCAAAAATCTTGACGGCACGGGCGCTTCCCAGGCCCAAGTTTCTCGTACCTAAGCTTTCGCGCTATTTGTGCATCCCAAGGAATGCAGGGTGAGTACAAAACAAAGCACCAGCTAGACACCGCGCCCTCGGGTCTGGTATGGGGGTTAAACTGGTCGGAGTGTTCTGCCGTTTCGCTCCGTTCGCTGTTCCATTGATGGAGGTCATCCTTGTGCGGCCGCATTCTTTCAGGGAAGTTCTTGGTTTCTCCAACGTACGAAGCGGGGCAGTCGGCACATGCTGTCGGGTACACTACGCTCTGCGCTTTTTTCGCAGGTGCGTGTTCTTTGGGCCAAAGGATGAACCTGCCCATGGCGGTGGATGGCATGTGGGAAACGTTGACCCCCGCCCTTCTATTGCTTTGCTGGCGCCCGCGATGCAGGGAATCAACAAACGTCGCCGTCGTGTCACGCTTTCTCCGTCTTTCCTCCAGAGAACTCTGCGAATAAACGCCTTTGTTTAGCCTTTGGTGCCGAGGTCACGGATTATATTCGCCCTTCCTTCCGCCGCTGCGTGGACGATTAGTCGTTGGACGATCGGCTATTTCGTTGGAGTTTTCTGTTCTTACTCAAAAAAGGTGCATTCGAACTTTTTTATTTTATTTTGTTTACGTACGTGGTTGGTTTCAGGGAAGCTTTCAGTAAGTGGTTTGGGAGGCTGGTGGGGTTCGCTGAAACTCATCTAACCCAGTGCTGCGGAGCACAAAACAAAGCTTAGCCGAGGGTCATGGGAAGGCACGGAGGTAGCGCAGCAAAATGAAAATAGAGGATCCTTTTCCCGATGCAAAAGCCATTGCGGCAACCCTTTCCTTCACCACCATCCCCACTTCCAGTCGTACATTACAACCTCGCCCCTCCCCCCTTCCAGGCGGTTTTACGGAAAAAAACATTGACAACCTTTCCAGGGGGCGCCAACCCGAGGACTCGGCTTGGCGCCCCCTCCCTAGTGGCGCCCGGGGCACTTGTACCCCCTTGCCCCCCCCTAGTTACGCCACTGATACGATAGCAATAACATTAGTGTGGTCAAGGTACGTATTATGGTAATTAAGATGCGTGGGCTCTTGCCTGTTTGCGCATGCGTCTACTTGTCAGCATCGTCGGAACAACCGCACAGATTCTTGCTGCGAATGCTGCCGATATAATACGGGATATGCCGTTGCAGAAAGTTGCCGAAAAAACGCCGCTGGGCGACCGAGACTTCGGCTTACAGCGCGGCACCTTCTCAAATTCGCGAGTATTTTGCAGTGCTATGCTACCATGAAGCCAGTATATGTCATCAGGGTGCCGAAGTGGCACGAAGGCACCTCGCTGCCGAAACGACCAAACCTTCGGGAGCGCTCGGTATCGATGATAATGGCGAATACTCTTTGGTGAACGAGGGAGACAGGGGGAGGGTTTACCATAATTTGATACCATGACATGAAGAATGGCCAGTACAAACGATGGATGACACAGATACTTATAGGAACACCGTGAACCGGTGCTTCGCGTCTAATTGAAGCGTATGCGTCTTAAATAAAAAGCATTCTCTTAGGCGACGTGTCCTCTCTGCAGTTATTGCTATGATAACGTATCATGGAGAGTTCGCAGTGTACAAACCGGTCTTCGAAACGAATGTGCACGCGTTCCTTTCACCCTTGTTCAATGAAGTGGTGCCAAACTCTTCCATCCTCCCACCTCTACATATTTCTAATAATTATAGTCTTCGAATAACGCGTTCGATGCTCTAACCACTGAGCTACCACAGCGGCCTAATAATTATAGTCTGCTAGTGTCTCTTGGGCGTTAAAATTCATCAATCGATATAATTCATCAAACAAATCACTAACCACGTAGCGACAATTTCGCGACCGAAGTATGCGAAATAGAAAGGGATGGCTTCACCTCCTAACTGTGGCCACGTCGGGCATGCTTAGGTAGCGCTGCACCCAGCCTTGGTTGACGGCGTACATGGTGAGCCACAGGAAGGTGCCACCGATCACCAGGGACCACACCGAGTGACGAACTGTCGGGTCCGGCCGAAAACTGCGACGATCACGAAAAGGTATGACGTCAACCGTGCTTCGTTAACCGCCCGACAAGCTCGCAAAAAGCGTGTCTGGTTGTCAACAAAGAAAGTAAGACACCTCTGTGCACTAAGAACCATCGCGAAAGGTTTGTTCAGTGCACTGAAAACATGGTATACGTAGTCCCTTTGTTTTGAGACGTGTCATTGATATAACAGGAGGACACCTAAATGAAAGATTTACAGAGCGAAATACAACAACGAAAGTGACATCAGGGCATTTAGGTATTTTTCGTATAGAGACTGTAGTTGCGCACCTCGATCTGGAAAGAAAGGCGTCATGTGCGACTCAGCTGACAGCTTAACAAGGGCAGTTGTTGAAGCGCTAGAGATAAAAGAGCTCGGCGAATCTTGTGTCAGCATGCTATTTGCTATGTCTCAGAAGGATGTCAAGATTTCTTGCAGGAACCGCTTCGCATGCGCAGCAGGAGTGACCACGTGATGCACTGTCATATCTCTTGTAACACTGTTTATTAATATGAAGACAGTACTTATTCTGCGCAAGTTGGTTAGTTGGTTCCTCAACATCTTGGCGCAACCCATGCACTCCGTGGGATAGGCCATGAATTGGACGGTGCCCTGCCTTGTAAAATTCACTTACTGAGGAAGCGGGTTGGAGATGAATTGTTCAGTCATTACTGAATAAGCTTGCAGTTGTCAGTGCGCCTTTCAAACGTGTTTTCCTCGTAGTCTGCTCTCTTGTTTTCGCTGACGCTGTTTTACTCCAAAAATGAACCAACTATCCCTAAAGTACATCTTGATAAACTAATATCCTGTATTAATGTACGTGCTTAGGTTCTGTTCACAGTTTTTATTAATATATGTGTTATGTGCATATCTTGTCGCATGTTAATTGTATTCTGTATGATTCATAATGCATTAGCAACAATTTTGTTAATTTACATTTTAGCGTTTTTATTTTATTAGACCGTGCCATATCTTCTGGAATGTGATTGCACTGATATACAGTTGTATTTTTTGTATAAGTTGGATCATTTTCTGTTCTACCTGTTTGAATATATGCACTGCAACTGCGACCTATTTATCGTAGCACTTCTATTGCCTGTTTAGGCATTTAGGGTACTTGAATAATAATTTTAAAAGAAGACTGAAAGGAAGAAGGTGGGCTTACTCAAACAGATGAAGTCTCTGAGAGTCTAGGTTTTTCTCGTAGACGCTGTGCCAGCCGCCGACATCTATGGTCCCCTTCACTGCTAGCAGTATGATGGATGCATACTTTATAAAGCTCATAAACACGTCGGCCATGACGATCGCCTTTATGCCACCCTGCGAAAGAATGATTTATTGAGCAAGTATTTGTTGAGGATGTCATCGTCACTGCAGCATCACGGGCGCAGGAGAGGCCTTTATTAAGGAAACGTTAATTGTAGCAGCCATAACAGAAATTGGTAACGTTTGGCGTGGGCATGATAGCGGGTGAGAACTGCGTTGCTTACCACTGTCGTGTAGAAGGTGCAGACGACGCCAATGGAGACCACTGACAGCCATAGATTTACTCCGGTCACTGCGATTGGAACAAGCGAACATTCGGTCACCGCACGTAGATAACAGAACCCTACATTTACGCACTGTTACTTTGTTGTAGCTTTACCTTGTTGCAGTGCAAGTGCAGGCCCATAAAGCACTATAGACATGTACACAATCTGAAACAAAAATCGCCTTCTTTTTATCCATTGTGTTTTAAAGAGGTGCAGATTACGTAATAAAATACTACTTAATAGATTCGTCGCAAAGTACGCTGAACTTCGTCGTGTTGGCTTCATTAGTTGGCATTATATTGAAAGTCTTGCACCATTCAGGTGTTGAACAACGCTTATAGATATTCACGAATCAGCGTAATCAGCTAATTGTGAGAAGTTTGACGAGAGAATGGGTTAAAGTTACTTTAGAGGGACGCGAATCTGTGAAAGCTGGTTGAAATTAAATGTCACTGAAAGGCTTGCATGTGACACGCGGATGCAAGAACAAAAATGGCCTCTTTGTTAATGCCCTACTCGCTTTCTCTACCCGCATTTGCGAATTTTGTGTTGGAGCATAATAAAGCTGATGCGGGCCCCCGCCGCAGTGGTCTAGTGGCTAAGGTACTCGGCTGCTGACCCGCAGGGCGCGGGTTCGAATCCCGGCTGCGGCGGCTGCATTTCCGATGGAGGCGGAAATGTTGTAGGCCCGTGTGCTCAGATTTGGGTGCACGTTAAAGAACCCCAGGTGGTCTAAATTTCCGGAGCCCTCCACTACGGCGTCTCTCATAATCATATAGTGGTTTTGGGACGTTAAACCCCACATATCAATCAATCAATCAATCAATCAATCAATAAAGCTGATGCGATCGCACGTATCGCTGTGTTTTTGTGGTGCTTTTCGATCAACGTCGTCGTAAGCAGAATAGAGGTTACACCATAGCGTCAACTGTGTTAAATTATAGGCGGTGGTAGCATGTTATCAATTCGTATGACTTCGAATAAATAATGAATATATCGGAGCAAGCAAAGCTTCCTGTGGAGTGCTAAGTATCGCCCATTGCATTGAAAAATACCGACACTGAATAAAATAACGAAAAATATGAAAGAAGATACAAAACGACGAGTAACGAATAATATCGCAACTTTAGATGGTCTACGAAATAACTATTTCTTAAATAAAGCCATGTATTCCGCATAGATCCTTCAGCGAGACAGATCGCAGAACACCTTTGTATGATACGAGCATGCTACGCGCTGTGAGTGCCGCAAGCTATAGATATAAAGACTACGTAGAGCGCATGGATCTACATTCATAGCAATATATTTGGGTAACTCGCGTACTTTTCATGCAATTGTTTATTCTGTCAGATTTCTCTTATGATGTCGGTCGATAAGGTGGCACACGTAGAAGTATATAGCTTACGCAAGCCTTACCATTTGCAAAGCCGACGACACTGAACAAATGGTGCGAAGCGTTCGATTGAACCTAAGCTCCAGGTACTGAAAATAAAAATTCAAGACATTGAGTGACGAGTTCTTCTAATATGTTATCGGTTAAGACACTGCAATGTTGCTGATTGATCGCCTGTTTGTATCATACCTGGAAAGCGCTGGTGACGTTGAGCTTGTAAAACATGGGCATGTAGATGTGATTCGTCAGGAGCACGGTGAACAGCAGTCCCAACTGTATCATGATAAACGCGAGTCCGTAGAAGTACATCTCGGCCGGAATGCCCAACATGGCCACCGGAGATATAGACGTGCTGATCAGTGACATGGCGACTGGGACAGCTCCCATTGACCTAGGCGCCTGCGGCTTCTTCGCGGCTTTGAACGCGTAGAAAATGCCGATTGCCGTGGAGGCCAGAAGCATGCCGAAAAAAATGCTGTAGTCCCAAACTCCAAAGCGCGCTCCGAAATTCATCACTCTGATGTGCGTTTCATTCCCAAACGTGCAGGGAAAACGTCTCACGTACAATGAAAAAACGATTTGGTACGTAGCTAGAATTATTTATCTATTGACTTAGCAACACTGCCAGATTTTCATTTATCCTCCGAAGACCGTTTTCTTTTTCATGTAGTAAGTCACCTAGGCTCTGATGCGCGGCCTGAAACTTCTTATGAGAATTTAGCTTTGCCGATAAGACAAGCATATCCCACTGAATATGCTCCTCGAACTTTCTGCAGCCGAAACGCAAGCTCATAAGTTATAGTTAGCATTAATTAGCCGAAGGATAAAACGGTAAAACACCGGTAGAGGTGGACCATGTGTTGTTGCGTTCGCGCACATGGAGTCTAACCGAGAGGACACATTTGTTTGAACCTGCAAGAGTGCGACGAAGCTTTCGTTCGCGGAATGGTGGTGCTCGTAAATTGAATGCGTGTAGCTGATAGAAGGACCCAGTCTTACAGAAAAAAAAAGAAAGAGAAGGAAAACGGGGAGGGTAAACAAGGTAAAAGCAAAACGAATAAAGGACACACTCGACGTAGCGCATCCTGGCCTTCGTGAAAGTGTCCGAGGACGGTTCGCCACTACAGGGCAAAACGCAGCGCTGGCATAATATGCGATACGGCGCTACACCGCATAAGCGACGACATGCAGGCGCAGCGTTGCGGTTATTGAACAACGCTGACTACTCTGAATATAAATGGAAAGCCAAAAGCGAAAGGGCGTGTTCCGTCGGTCGTTGTCACGTGCCGCAGCAGCGTTGAGTAATGACCGCGCGCTATCTTTCAAGGGGCCGTGAAAGACATGTGGACATTACCATATAACCGCAGTTTCAACGCGAGAAAACATACAGGCGCAGAAGAGTTATAAGCAAAACAGCCTTATGCGATTACCGTATTTTGTACAACCGAAGAACACTGGTTTTATTCATGCATACATATGGCGATCGAAGCGAGGGGAATTCGATTATGCTTTGGGCGCAAGTAAAAGATCGCAGCATACTTGGAGAAAAAATTGGCATTTTTTAACAAAAGCTTAAAACAAAGCAATAAAAGCAGTTTGAAACACGAAAAAAAAAAAAAGGTTAGTCGGCAAGATTGGCTATACATACGCTCTAGGGGCGTACCCAGAAAGCTTTTTATTATGGCAGGGAGTGTGGGGGATGGGAAGAATTGAATCCTAACTCCACCCATCTCTGCTCTGGCTCTATATACGCCATCGCACAGCTCGCTATCAAGCACAGTTTTGCTGACCCTTGCTCGGGGCTGGCGTTATATACATCATATTGTTACGTTTAGTAATGTGTTTATTACGATATGGCGTACTGGTAGACTTGAAGGGGTCGTGCACCGGAGGCCTATCGCGCTAGCCGAACGTCCTCTTCTCTCCTCTGCCTGTTCCGCGCTACCCAGAGGCTCATACCCGTATCACATATGCATAACAATATATTTACGTGGTACATCGGTGACATTCAATACCCTCAGCTTTAACGGATCTGCTTAGTGACAGGTTTTGAGGACACCAAGGCTACATTGGATCACATGTTTGGGAACAGATTGGTTCTCGCTATATCGTCTTTATCGTCTCTCCCTCTCTCTATAACCGAGCAACTGTCGCCCTACGTGTATTGCTTACGCTCAACAATGCATATGCGAGCCTGATTCCATGAAGTGTGTGACCGTTGTTCATAGACGTAGTAAAAAGCTTAGTGCCCAACCTTCGTTTACAAAAAACATCGTCGTCATGGCTCCGCTTTCACTTTCCGCATTTCTTTGTCCGCGCACCGCCGGCATCATGACACGTCGTCGTGATCACGCACTCTCCGCTATCCCACGCACGTCACATTCCACATTCGCACCAACCCTTCTACTACTTTTGAAAACGGGCGTTGCTTATATGCTGCGCAAAGGAGCGCAGACGCGAGTCTGACCAAGATCTCCTGTATAGTCGGCACACATTCATTCGGAAATGAATAGGTGCTTCTATATACCTCGAGTAGTTCAACATCCACAGGACAGGAATAGCATCGGATAATATAAATCTACCCCAGCGACCATATACGGGAACAAACTGATACACATACACGAATTACTTAAATACATGTCTCGCTAAATTCTCTAATTCTTAGGGGTAGACTGATTGATAGAACCATTATAATGAGTCAACCGAATGATGAAAGAGCGAGAGCTGGCTCTGTCGGAGGTGTTGCCGACAGGACATTCTTGGAACTTGGGTTCCATTTATTTCGCCGTGCGCAAGATGCAGTCTGTGCGTAAAAGAAACGGGAGTTTAATAATTCCACTTTGCAGCACGGAATAGTATATATCCCAGTTAGCACGGGCCAGTGCAACGAGATACGGATATGCTACCAACGGATCTTCAACGCGAAAATGTCAAAGGGCTCCTTTCGCAGAAATACCGGCGTCGGCGGCGTTGGTTGGGAGCAAAAAAATCGCCATCTTTTGCGTGACCGAAAAATCGAGAGATACAAATAAAATAAAAATTACCGGCTCCGAGCGAGGATTGAACCTATAGGCCGTTTGCGTGGCAAGCAGGTGTTTCAACGAAAAGTTGTTTGGACTGAACTAGACCTAAGAGCAAACCTCATAAGCGCGAAAATGCACGCGACAGCGACGAGCGACGCTATGAGCGACGAAACAGGGCGTTCGCGCGACGTGTCGCGTGCTCGTTTTCGCGCGATCGCTCGGTTCTCCATATTTGAGTGTTCGCTAGAATTGTACTACAGGCAACATGAAACGTAATGTCTGTTTTGTCATTGTGTATTGTTTTTGTTTTGTGTTTATATTCCTCCCTGTAATGACCCTCAAGTGAGGGTTACAGTATTAATAAATAAATAAATAAAATTTGGAAACCGTCGCTCATCGCCCGGAAGTGCTGGGCTCAAGCAGCCCGGAAAAGACGAAGACTACATAGTTGTTTTGCTTCGCCGATGCGCCACGGATCCACTGCACGTGACCCTGCCCGAGTCACCTGTGCGCAACAAGAAATAACGCAATGTTTACGCATGTGCATATAAAAAAAGTGCTGCAAGGCAATAATAAACACTTTCCGTTTCATTACACAACAATATATCTTACTTTTAAATTGCATACCGCTTGCTACGCGGTTTTCTTGGTGCGAGTAGACGGCCTCATGCCAGCCACAGTGGAATTCGCTCGCCGAAGCCGTCGCGTGAATGAGGCTTGCCTGCGCTAGCGACTGATCGCGCGAAGACGATCTACGTCGCGTCGCTCGTCGCTGTCGCGTGCATTTTCGCGCTTATGAGGTTTGGCCCTAACGCACCAACTCGCGCAGGAAGAATTTTTTCCAGGTGTTCTACCGCGCAGCCACGAGTATGCTTGTAAATACACTGATAATAACTTCTCCTTGGAAATGAAGTCAAAATAATTTACATGCTTTACAAGCACACGCGTTCTGTATACAGGCTTCGCAACACGTGTAATATCGCGTTGTATACTGCCTGGTATACGAGTGATCGGGCCTATATAATAACGACTTCGTGGTTTCAAAGCTGGCCACCCATTACAAAGGACACGCGCGTTATGCCGCGCGTATTCCTTTAATACGTAGTGGGTGCATAGCAAATTTCAAAACATTTCATGCGCATGATTGCTCGTGGTTTAAAATATGCCACTCATTACACAGTATGTATATATATATATATATATATATATATATATATATATATATATATATATATATATATATATATATATATATGAGATATAACAGACAGTAATGCCAAGGAATGTACAGGGGAAGTTATTAACATTAATAGAATGTAAATAAGAAGAAAGAAAAGTGGATGAAAAAATTACCAACTGTAAGCAGGTAATTTTTTCATCCACTTTTCTTTCTTCTTATTTACATTCTATTAATGTTAATAACTTCCCCTGTACATTCCTTGGCATTACTGTCTGTTATATCTCATTATTATTGTGTTAAAAACACGGAAAAACGAGCCCTTAGGTATACACTTCTTTCCCTTATATATATATATATATATATATATATATATATATATATTACAATACTGACGGTCTGATCTTCACACCTTTCAGACCTTAGGAAGAGTGGGTACAAGTGAATAAAAAACAGTAAACACATATGAGGCACTGCAGCGATAATAACAAAAAAAAAAGAATACAACGAATTTGTACAAACAAAGCAGTAAGATATTTAAATAACTAGTGAGAACATGAATACGTAAACATATGAAGAAAAAGAGCGTCGGGGTTCATGTGAAACTATGTCAGAGCTATGTCTTGTGGACTGAAGGGCCCGTAGATAGGATGATAGCGACGGGCATTTGACCACAGCTGAGGGGTGGGAATTCTATTTGGTTGCAGTTCTCGGGAAAAAAGAATACTGGAACATGTTGGCGTGACTAGAGAACTCGGTTACTTTTTTATTGTGAAGGAACCGAGTAGGCCACCGGTGGGAGTCTTTTAGATATATATCATTTTTTTAAACCTAACTGCCCATGATAAAGAAGGTAAAATACTTTCATTCGTTCGCGGTATCGCCAATTTGTTAATTTTTCGAGCTCAGCCGCTTCTAGAAGAGATGTGACTGATGCCTCCCAAATGTATTTATTAAAAATGAACCTAATTATTAAAAATGAACCTAACTGATTTTCTATGTATTTGTTCCGGTATTGAAATTTTTTTGTGTGTGTATGGATCCCAAAAAGCGGCACAGTATTTCAGGAGTGGCCGAATAAATGTTTTATAGTCTAATAACTTTACTTCTGGAGATGCCTTACTCAAACGCCTCCTTAATTAAATATCCGAGTTTTTTCATCGTCTTTCCATGTGTGTAGTCAATGTGGTCGTTCCATTTAAGATCGTGAGAAGTGGTGACTCCCAGATACTTATAGTTAGTTACTGCTTTTTCCAAAGGTTCATTATCAAAACAGTAAGGAAACGTTATCGGGTGCTTTTTGCGACTAATTGCCATTGCGACTGTTTTCTTTTTTGTTGATGGTCATTTGCCGATCTGCGCATGATGTTTGAATTGGGTCCAAAGATTTATTTGATGGTATTTGGTCTAATCGAATCTTTGATTACGTTGTAGTAATCCACAATTTAAACTACTCGAGTAACATCGCGCAGTAAGTGTTAGCACTAAGTGTTTGAAGTACGCACTACAGGGTGCACTGTAAGAGGATATCGCCATCGCGTTTTGCTCTTAAGGGCCAAATCCCATAAAGTCAAAACCCCATAACCGCGAAAATGCTCGCGACAGCGACGCGACATATAGATTGCCTTCGCGTGAACAGTCGCCTGCGCAGGCAAACCTCATTCACGTGACGGCTTCGGCGAGCGAACTCCACTGCTGCTGGGACATAAGGCCGTCTACTTGTACCGAAAATTCCGCGTAGTTGGCAATATGCAATGTAAAAATAGAATGTGTTGTTGTATAATGGAACGAAAGGGGTCTATTATTGCTTTGCAGCACTTCTTTTATATGAACGTGCATAAACATTACGTTATTTCTTCGTTGTGCACACGTCACTCAAACCGAGAGGAGCATGAGAGGAGGTGGTGGTTTCGCGGCACACGGAGAGAACCGGCATGCAGTACGTAAGTCGTGTGTATACACCCTGTTCTGGCGCTTTTAGCACAGCACTTCCGGGCGATGGGCGACGGTTTCCAAATCTGGAGAACCGAGCGATCGCGCGAACGCCCCGTTTCGTCGCTCATAACATCGCTCGTCGCTTTCGCGCGCGCATTTTTGCGTTTATAGGGCTTGGCCTTAAACGTAAAGCTTAAGGCCCCCCACTTACTTGTAATGCTAAAGCCTCGCGCGTGATAATAAATTCTGTAGCTTTTAACGCTTGTTGTATAAGTTAAAATGAAACGCCCATACACAAAAAGCTACATAACTACAAAAGTTCCGGCATCACATTAAATTGTTTCCAATTCAGTGACATTCTTCATCGAATTCGCAACAATTCCAACACTAGAACGTGCATCTCGCGTGCTCGTTTCTCATTTTCCTTCGCCTCTTGCGTCACAAACTTTAATAAGGCTGAAAACGGAACAACAGAAATGAAGCTAGCCGGAAATATGTTTCTCACAATGCTCAGCCGAGAATGATTCGGAAAACTATCAGTACTAGTACACGTGCAACTGGATAAGAAAGTGTGCCGCACTAATCCATAAAATAACACACAAAAAATAACGTCAATAACGACAATGAGAATCCGCGTTTTGTGTCCTCAGCCGTTATGGTAGGGTTTTGGCTTCGGCCGGAACAAATGGTGTCGCCAGAACAAAAGCTTCCGAGATGTAAAGAACTTCGTGATATCGTATCAAGCATTTGTCGAGATGGCATTTAATTAAGTATATAGCAGAAGTACATGATGAGAAGTACGTGATATTGCGTTAAGAATTTGTCGAGATAGCCGTTAATTAAGTATATGGTACAATTTCATGATGAGGAGTTCGTGATATCGCGTTAAGCATTTGTCGAGATGGCCGTTAATTAAGTATAGCACACGTACATTAAGTTCGTGATATGGCGTTAAGCATTTGTCGAGATGGCCGTTAATTAAGTATAGCACACGTACATTAAGTTCGTGATATGGCGTTAAGCACTTGTCGAGATGGCAGTTAAGTGTACAGCACAAGTACAGTGTTGAATGCCTCTGCCGTCAATTTTTTTTTTCTTTTGTAAACTTTGTGCGCTCTGCAACTTCGACAGCTGTTGGTTTTATTATGTCGCGTCAAACGCACCGCGTATATATAGTACAAATTGTGCTATATAATCGGCTCATTCCACATATACAGGGTGCGTACGTCTCTTGAATCTCCGTGAATCTTCGTCGATATATTTCGACAAGGTTTCAACGGTGCCACCATTATTTGGGGCCACCTGTTTGGCACTATAATCAGGTGGCGGGTCGGTCAAAGCGCACAATGTAGCGCCACAGGTTGGCGATCTCGCTGTTCCCGAAGCGCTCGTAGAACTTTCGGTCGAGGCGGGCCGCCTGTGCGGGCGAGAACACGGCCTTCCATTCGCCAATGCGGCCCTTGGTCAGGTTGCCCAGATGGCTCTCCTCCTTGAAGAACTGGGACATGTACGAGTAGGAGCTGCGGTGGATCAGCTTCTTCAGCATGTGCCGGTCCTTGACCATGGTGCCAGCCACGCCGCCTGCGCCGGATCGAGACGCTATACAACCTCATCAAGCCTGGCACGCCGCTCACATCACCCGCCGCAGTGGTCTATAGTGGTTATGGCCGTTCCACGCACTTCCCGCACAGCCGCAAAGCACGTGCCGGGACCCCTGCACGCAAGCGGGGGACAAATAAGCCAATTGGCGACGCTCAGCCGCAAAGCACGTGCCGGGACCCCTGCCGCACGCAAGCGGGGGACAAATAAGCCAATTGGCGACGCTGAGGAGAGTGAAAGAGCGTCGCCAATTGGCTTATTTGTCCCCCGCTTGCGTGCGGCAGGGGTCCCGGCACGTGCTTTGCGGCTGTGCGGGAAGTGCGTGGAACGTCCCTTAAGGTGCTCAGCGGCCGACGCGAAGGTCGTGGGTTCGATACCGGCCGCATTTTCCATTGAGGCGGAAATGCTTGAGGCCCGTGTATACGGTGCGATGTCAGCGCACGTTAAAGAACACTAGATGGTCGAAATTTCCGGAGCCCTCCACATACGGCGTCTCTCATAATCCTATAGCGGTTTTGGGACTTTAAACCCGATGTACTATTACGTCTACGTCATCCAACGATGGGCATCAATCTAGATTATACTAACAGAATCACTACAACACGGAAAATACGTTCGATGACGGTACGAGATGTCCTCGCTTCTCTAAGCAAAACAATCGCAGAAAGACGACGTGTACCTTATCAGAAATACAAGACGACCCCATTTATGGATGATAAGGAATCTTGTAAGCACAAGATACATCTTCAAAGCTTCAACCGGACATTTTGCGGCTACTTTATCACAAACACTCCGGTTTGTGCCTTAAAGTACACATTTAGTAATCAGCTTCTATCTAAAGTATCCTCGTCGTGTAACGTTAATTAACGTCGATGTGTGGTTGCCTGACGCTGCACGTCTTCGGAAATCTCGTTGCGCTACACAAGGAGAAGATTTGCTGGCATCGGGCCTTCCCGCCGCATCGTTCGGGCAGAGCGACGTCCCTCACCGATGAAGTTGGCGAGCATGAAGATGTGGCTCTTGTGGTCGAGCGTCATGTTCTCGTAGGTGAGGAAGAGCACGTGACAGTCCTTGCGGTGCACCCAGTAGTGGATGATGTGGTCGAAGTAGTCGTTGTAGCAGACGCGTCCCCGGATGAACCACTCGAAGAAGTTGTCCCACTGGCCCTCCTTGAAGCGGTAGATGTTCATGTGCTTGATGTAGTGGAACATGGCCACGCAGCAGTCCTTCGGGTTGCGCGTCACGTAGATGTACTTGGCCATCGGGTTGATGCGCATCTTGTGGTACGGAAGGTGCGAGCGCACGATGCGAACTTCGTCGTTCGCGGCGCGCTCGCGGGGCATCATGTAGCCGCACTCCTCCAGGTTCGGCATCTGCGGGAAGGGCGTGGATATGTATACCTGGTAATAAGGGCTGCAGCGCGAGCACGAAGGTGCTAGAAGAAACAGACGAAAGGCGAGGCACGGAAAACAAAGAGGACAACACGAGCGCTCTTTGCCTTCCGTGCCTCGCCTTTCGTCTGTTTCTTCTAGCACCTTCGTGCTCGCGCTGCAGCCCTTATTACCATGAATTCAAACCAACTAGCCCAAATAGCCATTCTTCTGATACGTATACCCTTTCACACGCTGAGACTGCAGCCGGTGGGTGGTCTAGCGGTACTGGCGCTTGACCCGCACTTCGCGGCCACATTAACAATAAAGGCTAAACTGCTTAGAATTTAGGTCAGGTGGTCCAAATTTACGGAGCCCTTCACTACGGCCTCTTTGGTAACCATATATGGTGGGTTTTGGGGCGCAAAACACCGAAAATTATTATTGTTGTCACACGCCGAGAAGGTATACCCTGAAGTGTACGATTATCGCTCTCACGAGATATCGAACGCGCAAGCATGCGCGCTTTCGAAACAAGGATATAAAGGCGTGACATTTTCTTTCAGGAGGTTTGGCGCATGCAATGTTCATCATAGTCCAGATGACTGCGTCTACCTAATACAACAGAGGCTAAAAAAACGTCATGCTGAAATAAATACAGCCGGACCCACATATATCGTAATATTCCAATATATGTATTATTTTTTTTCATTTTCAAAGCAAATTTTCGTGTGCAAGTTGCATTTACGGAATTGCTTCACGATAATGCATAGAAGGTGGCACACCTGGCACAGGACAAACTACCTTTTTTTTTAAGTTACTATTTTTGCGCCATTCGTAGTTGGCCATAAAAGTATATGCAAGGGCCGGTTGTAAGCGAAAAAAATGCGGTACAGATATAGGAAGCCTCGGAATCACACCGATCGCTAAAAAAAAACAAAAACAAGTTCATGAGAGAAAACACCAACTTCATAGAGCGTTTGGCACTGCCCTATGTTGATATATCAAGCGTTCTGGCATTAAAGGGGAACTGCAACACTTTTTTCCAGCAACCATCGAATGACTTTAATTGTGGAATTCACTGCCTCATAAATCGACCGCCGCAAAGTTTTTTAATCCGTCAACTGGTGGTGGTAGTGGTTAGAAGGAAGAGGAAAAAGGCACCTAATTTCTGTCTGCCTTCAGGCGACACGGCGCAGTGCCTTATAGGGGTGGGGGGAAGGAGGGATAAAAAGAATAGAAGGAAAATAGACGAAGAAGTAGACAGGCAAGCGACGGGAAAAAGAAGGAGATAGGAAAGTGGGGATCCGGTCGAAGCAGTCCAAGGGCGGGGCGCCACAATGCGAGAGCTACACGGCGTCAGGAGACCGCGGAGGGAGAACCAGTCGGCGAGAGCTACGCTGGCGTCGGAGATCGCGAGGGCACAACCGTCCAGCTTGAAATCCTGTGAGCGAGTCCGTCAACTGCAAGCGGAGTCACAAAGATTCGTCGCACGTTGCGATCGCTTTCTCTCTTCTCTCGTCCCGACGAGCACGCTGGGAGCTAAACGGCCTGGGAGGGATAGTACGGGGGAAAGAAGTTGGATCGCGCACGCGTCATGACCTTGAGCACTTTTTCCATTTTAAAGACGATAGTCTATCTTGGGAACCTTCGACGCAAAAATTTTGGTCTGTCTGTCTGTACACTTGTCCGTTTGTCCGCCCTTAGTGGTACACTTGCATTTAACGGCACCAAATAAGCCAAACGACACTCCAAACGGCCGACCCCATCCACAGCGCCCACCAATATTGCTCAAGATTCAGCGTTCATACTTGTGCAATTGTCAATTGGAAAGCAATTATTGCGCATATCTGAGGCACCACAACAACAGGTCAATATTCTGTATGTGTGTCTCTTACTAGAAAAGGCGTACATAAGTAATTCTAAGTTCCGCTGACCATGCAACGCTTGCACGAAAAGGCAAGTGTTTCCAACGCTTTGCTAAGACGACATGGTGGTGGCACCTACCCGTTGCCTCACGTTCTACACCTTATCACCTCTGAGATAGACGCGCACACCCGTCTCAGAGCCACGCGCTTTGTTCTTTAAGAAAGCTGCCAGATGGCGCTCATGTCTCACGTGTGACGTGACTTGATGCGCTCGTTCGCCTCCGCTGCACGCTCGAGGCACTCTAACGCAGCGCTTCCAGAATACCATTAGCCGATTTTCTTGCGCAAAACATCAAACGTTTTGTCCACTCTCTCCAGACGCAAGACTATCGTCTTTCGACGACATTTGCAGTATAACATGCAGATACGGGGCCATTTTTTTTTCGAACGCGCGCCGCGGCTTACTGATAGCGAGCGTGCGCGCAGACGCGCGATGGCCTTCATAACTATGCAGCACACTGTACTGCTTGCATCAAATGAAACCCGAACAGCGGCAACCATTCGTAATGATATAGTGTGCACCGTCCACTACTCACCATGGACAGGCACGCATATATGCGCAGACCCGAACAGGATGCGCGCGCCTGTCAGTCGTGATAACTGGACGGCGTGCGCTGTACCATCGCGAAGGCTTGCCGCTGTTCGGGTTTCACTTGACGCTGACAGTACATTCAAATCACGAAACAAATTAAAATCGTACATCATTTCAGGTGGAATGGGTATGTATACTCGCCTGAATATCGAAGGCGTTGGCATCTGCCAAGGGGACACAGTCGTTGAGGAGCAAGTAGACAATCTGAGCCACCCAGACGCCGCCACACTTGGGGTACGAGACCACCATTATGTCACCCTTCGATGGCCTGCAGCGACATGCGTGTATTTCCGAGGGGCGTTCCCATAGGCGCGAGCATGGTTTCCAATAGAGAGGGGGGCGAAATCTCGCCGCTGCGTCCTCCTCCCCGACCACACACAAAAAAGCTTCGCAGGAAATGCGAAAGTGAAAAATCAAGCGATGACGTGTATCCCAGAACGGCCTGTCGATGGTCCCCTGCTTTTTTTTGGGGGGGGGGGGGGGGTAAAAATGCGAAGTAAACGCATCTTGGAATGAAACAACAGTGGTCGTCGGCCACTATTATCGTCAAAAACCTGCATTAATTGTCATAAATTTGCACTTTAAACAATTACGGCGCAGGTCCGAATTAGTAAGGATGGAACAGACACCTACCCCCTTATGAACAGGGTCCCCCTGCACACATCGTGTGCATGCCTAAGGTCGCTTCTGTAACGGATCTTCTAGTGTACAGGGGGGGGGGGGGGTTCAAAAGTTTCCAGGCTGCTATCTGAGGTATTTCTATGAAAACGCGGCCAGCGAACTTTTGACCAGGACCGTATATGTCTATTGGTGTTTTCGTACGCCAACAGGCAAGAAGAATGTCCCACACTCGCAGCAATAGCAACAGACGGCACTGATTGATGCTCCCACGTTTAAACGCACACATATACCTTAGAAGCGGACGTAGGGATGACTGCATCCGTAGCTCAGTGATAGAGCATGGAACGCGTTATTCTAAGGTCGCAGGTTTGGATCTTGCCGGTGGCAAGTTATCTTTTAGTTCACTTTTATTTCTTCGCAATTACGTTACAATTACTTCTAACAACATCCTGTATTGTCCATCATTGTCTGTTAGTTCTCACGTCTATATACTCGTATGACAACTAGGTGTACTTTCCTAATTTTGGTGCTCCGAAAAATTATGAGTAAAATAAAGGCAGCCATGTCATACATATGCACAGACCACAAGCTTCATTCGGACGCTGATGCATGCATGGCTGAAATACCGAGAGTTAATTATATGCGCAAGAGCTCGCCGCATTAATCGCGCGTTTGTCTTCTCTTCTCTTGTGCCTGTGTTTGCACGCCCACACTCTCTCGTGAAGAATTCATTCGCAAAATATATTCTTAGTATTGCACACCAGTGTAAACATTCCAACACCTTGCAGCTACACATCATATAGGTCCTCCCACAATACTACACGCACAACGTTATTTTCATTTTTTTTTGTCAGATCAGTTATATACTGGCCTGTAGTTGAGGGCGAAGCGTAGTGACATCTCGTCAACATCGATGGGAAGATAAAGGCCGTCGATGATCACGTACGTCGGAAACCTGGAAAGGCCGAATACTGTATAAGCACACTGCCAGCTATAAACTACTGGAAAGTTTCATTGACGTCTATGAGAGGACAACACAGGTGGGCTGTCGTAGCCTTACTAGCGTAGCCAGGGGGTGGCACACCAGGCTTGTGCCGCCCCCTCCCCCTTTTTTTTTGTCATGGCACCCAGAGCATACAGCGCCACTCGACCACATCTGACTGCCAGCCCCCCACTTCAGATCGCGGAGGTGCCCCTCACCCAATTCCCCGAAATAAAAATTTCGGCATATGGCCCTGTCTTTAGTATACCGGGTCCGGGTTTTAAATTGACACATTGACGACGGGGGAAGTTATGTTGGGTTTCCGGACCCCTGCCCAAAACTAAAGTGGTCGAACTCACGCAGGAAGCTCGTGCAGCGTTTTCAAAACGCTGACCGTGCGACAAACTGAGGAGCGCGGGGATAAAATGCCCTGCACACGTGCATAGACGCAATACTTCGATCTCGGCGAGCTTTATAATTTAAGGTAGACGCAGGGAGGTGGCGCTCTTGTCGCGCACATGTTTTTCGCAGTCACAGATCGGCGAGCGTGCTATTCATATAAAGACCCTTTCACTGTTTACAAACACAGCCCCTCGAAGACATACGGTTTTGTCCCCCAATGTGACTTAAGAGCTTTAGAAAATAGAAAATAGCCTGCTGAATTTCTACAGATTCCTTCCCTTAATATACATATATAATATATATATATAATATATATATATATATATATATATATATATATATATATATATATATATATATATCCATACCTTCCCGAAGACTAACTGGCCCATTGAATTATTACTCCCACTATATATATATATATATATATATATATATATATATATATATATATATATATATATATATTCCGTTCTAAGTGTTCCTTCGAGCTACATAAAAAATTATAAAACATTTCTTTGGACTCTACGCACGTTCCTTTTATGTTAAAAACGAAAGAGAGACTTTCTTTACCCTTGAAAATAACTTGAAAACGTGCTTTCAGTTTCGACGTTAGGAGCTAGTAAATGAGGTGACCGGAGATTTTTTTTTTTTTTTTTTTGTGGTGTACAACGCTTGTGGCCTTGAAACTGTCTATACCATTAAACCGATCATCAGGCAGCCACCTGTGAACGGTGCTCCACGGTTGACGTCCCAAAATACGTGCTCTACGGGAACGTGCCTGAGATCCTTGGCCGTGTACAGGACCTCCATGGGCGGTTCGTCCTTCTTCTCGGGATGCACTTCATTCTTGGCCCCTTTCTTGGCGGCGCCCTTCTTGCTGCTAGCGTGGGACCCGGACTGGCTGCTGCCGCCGGCGTGGCTGGTGCCGCTCGCTAAGGAAGCGCAACAAAAACGCCTTCAGTAGCAAATCTACGACGAGAAAGCAGGCGTGTAAAATTTATAATAGATGACAAAGGTCCGTGTTTGGCAAACCGGGAACGGTTCATGAAATCATCGACTTGTTTCGTCCACGCGGATGTAGCACGAAGATGAATGTTATAGCGGATTTCTCATAAAGGGAGTTTCCCAGTGGTCGAAGAATCCGTCCTCGTCCAAGATTCGAACTCGAGACCAACACTTTTCTTCCGGGCCGTTCTTTATACCACCTGTGGTTATCAGGAGAGCGGTCTCCTGATAAGCGGTCTCTGGTAGCGATTCAGTGACTTCGGATTGCTCATTGACCGCCCACTGGTGGTAGCAGTACCTCGCATCCTATGGAACCACGTGCCCCTTTTGTGACGCTCCCATTATTGCCGTGGACGTGACCCACTTGCTCTGGTCGTACCCGGGCCTAGAGCAAGCGCGCCTTCGTCATCTTAGAACAACGGGTCACCGTCCTGGTTGCCCTGAGGACGATAGTTATAGCGCGTCATGTCATACCAACTAGCCCAAGCTGCCACACTTCTACGCCCTCCGGACTTACAAGAGTGGATAAGAGGACCTTTCCACCGATCTTTGTTAAACTTTATGCATGAGTGTAACTTGTTTACTTATGTGTGATGAACCTGTGTCGTTTTTATGTATGCTTGGTATGCCAAAGGGCAGTCTTTAGAATTAAAAAAAAGACCGCAAACGAGCGAGAAGAAATTGACAACTGGAAGCTGCAGGTACAGTGAATATACAACTGTTGACGAGTTCGAATAGCAGACTAGGACGATAATTTCGTCATTTGGGACGAAGCCGCATCCAGTTGAGTTTTTTTTTTTTTTCTGACACCTTGCTGCGCCGTACTCCGGACCTTGTGAGAAATAAGCCTCAAAAGGAAAAGTGGAAACTTCAAGGGCTCGTTTTTCTTCTTTAGACGGAATATAAATGAGAACTAACAGATAATAATGCGAAGGAAGATAAGAGATATTACTAGTAGCAAATGTAATTTAAACCTGAAGAAAGAAAAGTGAACGGAACGATAACTTCCCGTGTACAGGGACCGAATTAGCGTGTGACCTTCGAATAACGCCTCCGATATTTTTACTGATGCTCCCACGTTTAATGCACATGTGTACCCCATAAAGTAGACGCGGGGTGGAGGGGGGATAGTTGCTGTGGTACATGATCACTTTTTTTTTTTTTGCCGCGTGAGGCGCCAGAAGTTACTTTCTGGTGGCTCATAATGTGCACACCTGTAATTTTCTTTCGCTTTTTTGCGTTTTTAGCAGCAACTTAAGTTCGTCTGGCAACTATGAACAGTCAGTGTTTTGCTGTTTTTTGTTTTTTGTCGTGCTTCTTACATGGCTGCGTCCAGCTGGGTCAGTGACGGCGTGCCGCGTTTCGTCGTGGTCCTGCGATGTCTGAGCGCAGAGACACAGATAAAGCAACAGTTGAGGTGGGCCTGACTCTTGTCGCCCACACAGCAACTGCCGCTGCCAACCCTAACATGATCGCGCTAGTGACGTAATGCAGGCGTTTGAGAGTATGGACCTTTAACATGAAAAACAGGGTTCAGACCATAGACAGTATTTCCATTGGCGGGGTTGTCTCAATGCGTGTCCTGAGCGTTTGTCTGTCCCTTTAATTGCCTGTCATAATTTGGAAAAAATCTTCCCCTAGCTCTCAGTCAATCTTTATCGGTGAACTTCCTTTTCACGATATTCACATTCTTGTACTATTCTTGTACTAGTCGCAAGCTCAAAGGCGGATCCAAGCATTGGAGTAAGCAGAGGTAGGGCGATATCCCCCTTCAAAAAAGGTTTTACACATATATGTACGCACGAACATGCATAAAGTATGGTTGAAGCTCACTCCACCCCCCCCCCCCCCAAAAAAAATTACGATACTAAATCAAAGTATACTAACTAGTCACATAGTTTCGATGAGGATGCTAATAAATATCATGAGTGACGCTACAAGGAGCGCCTAATCCATCGGCCGGCGTGCGGGTGGCTTTCGCTCTTGCCCGACAGGGAGAGACCATGACCGTTTTATAATTTCAACCGTTTCCCGCGCCTCGCAGGCATGTGCGCTTATTCCTTGGCGATGTCCAAACGTGCTCAGGGGACCGTACAAAGCAAGCAATCGCTGGCGTAAAGGTAGTAACAAAGATTTTACCCTGAAAAACCTTAGACTATTTTACGGACGGGTTTCTGTGCCGCCATGTTGGGCCTTTAGGTGCTATGTTTGGAATCTTCAATGACTGAATCAACAGGGTTACGGCTGACGCATACGCGTAAAAACGGTTGGGTTCGTGCGTACAATGTTTCACGGCCTTATTAAATTCACGTCGCAATATACAAAAACAGGTAAACATCGACTTAACGACCCAAGATGGCGGCGCCTGTATGTCTTATGCGAAATGGTCCGTAAAATAGAAACGGTCTCTACCATATTCTCCGGTAGGTTTTCTCTCCTGCTGCCTCGAATTAGTCGCACATACAAACGCGCGCGCGAACACACATGAAGTATGGTTGACTGCACCCTCCCAACCCCTGAACATTACACGCCGCTGATCATTATATTCTAAACAAAACATTACAAAAATATGAAACACATTGCGTTGGAGTGCAGCTTATCTTTTCGAACCCCTAGATTGTGGCACAGTGGCGCAGCCACGGGGCAGCACACCGTGCCCATGCCCCTCTCCCCATAATTTATGACCATTTATCTGCCTGCTCCCCCACTTCAGATAAAAAAGGTGACCCCCCCCCCCCCCCCAAAGAAAAACTGTGCCCCTGCTGTGGCCACATAGCATATACTACAAGCACAGCAGCGCACAGTACACCAGCACGTACGCGGCAGGAGTACTTCGCTATAAAATTAACTCGTTCATATGCTTGCTAAATCGCCGTGCACTTACGATTTGACGTCATGATAGCTTAATATTGGAGATCCGCGATGCCAGTGCTAAACCAACCCTGTTGGCCAGCCTGACGACAATGGTGTGCTTTAAAGAAATGGCACGTACCCACAACAGGGAACACTGCGTAGAACGTGGAATACTTACCGAGGGCAAAAAAAAAAAAAAAAGAAAAACCTACGAACGCATTCGTGGACGACTGGGAGGGCATTTGTCTGTGTGTGCGCGCGGATGTGTGTGCAGCCTCGGGTGGCGGCTCGCGAAATAATCAGTTGAAAGTTAGCGCCCGGTCACTCGTTCATATGTTGTGTAACAACCGTTCAAGAACAACACATCAGTGCGACTAAACGACTTTCTTGCTGAATTGCAGGCTCACTACATATTTTTCAAATTCGCAATTGGCACTTCAAATGATAATTAAACAACTAGCATTTCTAGAAATGAAGCAATGCAGACGTATCGGGCTAATTCACCTTATAATCGGCCAATCCCCTCCAATGGGTACGAGCCATGTGCAGAGGAAAACAACAATGACGACGACAAACGCTGAGCGCAACGTGTTGTGGTTGTGTCAACCCTTGCCTATGCAGATCAAGGTTTCCCAATCTGCATGTTAAAAAATTCGACCGATCTCACGCACCTTGGGGATCGGTGTTAAGCGAAGCATGTGGAGGGAAGGTGATAGTAATTTTTTAATTCAGCAAAATGTCATGAAATTACGTTAAATATATGCACACCTGTTTTACTGCACAGACACATCCTAAAACAGAGGCATTTTTACTGTTGCGTAATGATGCCAACAGTAGCATGGGTATTAAAAACACCAGACACGGTGTTGCTAGATAAACGAGCTTCAGTGGGTGGCACTTCTTGGCACTTGCCTACAATTGTCGTTAACCCGACGTGACAGGCTGAATGATAGAACTACGTATGTACTTACAAGATTGGATAGTTAGCACTGCAACCACAATTGAAGTTTCACAAACATTACGGTCTACTTGAAAAGCAGTTTCAAGGCCTGGCCTGGCTGTGTGGTAGAATACTTGATTGCCACGCAGAATTCTTAAAGGACCCCTCCAACACTATTCAAGCACCTCTTTTTTACTTCGAATTTTTTTCCAGTTTTTTGTGGGTATACACACGTGCGCATGCAAGTGCACACACGTACATATGTAAAGTATGGTTGAGCCACCCTTTTCTCCCGGAAATTTGTCTACACTGTTGGACAACATAGTAATGACAATTTCAAACCGACACTCCCCGATGTGTGTTCACCACAGGTGAGCGAACTCGCTCATGAGTAGACTCGCTCGGACTCTGATGTGAAGCCGTGAATCTGAATCAGGTGCGGGCGAGTCTGGTTAAAGAAAATTGTCGCAAGTGTCAGTCCAAAGTGAAAGATATGTTTTTTGAGCGAGCTCCAAGTGAACTGCATTTTTTCGCCAACCTATAGGATTCTTATCTACTCATCTTCAGCATTACTATCAGCCTTACCTGTATTCGCATTTAGTCACACACATTCCAAAGCAGTATCAGTAAACTATTTGAATATTTATTGATCACAGACGTGAATTTGTAGGAAGGGTGCCTTGACCTCTGTCCCGGCAACTCCTCCAGGAAAGTTGTTAATAAATATATTACATGTAGTCATCTCAGGAAAATGTCCTTGCTCGTTTGCAACCACCCATAACTCATATTCCAAAGTACTATAACAAAGGGCATTAAGAAGAGCATAGATTACTTGAGATATTGGTGTTAAAAGAGCATTGAAACCATGGTTGTGCAAGCTAATTCTAGTTCAACCGACTCGCGAGTCTACTTACTCAGACTCCGAGAGAGTCCAATTCAAAAAAATTTTTTTTGAGTGTGAGCAGAACGAGTCCGGCTTGCCAAAATTTTCCCGAGCCAAACGAGTCCGGCTCGGAAAAATTTTGGCGAGTCTAAGCTTCAGCGAGCCCTCAGAGCGAAAAATCTTTCATGAGCGAGTCTCAGTGAGCTCAACTTTTGCTGACCTATGGTGTTCACTGTCCCATTTATTGCGCTGTTCTGCCACAATGTACATAAACCGACTAGACCATTTAAAAACCCCTATTTTCTTTCAGTATTTGTCCATCCTACTAGCTTAGCAAGAGAGATGCAATTTATATTCACAACTTCAAAGATGAACACATCACAGTCTAATAAGATAAACAGTCAAGAAATGGGAGATCTGCCAAGCAAAAGTCTGTTGTAGGTTTCCCCCCCTTTCTTTAATAAGGATGACGTAATGTTTCGAAATAAGTAATTTGAACAGGACACGTGCACACTTAACACTCTTTCTTCACGTACACCTAGCACTGTTGTTGTGCAGCCCTGTCAGCAATGCATGCGGGGTCCACACTTTGTGTAGGAAAATTCTTTTAATTGCAGCAGACATCTTTATACATGGGTACTTTTTGGGTTCAGTACATCTGCTTAGTTGCCTCCTGGAACACAGTTGACTATTTCCGCTATCTACAGAACCAGTACAATTTGCCAGGCAAGCATGTAATCCTACACGGCAAAATCTGGGCTAGGCCATGAAGTGTAGTGTCAATAACATAGTGTCACAGCCTACATATTCTCACAGCTGCAGCATTTTGTGATAACTCTTCTGGTGTTCATGGTTTCACAAGTTGGGATTGGAAATTAAAACCTCATAGACCTTGATTAATATATTAAAAAGTTTGAAATGGCATGCTCATGTCTTTTGCATAAAGTGCAGTTTAAAATCATGTTCCTGATGACTAATAGCTGCTTACGATATACGAAATGGATTACTATGCTCAGCATAGCCTGGTTACCTTCTCAAACTAGATCAAATCAAAGGATTCCAACAATCAAGCCAAGGTAAGCATAGGAAACATTATTTGTCCCTTCTATCAGTGGGAAACAAAGGGTGCTTTTTTGCTCAATTAAATTTGTAACAATTCATCATAATTATTACCCTGCAGTTAAAAACAACGAATATTCCCAAGGCCTTCCTTGACCTAATTTGATGATGGATTTAGTATTTGGTTTTGTGCCTAACAAAGAAAAAGCCCTAAGAAAATTCCTTCATTGCTCCCGAAGCTAGGTATTTTCAGCTATGCGACACGTTTCAGCTATGCGACACCCTACATATGGCAAATAACGATAGTGACGTTTCCTCTTTCACGACTTGTTTGCTACAGCATTACACACTAAATGTGAGGCTTGAAACATAATGACGCACCCACACGCACTGCGTTGCCAGTAAGTGACAGGGTGCTATATTCTTCATAGTTATCGCTGCAGAACAACAATATTTGTCAGTCAATATTTGTCAGCCAACAATATTGTTAGAGTAACAAGCAATAACTTGCACCAGCATGACGGCTAACAATGATCACATAGTTTTCAGGAATGGTGCAAATAAAATTGTTTTGATAAATTTGTAAAAATAGGGCACATAAATGCACAATACTGTAGCTTTAAAGTGCTATAACTTAATTTCATTACTTTTGTTCATTTGTTCAATGACACATTAGTGATGATTATTTTGGGATCTTCACAACCACTGAAAAAATCCACACAAGCCCATTAATAAAGATCGAAAGCACATCACTTAAAAATACACGTGATAAAGAAGTCTTGATTGTACACCTCAGGCTATATTACCCAATGTTTGATCCTTACAAATAATCAAGCATTGAGACACACTGATATGGTTGCTGTGGTGATAGCTGCCACAAACAATAACAACAACTGAGCAAGTCCATACACCCTGTGTTTCTATGGGGAGCTGTGCTCCAACATGGAGCAAAGCCAAAGGAGCACATTTAAAATTAACATCTGTGCGCTGCAGGCAATGTGAACACTATGAGAAAGAGAACCACAGTGTTTCCAAAACATTGCAAAGGTCTAAACTTTTAAAACAACACAACATGAAAGATAAAACGAAATAAAAATTAAAACAAAAAAGTGAAGACCAACAGAACAGCTAATATGGCCTACCACACAAAAGACCCCCACTTTTTTTGTTTTTCCGTGAGAACATCCACTGGTGTTTATGTGATGTCGATTTCACAATACTCGATGCCAAAAGTTTATCACAGCTGACAACCGCACATGTGTTTTACAGCAGATTACTTAACACAATTGGCACCCACAAGAAACCACTGCTAGAATACACACGAAATCTTCATCGTGCCAGCATTAGCTTATCACCAATAAGTGATACCATGACTCTAAAAAGGGTCAGAATGAAAAAAGAGCATGTGTAGACAGTGAAATCTCACCTACAGAACATATTGCACTTTCAAAGTATGCTCCTTCCAAAAAAAAAAAAAAGAGAAGTAACAGAATGTCCCAAATATGTGGTGAAGGTATACTTCTAGGTGGAATGTGTAAAAATAACTTATGAATCTGCACCCGTTTCGGACTCCGATTTCCGACAGCGACAGTAATCTGAGGGGCATAGTTCGTTCTCCCGCAACATACGCACATACGTCGCGAAGGTCTCCTTTCAAAAGACGGCAGCAGAACTATGCCTATGTGCATATTGCAGCCAAGTATCATGTACACAGCTTTTTGAATGACAAAGAGCAGCTTCTGCCTCAAATGTGCTCCTTTTAACAAAGTATCTTTTTCACGAAATGCCGAAAACTTCTTCAAGTCATGATGTTCATTTGTTAATGAGAACATCTCACAACAGGTCTGTGCACTGAGGGATGCTTGAATGAATGTCATTCTGAATCGCAGTAACTTCAGGAAAGACCTTTGGTTATTGTTTTCAAAGACATTGTGTCTTGCAAAATTTAAGTTTAGTGTAAATCCAGGTGAAGGAAATCTGGAAAATGAAGAGGAAAGAGAAAGTACAAGAGTGGCAAATAATAATAATGTTTGTTCCAGATCCAGCCTGTCTTGCATAATTTTATTAGGGTCTGTTCTATTGCACTTGTCTCTTCTAAGCTAGTCCACCTCATCATTGTGGATTACAAGCACCTGTGGTTCTCAGATGTCCTTGGGACGTTCTTAAAGCTACTGTGACGACTACTTCCTCCTGTAACTTTCAGCAAGCATCTACATTATCAATTCTTTGGGCTCAAACGTGCAAACCACCGGGAACACAATGGCACGGTTCCTTTTCACATAATTGCATAACTAGGCCCAGGGGCAATACGAACATCTTTTAGCACTAGGTGTGAAAAGGAACAACATTACGACCTCGCTTCTGAAGCTTTGAAACATTTTTTAAACCTTACGCTTGACAGTGTTAACTCCAACAACAACCAAAGTCAGGCTTATAACACATTCCACATCTACATTCCTCTATAAGGCAGTTCATCATTAGCATAAAGACCAGCAACAGTTTCGAGTCAGCACCAACAATCGTTTACACACCAATACATATGTCTATATCACTGACTATAATAAGGACGGCGTTTGCTCAAAAGAATGCATACTGACCGCAATAATGGGGAGAAGAGTTGCCTAGGGAGGGAAAGAAGATAAAAAAAACTACATTGAATCACTTCGGCCTCGAACGCAACTTGGCATGGAAGACTTGGATAAGTTTTATGTCCAGCACACCTTAATATACGTGCTTCACAGATCTGTACACCACTCCTTGGATTTCCACAAAATATGAGATCTGTAGTCCATTCACTACATTGAAACATAACCACCGCTACAAGCTTCCTATGACAGAAATTAACAAGAAATATTATGTTTGATGGCGAGGAAGTAAAATGAAGGTAAAAAAAAAAAAGTAACCAGGACAGGCCACATATTCCAGTTAAAACACTAATGGAGGAAACTGAGCGAGACGATGTCTTAATACTTTAAAAATGGCATAGACACTGTGCCGCAGCTTCATGTATATACAAGAATAATAAAACATGTATAGCAGATAAAAGAATCTGACAGGGGTGTTCTTAGTCACCAAATGAATACATGGCACACCCCAAGGTGAATTCTGAGCACTGCCCTCATGAGAATGAAAAATAAAACCATTGACTCGCTGCTGCAAGTTTCTTCTCTACTGGTGCTTGGGCGAGGCACTGTTTGTGGGAGATGCTATTCTTTGATCGCAGTCATGGGAATCTGCAAAAGAAATAGCACAGAATGGATGAATGTGCTTTGCACAACAAAAACCAATATTAGCATCTCACAGATTGCAAGTATAGCCTAAAATCTTGAGTGCCTCTCACAATAGTACCTTGTGAAGAAAAACATGTGCACTAGGGTACATCTATGGCAGCATGACTGCACATTGACAAGCATTTATGAAGTCTGGTAAAATAGTGTTTCTTTTTCAAGAGTACAGTAGAAACGCAGTTATATGACTTTCAGAGGACCACGCAAAACTGTCGTATAATTCGGGCATCATATAATACAAATGCTACGAATACAGGCAGTGACACGCACTCTTGCCAGTGTCGGACCGCCTGAAGAGATGCCCACGGAATAAGCCTGCACCTCTTCAAACAACAAAGGCTAAATTACCTTTTAAAATGACAGCTGAATATTTAAAAGCAAGTGTGAGCAAATTCTTATTTTCTCTCAACTTACAAAAATTGAATTCAACACTCATTTTAACTAGACCTGTGCAAATATCAAAATTTTGGGTGCAAAGTGAATTTGAATATTAAAGTGCAAGTGTGAATTGAGTCAAATATTTCTGAAACTTTTTTTTGAATAATTCGAAGCAAAAATGCAGAAAGTTAGGAAGAATTCCTAAGCATATTTTTACAAGATAGGAACATGAAAGTGTTTCTTTTGGATAGGTTGACGAAGCGCTGGCAGTGTGGTGTTTCACAGTTGTCTTATTGAGCATTAGGCAATGCAGAGGCCGGATTTTATAAGTGTGCATGATTTGGTGCACCCTAAGTGTTGCTGACAAGAATTTACTCCTGAAAGGCAAAGATGCTATTTCCTTTCTCTTTCACATATAAGAACATCTCAAATTTTGGATGCTAAAAATCTATGGCGTCTGATTTTTCGGTCTTACTGCCCGAATTTCAGGTCCAAAACAGTGTTGATTGAGTCCCCACCTCTGCCACATCTATCATCTCCATGTTAGAACCACCTTTGTCTTGAGTCAATGCATTTAGAATCATACAGCCTAAAAGGCCGCTTCTCCGCGATTTGAGAATGTGACGGGGTGAGGCATATCGAAAATCTGAAGGGGCTGCTTTCAATCTGGAGTTGATTGTATTTGTCGAGAAGTTCGAATAGTAAAATTCCAGTGCATATCAAACTGAATAGCAAACACTATTATAACATTATTCGAAATTTCGAATATTCATGCACCACTAACATTTACCCTATAAATCATGTCCGTTGCTTGTGCGTAAACACAAAACTACTTTTGGCAACAGCTTTCTGCTAGAAGAGTAAGGCACACAATGCGACAGAGCACAATTTGTTTCAAGTTCGCATAGGATGCATTAATGCGCGCGACTTATCAGAGTGCATCATATTTGTTCCTTTGTGAAGTGCAACCAGTGATGTCCCACTGTTGTTACGAATGCTTGCGTCAAGGGGAAGTTATTTACGCGGTGTTGATAGCTGCATCGTGTCCTTTTTGCTTAGTTTAGACCTGTAACTGAGCACAGCAGACAAAGGGAGGACCTCTTGAACTGTATTTCGACTACGAAATCTTCCCACAGGCCGAAAGAGTGAGAATGTGCGAATGTCAAAGACAAGCGTTATTGATTGATCGATATGTGGGGTTTAACGTCTCAAAACATATGATTATACGACACGCTGTAGTGAGGAGCTCTGGAAATTTCAACCACCCTGGGTTCTTTATTGTGCTCCCAAATCTTAGCACACAGGCATACAGCATTTTTGCCTTCATCAAAAATGCAGCCACCGCAGCCAGGATTCAATCCCGTGACCTGAGGGTCAGCAGCCGAGTACCTTAACCACTAGACCTTCGCGACAAGGCGATTGATTGATTGATTTGTGCGGTTTAACGTCCCAAAACCACTATATGATTATGAGAGACGCGTAGTGGAGGGCTCCAGAAATTTTGACCACCTGGGGTTCTTTAGCTTGCACCCAAATCTGAGTACACGGGCCTACAACATTTCCGCCTCCATCGGAAATGCAGCCGCCACAGCCGGGATTTGATCCCGCGACCTGCGGGTCAGCAGCCGAGTACCTTAGCCACTAGACCACCGTGGCGGGGCACGCGCGGCATGGCGAAGACAAACTTTAATGATCCTGCATACATTCACAATTGAGACGTACCCAGAAGCAATTTTAAAGCCAGAAAGCTGGATCACAAAAGCACATGAACCACCAGGAAAATAAATTTCCCATTTTAGGAAGGCATACTGTACCTGTTTCACTACTTTTCTTCTAACTAATGGTCAACTAGGGACACAGAAGGTTTTTATTTTGCACCCATGAATATTAGTTTTTTCGGAACTGTATCAGTGAGTTTTCATACAATGGGGAGTTCACATAAAATTGTGTTGTCTAGCAGATTTTTTTTAATACATTATTTCGAAGAGGGTTTTGCTGGGATGAGACCGATTCGCTGTAAAATGCAGGTCGTCACAAAACAGGGGGACATGTAATTGAGATTCTGCTGTATTTATATTTTGTGATGAAATGTTGGTTACTAGTAAAGCGAAACTAAGTACAACTAACTTCCATTACCTCAAACTCGGTGCTAATTTAACTGAGGGCCCCCGTTTTCTGCACAACTTTGTAAGGCCAAAAATTGAATCGTGATAACCCAAACTGCATTTGTTTGGTCAGCATCAACTGCTATATTGTTAGCTATGGCAAATACACAGCAGACGAATGTACTTGTGCAGTATAAACAACACATTTAAATCCTGCTAGTAGAACAACAGGCACAAAAGTTTACTGCAAAATTTTGCGGGACTAATACAGTAAATCCTCGATAATACGAAGCCCGCCGGACCGCGAAAATTCTTCGAATTAAGCGAATTTTCGAATTGACCAAAACGAAAAAAAAAAGCAGACAAGCACTGCTATACGAAATCACATTTTTTTTTTTTTGCAAGAAAAAAGGTTATTGGAAATAATCGGTGATACTGGATTGCTTATTGCGGTAGTTCGCCGTCCCAAGTGCCATGTTCTCAAACCTGCTCACAATACTCAGCATTTCACTGTCCCCACCGCTGCACTCGACAAAGCTGCGGAAGGTGTTCGCGGCATCGACAACCGAGGCCAAAGCGCGGCGCGCGGGCGGGCTCGTTATCGCCACCATCATCACCGACTTGCTCACTGTCGGTGATGTCCTCGTGCACATCAGTGTATGATGTCTGTACACCCGCCTCAACACTGGAATACCCCGCGAAGCCTAGTCCCTCACCGTCGTTGGAGTCATTGATCCGGGCACACATCGAGTCTCCCTCGTTGTCTAGGCTAGACAAGCTGCAATCTTCATCAAGATCTTCGCCACTTTGTTTGCAGAACCCGGCGTGTTCAAAACAACACTTGATCACTTTTGGCTTTAACTCCTTCTAGGCAAAGGCAATTAAACAAATCGCACCAAGCAGATCGATGTGGTATTGCTTCCCATTGTCGTAGCAAAGCAAAACCCGCTTCAATAGGTGGTGGCGGTAAATCTTCCTCGTTTGCAGGATAATCCTTGGTCCATCGGCTGTGATATGGCCGTAGTATTTGCCGGAAAGAAGACAATCTTAACGACTTCTAGGTTTCTGATGTCCCCGTGGGCTAGGCAATTATCAATAACAAAGAGCACTTTCCGGCCTTTGGCAACAGACTTCCAGTCGAAGAACCGCACGTATTCCTAAATATCGCCGCCGTCATCCAAGCCCTTTTGTTATGTCTGCGTGACAACATCCCTCGGAGGAAGGCGCGCGTTCTTAGAGCACCTAGGCCTACCCAATCAGCTAATTACGAGCAGTGGAAGCTTGTCGCTTCCAGACATGTTCGCACCGAACAGAATAGATATTCTCTCCTTGGGCTGCTTTCTCCCAGAGACAGTGGTGTCCTTGGTAGCAAATGTTTATTGGGAAGCATTTTATAGAACAAGGCTGCCTCATCCAAGTTGTAGACATCGTCCTCGCCAAACTCCCGAAGCAGCGGTGCCAGCGTACGCATCTGCCAATCGTCAACGACGTTCGTGTCGGTGCTGCCGCTTTCCCCGTACACGGTCAAGTATGTAAGGTTATTTCGCTCTTTAAATCGGGCGAACCAATCATTACTGCACTTAAAACCTTCATGGCCAAGGCGCAGTGCCAGGTCATCAGCCTTCTCCCTAAGGATGGTGCCGTTCACGGGAAGATGAGCTGCGTTTGCGTGCTGCAGCCACTTCATCAAAGCGTCAACGTCCGGGTGCGTTGGGAAGCGAATCCTTGATCGCTTTGACGAATGCGTTTTCCCATATGCCTCGAGCAACTTTTCTTTGTTCTTGAAAATGGTTGAGAGCGTCGACAAGGGCATCTTGTGCTTTTCGGCAAGTTAGGTCTTTGTGCATGTTGACTTCTCAGCCTCCTCGATCAGAGACACCTTCTACCGCAGCGTCAGCATCTTGTACTTTGGCATCGTGAGTTCAAAAAGCGGTCAGGACTTTGCACGGGACACAAGCAGGCGTAGTAGGCGAAGTAAACATGACTAATGATCGGAAGCATGCGAGCTACATGAAAAAACACGAAGCAATGCACGAAAAACGGTAAAACGTGGAAAAATGCAAACGTCGAAAACACGAAACGGAAAACACATTTTAACCCGTTTCCGGCACTCCAACTATTATGACCTCCGAGATAAGCATCGCCGAAAGGCTGTTTCCCGTCCGTTGCTGCCGGCGGGAATTACGAATTATCCGAATAAAACCCTGCGGGCTGTTCAAATAATCTGGTAAAATTTGCATTGAAAAACATGGGCCTGCAGAAGTTCTTCGAATTAACGAAAATTTCGAATTATCCGAGTTCGCATTAGCGAGGTTTTACTGTACTTTAAATGTATAGGTAACACAAATTCGGAACTTTGCATTATTATGACTCATATTCTGGTAACATCAAGCAAATTAGTTAATGGCATTAAACAGTGTCAATTTTGACACGCACATATTGCTGCACCGTAGTTACTGTGAGGATGAACCTCAAAGCATGCAAAGCGTACAGCCAATCATAACAAAGCATCAGAGTCTGCATTGCCATGATTATCAGTAGACAGGCAAAATGCTTCATGTTTTATAACTATACGGAGATGTTCTGTGCTTTTATTGCCCTCAATCTACCCCAGTATTGGCTGAATGTCTTTGAAGTATCGCGGTTAATATCCATGATTACGTCGATAGTGTCGTTGCCCGTGGCAGGAAATGTTAGGTCCGCTTCGACTCCATCATCCAGGATTGCTATTCAAGGTCGCATCTATTGCGACACCCGTTATGTCTTCATCAGGTGCGAAAAGCAGAATTGTTGCGATTTGTTGGCCATGAAGAGCTGTGCGGTTAGCATTTGCAACAACAGTGACAGCCACTTTGTCTGCAGCACTTGCAGCAAGCTGTAGCTTTGTATCAACTTGGTGTGCACTGGATGCAAATCTGCACCTTCAGAATGACATGGTCTTTATCAACGACTGCGATGATGGTGCTGACGAGCAGTAGTTTATTTCAGACTCGGAGCAGTATGTGCGCAATGTTAGTAATAAGATGAAAGTTTTTGAGGATTAAGAGCAACCCTACCATTGTCCGTATTCACATCAAATGTGTCAGCTACAGTGTGATGGATGGGGCTGCTAAGCAACTCACTCGGCAAATAAAGTAATCTGGATGTGCATATGGCATCAGAAAATACATCTCTGACAAAGACTCCGGTTTTGAAATATGACCACACTGCAAGGGGAGTCAGGAGCTTTCGTAAAATCGTGGAACCGCAATTGGAAATTGGGGGCAATACTGATGAAATGCCCCTTACATATCTGGTTGCATTAGTGAAAGCTTTCTTGAAGTAGAAAAAAAATATTGTCCAGGAAAATTATCCATTCTGAAAGCTTTTTTTTTTTTCACATTTTCTGTAGGCAGAAAATGGGGGATTGAAACTTTTATTATGGGGGCAATTTCACTGTACTGGCATTCAACATTACAATTTGTGCTATGCAGATGTACCAAACATGCGTTAGTAGTGTCGCAACAGTGCCCTAATGCGAACAGCTAAATGCACACCCCGTGACCTGGTACAGTTAAAAAAGGCAAAGCTATTACACCTCACGATACAAATTAGTTTTATATCTAGTTATTGAGATGCAGCACTAGCTTATGAGGCATGCCGAATACAAATTATAATGCGTATGCGGTTAGTAAATCATAAGTGAGAGAACAGACAGCCCTAGTCTCAAGAATGCATGCATGCCTGTGAACTTGCGACAGATGAATGTCGCACCCTGCCCAGTGACCACGACCGCTGACGACAGCTGGAATTCCTGGTAACCAATGGGCTCAAGCAGCAAGGGTCAACGTCCTTGGCACCACCCGTCAGCAATGCGACTACACTGCCAACGACAATGACGACCAGCCAGCCAAAGCCACAGTACCACTGGTACGACAGGCGGTACAGAGGCAATATGTACCTGCAGTGCCAAAAGAAACAAAGATGAGAACAGCAGAACCATTAGGAGCATCCTACATTGCCAAACCACAGTAAACTCCCATTGCAAATGCCCACAAACTAGCTAAAGAGGTCTGCTAGGGCTAGAGCTTATTTTATCTGAGCTATCCTAAATTGTCTGAAGGCAACTGCAAAAACAATAAAACATAAGCGAGTCAAGAAATTCACGTGATGACTGCACAACCATATGACGCAGTGCCTTGGCACTGACCATTATGTGCTTGGAGCATTTACACCCACACAGCCACAAGACTACCGGCCAGCAAAGTGGCACGATGCTATTGTTCCAGTTGCCTTGCACAAGCACATCACCACCACTAATAGTAATATTAATAATAATGATAAAAACATTGCCCATCAGATGCAAACCTCATGGAGAAAATCACCTCACGAGAGCTCCGTATATCACTAGATAATGTAAAAAGAGAGAGAGAGAGGATATTTATGTACTCGAGTGTTTTTGCATAAGCTCTTTAGCAACTTTTTTTTTAAACTAGCAATTAAACAAAATACAGGATACTGAAACTTGCACTTTATGAAATAACATCATCGATACATCTATGTGGTTATCAGCAGAAGTGGTAGACAAACGCACAGACATACGACAGCACATCAATGCTCAAGACTCATATTGTCGCCAATGGAAGTGGCTGCATTCTCCGATGACTACTCGTCAGGTTCTTTTTCTACTTAGCAGATTGTATTGCTGGGTGCACCATGACATCGGTTAGCTTTGCTCAGAAAGGCAACTTGCTCTGACACCTATTTCTCTCTCTATTAGGCCTCTCTCTCTTCTAGACACTTATTTCTCTCTCTATTAGGCCTTTCTCTGTTCAAGCAAGAGCAATCTCGTAGGGCTTGCAGAGTGTTGCTTGCGCACGTGCCGGCTTGCCTGTAAGACGGAGATGTGTTTTAAACCGAGGACACATAAAAGTGTGGGAAACTGTATTCAATGGGCGACTAAATAATAGAACAAACTTCGTTCTCATTTCACAGCGAAGTTGCATATGGCCAGGGCATTCCGCAAGCGCCCTTAGAAAAGAGGGCAAAAGACAATGCGTATTGAACGTTAACAGTCCTGCCGTAGACAACCTGGCCTTGCACACGAAATTGGTGTCAGCCATGTCATGTCAGTGCTATGCGATAAACAGCTTCGCTGATCGTCCAGCTCACAAAATGGGAAGGCTTCTCATTTTTTAACAGCGTAGTTGTGTAAGCTATTAGTAATTTGCACTCCATCGTGCAAAACCTCATTACCGAATAAAAACAGTGCCTAAGACAGAGAAATATGTAGAAATGGATGAAAAAAGCAGACAAAAAACAGAGAGAAAGAGAAGAATCTTTACATTTTTTTGTTGTGACACAATTATATACACATTTTCAACGAGGTTTCAGCAATGCCGTTGCTGCCATTTTCAGCATAAAATTCAAATTGATCACATCGGCCCACGCATGGTAACATCTCTCCACGCATTGTACATTCTGCCCACAAGTGCTGGCAACAAAGGCAGCTAAAGCGAAGATTCAATGAGGCGGCCGTCTCTGTCGCATGGATTATGCCTGCAATAACGTCACAGCCGTCGAACGCTCATTAAGCAAAAAGTAAACGCCCAGGCTGTCTTTCGTAAGGAGGGTGAAGGGACGAGAGTGGAGGGGGACGTGCTGCATCGTTCGAAGGGCGTGGTTGCTGGTGGGCGCGCAATCTCTACAAGCATCTGGTGACGGGTCGTAAACTTGCTTTATCGGACTACTCTTGACAACAACTGCAGCAGCTGCTATTAATGGACTACCCTGACATGCAGGTGGCAAACGGCAAACAGCCACCACCCCTACCAGGGACTGGCTTGGAGAAACTCGAGCGGTGGCTGCTGCTTCGCCTGCGATCCGGCAGCATCTGGCCTGTGCCATGTATGTATTCAAACGGTCCCTGCTCATCACCTGCATGCAGCAGATGTAGGAATGACAAAACGCTAGAGCGTATCATTCACTCCCGCTCTTATCTGGCCACTGAACAATGTGTGATAGTGAGCAACTATCACCTGCTAGGTCTCCCTGCGACAACTGCGGAGGACTTCCTTTTTCCTGCACGGCCAAAGATACCGGCGTTGCAAGCGTTTCTCGAGGTTGCAGCTCCTACAGACCTTGCGGCCTTATAGCTGAAGGCTTTGCCTTCATGCTCCCACCTGCGCTGACAAGACACTATCTTGCCAATTTTTTTTTTCTCCTTTTAACTTCTGTTCTTCTTGCTATCATAATTACTTTCCCTTTCCCATCTCTAAAGGCACTGAGCTGTGCCCTTATGACTGAAGGCAGAAAATATTTAGTTGTTTTTCTCTTTTTTTTTTCTCAAACCTCCTTTCTTTCCCAATGCCTACTTCACATATAGAGAATTGAAAGCACAAACACTACTCGCATTCATGAAGTGGCTGTACTCTCTTAAATCGGCAATTTGCTGAGTACGCATGATTGGATGCGAAGGAGTTAGATGTCCTCAAACTGAATGAAATGATCAGCACACCAGTAAGGAAATGCATGGAAAACCACGAGTGCAACTGTGTGTGTTTTGACTCTTGTCCTGGTCATTTTGACCGCTGTAAAACAATATGCTTGAAACATCGACATTTCACACATACCTATCACCAACAATGACTCCTACAGATGTAGCATTGTCCGACACTATGCTTTCAGTAGAGATGTTCATCGCCGCTGTGGTTGTATTTTCTGACAAATAGGACACAATGGTTGTAAAGGCAGTTGTGACGTCTGAAGACACCAGGCAGCCATCGTCAAGAAGAGGAAGGCTCTCGGGTTTCAGACCATATACGGTGGCCCCGATTGCAATCCAGAAGCCCATCACGAGACCCGCAACAAGACCACACAGTGCTGCCTGCAAATATAGGAATAGGACAAAAGTTGTTCTTACGAGTCAATTTTCCTTCAAGTAAACTGCATGCAGTGTTGACAGAACACAAAGATTTAAGTTCCATACACACTAAAATCTCAGTGTGGATGAAGTCACATGGATATAACACCCCCAGAAGGAGTGGAAAATAAACATAAATACAACTCTGCATTGCACCGTGGCCTATAAGATAATGCTCATATGAGCACATTTCCACTCCTCCCCCCCCTCAACTCGTGCTCCTATGAAGGAGCAACTTACTTTCAATGAGATTGTGAGCGCAGGCACGTGGCAGCCATGGTAACTATGCAGCCCACGATGCTTAAATCAGCCAATGACCGTGAATTTAGGTATATGGAGCAGTCGTTAGGGTATGTGGCATTATTTGTCGAAATGAAAAGGAGTAATTGCTAGCTGGCTGAGCACTTGTAAAATCCAGGCTGCATGCTGCGCTATGACGTTTGGCTCATCTGTTTTTGGGAGCCTTCAATACTGATCAGCAGCATTTTATGACAATGCTGAAAAAGTGTTTCAGGGCCCTCTTAAAACTAAGTGTTTGAAGCAGTATATTGCTACGGGGGCCCACAGTACTGGGATAACTCCACATTTACTTTGTTGACCTGGAGTTATGCAGCCTCCGCATATTAAATAGCAATAGGAAACTGAGGTTGTGGAAAAACACACCTCTTGATTGGCTTTGCGGCACAGCAAACCCAGTGTGAAGACTCCGAGCAGTGGTCCACCCACCACTCCAAAGATCATGAAGGATGCCTGCAGAACGCCTCCCAGTTGCTCTACCAAACCAGTCAGCAGTACACACAGGACGCCGAAGAAGAAAGCTGCAATAAATTCATGCAGAGAAAGAAAAATGGAGTATGATAAGCCAACTAAAAATGTATGAAAAATACAGCAAAGAGGGGGAAAAGAAAACAAACTGTTTTTAATACCAATCTCAAACTTAGAATATTCGTTTTTACTTCAGCAAACCCACCCTTACCACAGCCTAACTGGATTCGTGAGACTAAAGAAGCCCAGGTCATGGGCTATAAATCCCAAAACATTATTAGGGAGCAGAGGCATTTCTGGAGGTCGCGCATGTTAATTCTAATTCCACAGGGCGATTCTTTTGAAGCGGATCTATCACACTGGGCTCTAGCTTCATTACGAAATATCATATTTTATTGCATTTTGCGGCAAGTCATTCGAAAAGAATGAAAATTTGATTACAAATGTAATTTTTTTATACAGTGCACACACACAAAAAATAATAATGAGAAATCACAACCAAAAAATTCTATATAAGGAGGGATGGCTGTTTGGCACAGCTTTGATGCCAGTGAGCAGCGATATAAGTTAGCAATGTCGGGTTCATCGCGTGAAATAAAGCACACTAGTGAAATAAAGCACGAGTTAAATAAGGCATGAGTAAAGCACAAATAATAATAAAGCACAAATAATAATAAAGCATAAATAAAGCACGAGAAAATAAAGCACACTACACTTTCGCAAGCATGCTTTGTGACGTCCTCGCATGAAGTTTCACAGAATGGCATGATTTTTAGATTTCTTTTCCTTCTTTTTTTTAGCATTGCACAGCAAAAAAAAAGAAAAAGGCAGGCCATGGATTTTTCATTGTTCTGAAGTTCTTTGCCGCAAGAAAGAATAAAATTGGATAACTTGTAGCAAAACAACAGCCCATTGAGGTAGGTCAGTTCTAAGAGAATCATCCTGCATTATCAGCATATACCGTATTTACTCGCATAATAGGCGCACTTTTTTTTCAGAAAATCCGGCTCGAAGTTAGGGGTGCGCCAATTACGCGGGGTAAAATTTTCGAAATTTTTTCAACTCGGTTCTCGCGCTTTAAATCTGCACACTTGTCAAGTAAAAGGCGGCTTTATCATTTACCAATTAATTCAGCATAAAACAAACATACCTACGTACCTTTTAATGAACAAGCGAGAGCCGTCAACTGCACACACACACATAAAATTTATTTACACAAAAGTCGTAGCTGTTCCTCCTTTTCCCTATTCGGAGTCTGAGTCGGAGATCACACATTCATCCTCGCCGAGCGGGGATTCGTTTTCGGTGTCCGAATCATCCGCACCCCACAACATGTCATCCTCACTCGCATCCAGTGCGTTCAAGATACCCGTCTTCTTGAAGCTTTTCCTGACGACTTCGTCGGAGATTGCCTGCCAAGCTTCCACGATCCAAGCGCACAGCATTTCCACAGGCGGCCTTATAATCTTACCACCTGGAGTCAGCTGATGTTGTCCTCCAGCCATCCAGGTAGTGTACAGCCTTCGAACACTGTCCTTGAAAGGTTTATTCAAGGACACGTCCAAAGGCTGCAGTATGTGAGGCCGCCCGGAATCACTGCCAGATCTGTGCGCAGCTCCTTTAGCTCATCTCGTACGCGGTCTACTAGGTGCCCACGAAAACTGTCCAGGACAAGCATGGACGGCAACAACAGACCACCCGACCGCCGACCCCAGACTGTTTTCACCCAATCCACCATGAGTTCCGCGCTCATCCAGCCTTTTTCCTGGACTCTGACGTAGATGCCTTGAGGGAATTTTGCCTTTGGGAGCGTCTTACGTTTAAAAATAACGTAAAGCGGTAGCTTACGCCCATCCGCTGTCACCGCCAGCATTACGGTGCATCGTTGTTTATCAGCGCCAGACGTTCCGACGATGACACTCCATGCACCTTTCTCCTCCACTGTCGTGTTCCACGGCATATCAAAGCAAAGGGGGGTCTGATCAGCGTTGCCGATCTGGGACAAAATGAAGTCTTTCTGCTGTCGGAGCTTTATAACAAAACTGTGGAAGTCCACCACTTTGTCCTCATATGCTGCGGGCAAGCGCTGGCACAAGGTGGTCCACCTTCGCAGTGCGAGGCCATGGCGCCGCATGAAACGAGTTGTCCATCCGGAGCTGGCTTTGAACTCTTTTGCTTCGATGCCCTGCGCTCGGGCTATTCTGCGCGCCTCAGTCTGCACAATATCCAACGACACAGCACAGCCGTCTTGTCGTAGCTCCCGTATATGCCGGACCAGTTGCTCTTCGACGTTTGGATACCTGCCGGTCTTGGCACCGCGAAAAGCCCGTCGTGTCTTCTTCGTCGCCTTAAGTTTTTCTTCTTGGTCCCTCCAGTACCGAATACTGGTTTCTCCAATGCAGAAATGCCTGCTTGCAGCCCGGTTGCCGTGCTCCAGCGCGTACTGCACTGCCTTCAGTTTAAACCCAGCCGTGTAGCTCGCGTACTTCCCCATGGTGGAACCAAAGTTCAATACACGACCACAACATACGCACACCGCTTGCAAAATGGCGTTTCTTTCTTTTTCTCTGATGGTGGTGATGGCGATCGAGCCCCCGGCGTTGTACACGTGACCTCCAAAAAGCGCGGCGATTTGGGGGGTATCAGTAATTGATGGAACAGCCGTTTTTTTTCGCTCATGGACGCTTTTTTTTTTTTTCAAGTTTTATTTCGACAAACACGTTGGTTAGGTCGTTGCACTTCGAATTTTTTTTTATTTGCTCGTCGATTTGCCTTCTTTTTTTCTTCAGGGTACGGGGACCGCGTTCCAACTGTACCGCTGGGGGGTAGAATCGTTTCTGATCACGGCCAAGTTCGGGGTGCGCCTATTATGCGCGGAATTAAAAAAATCAAATTTTCCGCGACCAAACTAAGGGTGCGCCTATTATGCGAGTAAATATGGTATATCTCTTGGCACAATAAATTTTGTCCCTACATGTTACTCTTGATTGCACAAAATGTTTGTTCTGATTCCAGATTAATGACTAGTATATCTATTTTCCACTCCCGTAAAAGAACTGTGTAAGGGCTGGCAGTATCTGTAAATAGATAAATAAATAACTAAATAAATGATAGGATCCACTGTAGCCAGTGATAGCTTCGAAATATTTACAAGAAAATCAATCGAGCTGCATTGTGGTTATGTGTAGGCCGATGTAGTCTTGCTGCTGAAACCAAGACTGAGCTTAGCTCTGTGCATGTGCACCCACTGTATTTTCTTAGCTTCCACTAAATCTTATCATCCGTAACACATTAAATCAGCATAGTTCAAATTCATAACAAAACGCAGTTGCCAGCTGTTTCCTCCTCATACCGCTATTTGTCCTTGGTATGTAAGTGTATTATAGTTAAACCCCTTTATAAGAGACGAATGAGTATAAGAGACACCAGTGTGCCTGCAGTAAAATACGGGTTGATAAGACAATGCATACAAGTACAGAGACATCTCTTTATAAAAGACAAGAATTGGTGCCCGGAGCATGCCTCTTATAAACGGGTATAACTGTACATCAAACAACATTTTCGCAATTCAAAGTATAGTAAAACAAATCCATATTGCACAGCAATTGCACATCTGAAAGTGCTCACCCAGAACTTTGAGAATGAGTGATGCGTGTTTGTCGTAGGTCTTCTGGGAAATGCAAAAGGGCCGCACGAAGTCCTCTAGCAAGACAGCTGCCAAGGAATTCACAGCTGACGAGACCGTGCTGAGAGCTCCACTGAAAATCCCAGCCACAAAGAGCCCAGGGAGTCCTTGCACACCTCCCATACTGAGCATCACAAAATAGGGCAGCACCTAGTGGAGTTGAGGAAAAAGCACAATAGTAAGTTCCAACAAGTCCATTTATTTTTACATGTAAATTGTGAATTAGGTAGTTCAAACAAGTTTGGTACCAATTCTAACTTGTACAGACGTGCCGATACTTCATGTATGAACCCTTTGTGCCGTCACCCACAAGTTCATTAAATGCTGCGAATTCTTTGAGCATTAATTTTTAGATGGACACTGTTTCTGAAAGCACCAATGGGTCATTCACCTTAGCCATTATCTTTTAGATGGTCTTGCTGAACTCCCTGCCTTCCCTTTCTTTTTTTTTCTCTCTTTATGGCTAAACTAGGTAATCCCTAAATCATCTATAATCATATATTTTTGAGTGTTTCTCATAAAAGAATTGCTTTCCAAGACAGAGAGGTGGAGTTCAGGAAGCCTCCCCTGCATTTTTTACAGCACTTCGAAAGACTGCAGATGAAAAAGATGGGTGGGAAGGTATTACATGGCTGTTGTACTTAAAGGAAGACAAATCTCGTAAGCTAACAAGCTAGGGGCCGTTGCTCACACTAAAGGTATCATATCTATGTTTCGAATTGCCCCTGCCAAGATTATTCTCTTTTTTGGCAACAGCCTGAAGATACACAGCATCAATCCTGCCGCAGATAAGGTGTGGCCGTTCCCGCTTTTTTACTTGCAACAGTGACTGACACAGGGACTATTCACCTGGATTTAAGCTTTGTATTTTCCCTCCGGCAGCTGTTTGGCATGGCTAGAATGCACTCAGTGGTGCCTAAATGAACATAACTTCGTAGCATAAAATTCAAATTGAAACAAGTCAAACCCGAATGTAAAGTTTAAATAGATGTGTTGCTGTGTTTCTATGGTTGCTTAAATTTCTAGCAGCAACTGAATTCAGGCTGCAAACATTAGGTACTGTAGAAATACAGCATGCTTTATTACCAGTTACACAGCAACTGTACATAACATTGGTAAGTAATTGTGCATCAAGCATCCTTATCATTGCTTTCTGGTGAACATATCAATTAATAATAATATATGTGAATACCTAGTTTGCTACACTGATATTTAAGCAAGCTAAAGAAGCACACTTGCATCGTCTGCATGGATGGTGGAGCTTTTTTCCAAGACTAATTCAATGGAACATGTGCAGTATTATTTAAACAATATACAGATCCCATAATGATGCCAGAAAACATCTAAATATAGCTATGCAATTGAAGCAACACACATAATGATTGTATCACATAAACAGTTTCACCAAATCACACATGCATTTCTAATACTATTACAACAATGCCAACATTTGCTCTACTTTTAAAAGCATTTGTAGTGTAGCTCCTTCAAAAGTGATCTCGCTTACAGAAGTTAAACCACACTCTCTTGGCCCATGTGTACAAGTAGTACATCATCGAAAGAAAGTACACAGAAGGAATAAACATGTTATCAAGACGTTTTCTGTAAGTATTTGACAAAACACTTTACTTTTCATATTTCCACAAATATAAGACATATATATAATAAAATCACAATGACACAACATATCACAGGGATTTCTGGGACATTAACCAGGACTGTGCTTCAGCAATGTCTAGTGATTGTAGTAGAGGAACAAGTGCTTTAAACTGCACCAAATGCCCAAACAGCAGTTATCTGTACTATCATGCTCCAAAACTGCACCTTAGCAGAAATTTCACCAAGCCACACACATAACATAACCCTAAACTGTCACGTACATTGAATACTACAGACCTAACAGTTTGACAATAAGCTTATTGATGTCCCAAGATCAGCAGGCATATTTCAAATAGTCCTCCCACAACTGCCATTTCAAAATACACAAGATATGCCTAGGAAATTTTCTGCTATGCTAGAAGTGGAAACATACCTGATCTGTTTTGGTAATCTTGCCCGACAACAACGGATCACAGTGTCTGAAGTTTGCGTACATCACAATACCGGCAAAGCTCGTAACCAAACTAAGTGCTGAAACAATGGGCCAGTTGATGAAGAGAGCTCTGAAATGATAAAAAGCCATGAAAGTACTATAATTTCTCATTGTAGCACATCTACTGTATATTAGTCACAGAAGTGAACCTTAAATAGTTTGGTTGAACATCACAAAGCAATACAAGGGTTGTGAGAAGTAACATTGTGGAAAGCGCTAAATAAATTTTATACAGCCAGGGTTCTTCAACATGTGTAGGTATGTACCTCAGCAGCCATACCATGGCCATCTTGGCCGGTGATCATATCTCCAACTTTATGCTCAGCTACAGAATGCTATAACTAGAGGCACCACTACAGGTACCGCACGTCAACTGTCAAAGCCTCCTTCGAGCACACCTGCATCAAGGTTTCACACTCACAAACATTGAATTGTGCTACAAGTGTCCGCTAAGGATTGTACATGTACTCCAAAAGAGACGCTGAAGTATCTAAAGGCAGAAAAAAGGAATGCTCATTTTATTACTTTAGAATAAAGAGCTAAGGTGGGCTTGCTAATTGAACTTGTACTTTTCATTTGACACTCTCTCCCTCAGGCTCACACCAGATAATTGTGTGCCCTGATCAGTGTTTGAATAAGGAAAAAGCTGGTGGCTGTTTGAATGGCTGCATGTCAATGTTTGGCAAGTGCACTGCACATTAGCCCCTATGCAACAAATTTTGTAATTATGACACTGCCACAGAATCACAGACATTAAAACACGGAAGCCAAGGTGTGCTTAGGCTGAGTAAGAGAAGGAACCAAAGAGAAAAGCAGAAGGTTTTGGTTAGTGCACACGTACGGCTAGTGGCTAGTGATGCTACAAGTGTGCAACAGTGGAACAGTTTGCACATACAGCTGTGCTTTCTTGAGCGTGCTGACCGTCATGAGCCGCTGAACTTGCGCTTGATTGACGCCATAGAGAGACACGTAGACAAAGATGCCTCCAATGGCCAGAGTCCATACAGTGTGGCGCACGGTCGGGTCGGGGTCAAAGCTGTGAGGGAAAGTGTAGAAGAAATAATAATAAAGGTAACCTCAAAAGTTTCATAAACAAAAATACAACTAGCACCAAAACTGAATTGTGACAGGCCAGCTTGTGGGACTACTTAGTTTTCTACTAATGCTGACATGTATTACCTTAATTTCTTAAAAAAAGTTTAGTGATTAAATAATTTGTTAAAGATGTTCCAGAAAGGTCTAGCAACTGCAAAAAATATCTATAGTACACATCTTTCACATCCCTCAATTATGTGGCCTCAACAGTTAATAGTCAAATACAGTATTCACGGATTCAAGAGCAGCATCGAATTTTTTGATGCCGCTCTTGACTTTCGTTAGACATGACGTTATCTCAAGCAGTTGCACATACCGACTGGTATGTGCAACTTCTTGAGATAACGTCATGTCTCAACGAATATGGTTTCAAAAGGTAATATTCGCTCTGATTTATACAACTTCAACTGAAGATGGTCCAAACAAAATTGCACGCTTTACTAAGCCCTCAATTTCGGTTTCAATCTGTGAGTACTTTACACTAACCAAACTGTTTCACAGCAGCACCCGTCAAGGTGTAAGCAAAATTCAGCCATAGAGCACAAAGACATCTATAGTTAGGGTGACATCTGAAGTAATATTCAGGGTGATATTAAATATAATGGCACGAACACAATTAACATGAATGCATTGTTACATGCCGCTTTTCAAATTGTACATTTGTTAATGGTAAAAGTCCATCAGAGTAAAGTCAGCATTAACCCACTTTCTAGAAATGCCCACAACATCCGCACCATTTATGTCACCACAGGTCATATTGTATATAGTACATAATACATTAAACGTAACTTTGTAATAAGAATTGTTTACATGCCACTTGAAAAAAATTCATTATCTAAATATGCAGTTAATATGCATTAAGAAAGCTGTTAACAATAGCAACACCAAACCACTTAGAAGTATGCTTACTTTAAGAACTCTATTCTTCCTCCAGCGAGTGCTTCATTCCAGACATTGTAGACACCACCCATGTTATACGTGCCCACACCAACAACAGCAAACATAGAAAGAAACATGAGTATTGACTGGAACAGGTCAGTCCACAGAACAGCCTTCATGCCACCCTAAGAAAAAAGAACGGAGAAAGAAGAAGTTAAAGATATCTCCCCTCCAGACATGCATGGATGCATGGTTGTACACATGCAAAACAGTACTTGCACATTATCACAATTTAGAACGTGGTGCACTAATGATCTATTCAGAAAAGTATGAAAGCAATCTTTAGTCTAAATACATCAGCATTGTGCGTCGAATCGTCTTTCAAAGCTTTCCTCATTATTGTTTACAGAAAGTTACACAAAACACGAAGGTACACACTTCACTGCCGATATTGGGGAAAATTATGTTTAAAATGACATTGTTAAAAGGATTCTAACTTGTGACTGCAATATATAAACTAATCTTTGTAATTAAATAGGAACTATCAAAATGGTACTACTAACCGAGACACAAATGAACAACTATTGCAAGATTTTCCTGTCTTCTACTTCTATGGATATAAATCAGCAAGAAGTACCATTTGAGTCAAATAGCCTGTTTCAAAAGACATGAGATGGTCATTCTTGAAGTGCTTCACACAGCCTTAATAAATGGCCTCTTGGATTAGCTGTACCAACCCAGAAGCAGAGTGTGATGGCTACCATGAGAACTATGGTAGGTTGTTTGGTTCATGGCATTGAGCCTTCCAAGGCAAGTCAGGTTGTGAGTGATAAGTAGTAGAAGACTTTGGATAACGTTGCACAGCTGTGGTCTTTCAATGTGCACGGATATCGCACAAGGGATAGTCCTCTAGCATTACCTCTTCATTGAAATACGATCACCAGGCCAGGGCTAAATCCATGTTCTTCAGGACACCAGCAAAGCACCATAAACACTGTATTACTGGGAGGATCGGAGAACTACGCCTGGTGCTTTTGAGATCTGCTTTGCACTAGTTCTCACGGGAGAAACTTTTCCTATAGCTTCCATGCTAGGCCAACTTTTGCACTCACAATACACACAGATATGCATGCAATGAGGTACAGAAATAAAAGGGAAAGGTCAGAATGACTTATGCCACATTAAAGGTACTGCAAACTGCATTGATTAGATCGTCCCTCTCCCCTCTTTTGACAGGTCTCCGCAATAAACCCGCAAGACGGACATCCCGATGATAACTTGTCCACATGGCAATAAAGATGTACTCACAATAGTGCAATAAAACGTGCAGACCAAGCCTACAGAGATAATAGAAAGCCATTTTGATATGCCTGTGACAGCACTCAGGGCCACGGCTGGTGCATACAACACGACCGACATGTAGAGTACCTGCGATGATAATTAAAAAAAAAAAACGTCAATATGAATGCTTGACTGTCACAAGCTAATTATACTTGCAGTAAGTAATACCTCCTGCTTAAAAATCTTAGTCAGAAAGGTATTCATAAGTTGCAGAGTTCAAATCGAAGTTGAAAAGAGTTGAGAATCTAAAGTAGCATTAATTTGAAACATGAAGCAGCACAAACTTGCACTGACTGTAGGCAGCAAAGCAGAACCTTAGTGCATTAGTAACAGAGTTATTACTTGAGACAACTACATATCTTAATGTTCAATATTTACCTAATTTTAATGCGCTCTTATCCCTTTACTGCCGAATGTTGAGAATTCGCAACATACCGAAAAACTTCGAGCAAGAAAGTCGCGAAATGCGTTCCACCTTTAATGCTGACTGTCAAGTATTCACAGGGCCTGTAGCTTTCAGCATGAAAAATTTAGCACTGTCTTGTCTAAGGTATTTTAAGCTAGAACCAATTGTTTTGGAGCTGATAGCGGAAAGCGCTCAGCGCGTGTAACAGCTCTCACTTGTTCGTTTCTTTTTTTCCTCGCCTTGGTGACCTAAGTTCTATCTTCAGTAACTTTGTTTATTTGGTATGTATGCACTCAAGAAGTGGCACACAACACCTTACGTAGTTCTAAAGTGCATTTTTTGTCTCAAGGTCCTCACTTCTGTGGCATACGGAGAATTTACGACCCACATAAAAGTATGCATTAATGTTGCATTTTAGATCATTTAACTAGAAATCAATTAAAGGTTGCTATTTAAAGCTGGGAAATTAAATCAATTTCTATTTTGCTCGGCAGTTGCATATTTCAGGAATTTAAGGATTATACAAGGCACATGCCCACACTGTCTCGAGCATGAAAATACATTATTTCAGCCAGTACAGCACGTAAGAGCACAAGAGTCTTGCTCAGGAGTCGAACACAAACCAAATGTGAGCTCTGTCTCAAAAGGCATGCATGTGTTTGTGGGGAGGGCTAGAGAGAGAATGTGTATTCTGCTACACCAACTTAGCCATACCGTTCAAGACTCCACGTGGCACTGCATGCCTTCCATTACCATTTCCCATTCGGGTCTACGCTAAGTAACCTGAGAGTAATAAACCACCTTGAGCAGAAGGTCAAAATATTTGCATAAATGCAAGTCTCACCATTTGTATAACAAATGTAGCTGACATAGTCAGACGGGTAGCCTTCCCAAATCTTCTCTCCAAGTACTGAAAAAGGATAAAGGCGATTTTCGAGTGATACCATAATAATACATAATAAAAAAAGGTATAATGTAACATTTTATAATGACTGCCTTTTTATATTGCAGCTATATATGTACTTCTTGAGTGAGCCTCTCTTGTATCCCGATAGTATAATGGGCTGTATAAAACTTAATTTTTAAAATTTTGTATATTAGTACTAATCTAGTTTCCCATGATCAAATGCTACCATTCTAGCACCCTTGCATGCCTCTACCCTTCATTTTTACAGATAAAACTGTGCTCAAAAGCTACACGACCTTGCTAGAGCCAAATGATGCCTAACACGATTGATCAATAAGTCCACTGAGCTTTGTATAAGCAACGTGACCATGAGATTGAGGTGCTCAGCACTGAAGATTACAGTTTTGATACATTGTCATCATTTTTTACTACCAGACAAGAACGTTTACTACCAAACAGGAGCATGACCTAACAGCCGACTGTTTATGCCTAGTTATGGTGCATAGAACAATCCCAGAAATGATCACAGTGTGTAAAAGTGCTATGCACAATAAATGATGGATGCTTCAAGTAATTAATTCAAGAAAAGAGCAGTTTGTCCACTGGGCAAATGTGCAGGCTCTCTACAGCATGAACAGAACTGATATCAGTCATAGAAGACTATTGTTAAGAGGCAAAGAAAGTGTTTATTATATTCAAAAGTGTTGCTGGGTAGGCTACATCAAAAATATGCTTCCCAATTTCTAACAGCACATTATTAAATTCATAGCTCAGCTAAAAGAATTTTTAGATGCAAGCAATTTCATCAACGACAATTAAAATGCAGGCATAGAATTTTGACTGGCATCCCAAACCGATGAAAAGTGAGGAGAACCCAATTGGAGAGGGTATGTCATAAACACAACCACATCTTATCAGCACTCGAGGTGAACTCGACTAACCTCATAAACACTGATGACTTGAAGCTTGTAGAACACAGGCAGAAAAACGTAGGCAGCGATCGGTGTGCCAAAGATGTAAGCAATATTGATAACAACAAACTGGGTGCCGTAGAAGTAATTCTCTGAAGGCACACCCAGCAGCGTAACGGCGGACATGAAGCTTGCCATGAGCGAGAACGCCACAGGTACCACAGACATGTTCTTGTTTGCCACTAAGTATTCGCGTGCTGTCCGCTGCCGGTCACCCGTAAACCGATAGTAAATGCCAATAAGCGATGACACTACAAGCATCACTGTGAACACTGCATAGTCCGCTGCACCAAACGTGGCCGCCTTCTCTTCAGTCGCCATGCTGTTGGCTTCAATTTACTCCACAAAACGGGGATCACTGTGCACCAGCTGGTGAGGCGTAGCGTTCCTACATTAAAAACCAAATAAAAAATGTGAGAAAAATTGCAAATATTTTTTACGACATGGAAAGGGCTTGGCAGCACCTTAAGTAAGTCATACAGGAGGTCGAAAATCTGTCAACACGTGAAAAAGGAGCCAATGTGTTACTCCAACTAAGTTAAACATACTAACATTTAAAAACGCAGTATAAAGACTGGGTTGAGATGCTTAGCTAACCGTACATCACACTTATCTCACTTCCCAATTTGTCACCTTCCAATTTCGAGCACAGAAACAACACTAAATGAAAGGACAAAGTTCGCAGACCCCGTTGCTAACAATCAAATGTGTTTCATTCTTCCAGTCAGCATATATACTTTGTTACTATCTCAATGAAAGACCAGAAAAAATGAAACAGCTTGTGCAAAGGTGATAAAAGTGATTAATACTAGAAGAACGCTACCTCCTTTGGGAAGGGGGACATTGATAAGAAATTTACACACAGCTCGCCGCTATTGTGTAAATAATAAGTTTCAGAAATGAGTTGCTTGCATTCGTCACGGTATTTTGACAAGAAAGTCTTATCTTTAACTGGCAACCACAATCAGTACGATGAAGGACCAATTGACTATTGCTAGCCTGTTTTTTTCTGAACCTTGTTTGAATGCTCATGCATGTGACATCTCCTCCTTCCATACTGCACTAATCCAGATTCATATTGCTTTGCAAAAATATGAATGCAATGTGTAAAGCAGCTTGTTACTAGAAGGCAAATGGAGAAGAACGGCTATTTGGGCTAGTTGGTTAGAATCCATGGTGGTAGAATCAGCGCTCGTGTTGTCCTCTTTGCTTTCCTTGCTTCGTCTTTCGTTTAACGTTTCGTCTAGCACCTTTGTGCTCGCGCTTCAGCCCTTATCACCATGGCAGATGGAGCACCTAATGTCATCTTCTGCAGAACGCAACTTGTGACTGTGCTGCCATAGAGTGCTTCCTCACTTCCTTTACTCGATAGCAGGCAGTCTACTGAGTAAAAGAAAAAAAAACACCGTTTTTGCATTTTTTGCTGAATTATTATTCAGTAGTACTGAAACATTTTTAGAAAAAAAACGGAAATGAAAAGGTAGGGCTACTGATAATTTATACACAGCCTTATTATAGCCTGACAAAGGGCAGCAAATACCCTAATGAATGTGTGCTCTGCAACAAAGCACAGAATGTCCAATCGTGCACACTCATGTTCAGTTTGTTTCTAAACAGCAGATAGGTTTTAACACTTCTGGACAGTGCTACCCATTGTGGTGGTGGCTACGTGCGAGGACTATACAGATAATATTGTTTTCTGCGCCTTTACAAAGTGCATCTCTCTGTGCTTCTGTGAAAACCTGAAAGACATAGTCACCAGAGGTATACAAGCAGCTAAAACAATGAGAGCTGTCATACCTGACGGCCTGCCCACTTGAAAATGCGGTTTCATTTTAGCTAATTCAGCCGCTTAAGTCATCTATTAAGGCACATATGCACAGCAGCCTAAGTTAGCAGGAAAGAGACTAAATACGAATACAATGCGTCGAAAGGTACACTAAGGAAATAAAGAAATACTAATTGCATGTGAAAACAAGGCACGAAGCTAAAGAAAATTGCACGTAAAAAGTGCTTTAATTTTTGCGCTTTAAGAAAGCTGAACTCACTTGAGGTATTCCAGCATGCTTAACATGTTCCGAAAAATGTATACCCGCTTTAGTACCAGTGGGCACAAAATGAAAGGTGTGACAACAGTTATGACAGCCAAATGTAAAAACACCCATGCACTTAAATTCAGGCGCATGTGTACAGAACACAAGTTTTGAAGGTTAACCAAGAGCCATCCATTTCCCTGTCAGCACTGCCAGGCACCCAAAAATTATTCATTATAGCAAACGAAGGCTAAGCATGCTAGTTCAAGGCTTGACCAAGACCAAGGTGTTGTACAAGGTAATTCCTCTCAAGTCATTCAAAAGGCTTCACACCCTACAACAGGAAACCATAGTGCACACCACACAGGGAAGCAAGGTTGCCTGATGGCCCAATCATCCTTTCGAACTGCTTCCTCATAGACAAAGCACACCGCTCCTTACTTTTCCCAGCAGCTCGCCTCTTATTTTTTTGCCTCTCCAGATGTGGCGACCAGGAAAGTAGAACTATGTTGACATAGTGGGTGGTGTCTAAAATGTGGTTGCCAAATATTTCCTGTTCACAAACTTCAATCTTGCACTTTCATTAGATAAATTAAGCATACCCTTTGGCATCTTCTATTGGAAATTGACAAAGGTGCCACCTTGAGAGCAACTTTAGATGCCACTTGCTAAACATATAAAGAGCCCATCAGTGCTTGTATTCATTCTAAAGAGTATTTTTTAAAATTACCAGGCTTCAGAGTTGAAATCACATCGAGACGTTTGTATGCATACTGCAACATACTGTGAATGAAGCCTACACTAAAATCACGCATTGTGGTTAGGCTGAGACCCGCAAGTATTTATTGCATGAAAAGTGAAGACACGTGTACTTTCAGGCAGAATTTTGCTTACTTGTGATGTACGTACACAAGACACTGGCTACAATATATCGCAAAAGCGATGATTTAACACTGGCGTTCGTTTACGACAGCAAGGCCAATAGTCAAACTTCATTAGAAACGTTTGAACTACTCGGTCAAGGACATTAAAGTTATAAAACCGCGCGCTTCCGTCTAACGTCGGGCACATGTGCCCTAGCATTGATCCGTTATAACAAAATAGTCATGTCAAGGGATACATATACGTGCAAGAATGTGTGCCGGTCGTCTCATAAAAAGCGAGTAAGGCTGACTGTAGTAAAATCGGTCATGTCGTGCAGTTCGGTGTCACATAAAATACAATACAGAATGTATCTCGCGCAATGCTCTCGGCAGCCAGTGCATCTTTTCTATGACGGGGGGAGGGGGGGGGGGGCAGCCTGCGCGTTAAAAGTGCAACATGCGCAAAAAGAGTTGAATGTTGAAACACGTTTTAGAAACACCGCCAACTACTCGCGTTCGAGGGACGGTAAAGGTGGAGGGGAGCCAGAACGGTTCGAACGATTTATGCGACCAGAAAACAGCACACACAGCGCCGTGAAAGTTAATAAATTACAGAAAGCGACATTGGCTGCGTTTCAAAGCAGAAAGTGTGCTCACCGTCGTGACCTCAAGCGAGGAGAGAGTGCGACAATCAAAACCATCGGAGGTGGGAGAGCAGCGAGGAAAGCGCAAAACCATCGCGCTCGGAAGCTCCTACGGCTTTAGAAGGAAGGCACGGCGCGAGTACAGTAGTGCCGCGGGCATCGGCACCTTATCACGGTATCCGAAACGATCGTGTAGTACAGTGCGAAGGGACCTTGATCCACAAACCTACTCGGGTATCTCCCGGCGCCGAATCCTCCGACAGCTCCCAAGGACCACAGGTGTCAATGTCCGCAGCGGGAACACTCGAGCAAACGAGACACACAGCTCGAAAATAAGATAAAAAATGCCAGAGACCAACGAGAAGTGCGGAAAAGACGTCCGGCACACAGCACGCCGTGCTCGTCTCAAGAAAAAAACCAAGAGGCGCCCGAAGTTGCGAAAGAGCGGGGTAGCGCGGAGAAGAAAAGTGAGTACAAAGTTGCAAAAACGCTTCCGCATTGCTCAGAAAGCAAGACATCACCTGCGGTTGCGAGCGATTCGGACGATATTTGACAGCGAGGTTCCTCAGCCTTGAAGCTTGCCGGTGGCCGGATGAGAATGACGCCGGCGATGAAACGCGACGGGTGATCGTAGAAGTGAGCGGATATTATCACGTGCCTCGGTCAAGTTCATCACGCGGCCCCTCGCGAAGCTCGGGCTCAGCGAGCAATGGAGCCTGCCGAACTCCCTCCGCTCACCTCGCGTCGCCGCGGCTCGACGACAATCGGAAAGTAAAAATAACTGTCCGAGAAGAGTCGCGGCGCCAGCACGCACGCCTCGACAACTTCGAGCCGCAGCGAAAGTGCTGCCGCCACCACTCGTCGTGTCCGTGTCGTCTGCTACGACGCTTCTTTCATGCAACGCTCGAAATAAAATCGCAGCGCTTTGAGAGAGACAAACGGCGTAGGCGCGAACCTTCGAGCGCAATAGTGGCTGTAAGAGGTGGAGGAATGCGAGAAAATGTTCCAAATATCGGCAGTTTGAAAAGCCGCAAGCAGCTGGCGAAAGACACCGAAGAGATCACCACGCGCGTTTTCGGCGCGCTACGGTAAGCACCACCACTTTCGTTTCGTTCGACGCTCTTCATCTCTCAAATGAGCAACGGCTTTCCTGGGGCAATTAGCGGTAGGCGTACTTACGTGGCACGATGCGCGTGATGAGGAAAATGCGTTGCCCTCTGCAGCAGACGAAAAGGAAATGCCCCCTCCAAGAAAAAAAAAAAAAAAAACTGCGACCGCGCGCGCCGGAAACGCCTGTAGCCTCCCAATGACGGCACAGCTCGACTTCGACTCCGAGACGCTCGCATGAAAGACACTTGCTTTTAGTAGAGTCAACGAGAGTGTACCGTACTTTTAGTGCGATGTTCACTTGAAAATTCTACTCAATCGATCGGTTGCCACGGGGTACGTTACTCACTAAAAATAAACTAAATAAAAATGCAAGAAAAAAAAGTCTACGGTGAAACGAAAACGCTGTTTTTCTGCGCCTGGGTCTCGCAGTGCAAAATTTGATAATCGCGCGAAACAGTGTGCAAAAAGAGACGTAAAAAAAGAGAGCGGTATTTTTGTTTTGTCTATCGACACGCCAATGAAAATGCAGCGGACTGCGCACGCGTCTCTGGTTCCCACATGTGCTTTCTGGCCTTGCACAGCAGCTGACCGGCGGGCGCGCAGTCTGTGCTGGGCAGTGGAGACAACTCTCGAATTTCAGCTGTAGCAAAATAGCGGCTACAATTTGCTCACTCTGCAGCTATGGACGGGAAGAATTGCGTGGTCGTAAGTGTTCGTTTCTCTCATTTTTTCCGCCCGAACTCGGTCGGCGGCGTACAAAGGCTAGGGGTGAATTCGCGACGTCCTCCGCCAACGTTGCCTCCGCTCAGCGGGACGCCATGCCGTCGCCAATGAATGGGACGTCTACGGAGAACAGGCGGCTGGGCCTTGTTCGCCACGTTCCGTACAGCGGCCTCAGTGGAACAACGGTAAAGCGGATGCCGCGTCACAATGACGGCAAAAAAGTGGGCGAGCCGGCGGCATGTGTATCGTCTCGTAGCGGTGTTCGGTAACGAGCTGCTCCGTCCACACAAGCGTCAGAAGAGAGACCGCACACGTGGTTCGGGAAGCACGGTAACTAGAAAGCACGGGAAGCGCGGCTGAAATTAGCAGTGTCCGTACTTCAAAGAGCACCTGTCATGATTACACGAAAGTTATAGGTTCAACAAAGCTGTAGTGAAGAGGATGTGGTGAATACCAGAATAACTCTGGCGAATGCAAGGTTGCGCGAGAGGGCTGCTACATACACTGTCGGTCATCATGGCCAATCGTTTTTTTTTTCTTTTGCCGCTTTCGTTCGTTCGATTATCATCAGAAAGCCCGCCGACATTGCTTTTATATCGAAATATTCTTATGCTCGTCAAGTAGCACACTCGTGATGGGGCATAGAATGCAGTACAGCCGACAGCAATTTTTTTTTTGAAGCTGGGGAAAAAAATAAAGAAAAACTAACGATTTCATTACATCTTCGCTAAATAGTGTATGCACATTGCTTCTGTTGCGTTTACAGATACCAGACAACTTCACTGGATACAGCACCGATCTCTTCTGTATTCCGAAGCATTACAAAGAAGATGTTGAATGTGTCTTCCTCCCGTGCGGACTCGTTCAAGACAGGTGAATTCATCCCTTCAGTCTTTGGACCTTCATTCTTGTGGAAAGCAACACGCCAGTCACAAAAGTACAGCCACGCCTTTAGCACTGCTTCTGTACGCAAATATTGCTCAGACTACATTCTTGTGATTCTGTTAATTGATAAATGTCTGGGAGAGTTCTCTCTTGTGGGTGTGTGTGTAAACAGTGCTACCGCAGTGCATATCCAAATACTGCTATATAGTGTCTCGGCCAATAGATTTTTCAAATGACTAGTGGTTAGTGATATTTCATTCATTTGGCAGAGCCAAGATTATCCTGTCGACAAAATTTATTCATAATGAGGATGGCACAGTGTTCATTAGTTTTTATAGGCCAAAGCAAAGCAATTTGTTAGAAACTTGATGCCAGGTATACTTTATAAAAAGAAACTGTTTTTGTGCTACTGCCTGAAATTCGAGCGTGATGGCTGTAAGGTTGTAGTATTTCCAGCAAATTAATGAATTTTGTTAAAGGTATGAAATTGTATGTACGGTCCTTACCCTAGTATTCACCACAGAAACTGACACTTCTGAAATATGAGACATTCTCTTGTCAAAGCTACATTCCTGTACCACTTCTGAAAATTGTTTATCAGAAGCAGCACTTAAAAAAAAACAGCCAAACTGCTTGAGGTCTTTCTCATTTATGCAATATGTGTTAATGCAGGATAGAGCGGATGGCTCAAGACATTGTCTTGCACTACCACGACAAGCCATTCCGAGCACTGTGTGTCCTTAAAGGAGGCTATCGCTTTTTTGCTGACATGCTGGACAGAGTGCGTCACTACTACCACTTCAACCAGTGCTCAACACCATTCTCTACCGACTTTATCAGAGTCAAAAGTTATGTGGTAAGTTTCGTGCTCCCTACATCATGGCCTGAACAAAATAGTAGTACAACAAAAATCATCAAACAGTGTCTTCATGGCTCCCTACAATGCCAGCACAGATAGCCATGAAGTCATAGCAACTCGACCTCATAGCATCTAACAGCGATTGTTCTGTCAATTTGTACTGTACTGTCGTCAAGTGCTTTCCTGCACTCGCATACGACTGAACGTCAACTTGACGACTCTACATTAGCGCAGTGAAAACACTCCCAGCATGTGCAACATACCGGCCGGCACAAAGGAAGTTCTCAAAACACCAGTTAAAAATATGCCAAGCATCTGAAGGTATGGCTACAGGATAGCTAGGTGGGCTAGTTGTCACATTACAAGGAAGGCACATACACCACAAGCACTTGTGTTATATGTGTACTGTCTTTGTCTTGCATCATTTACTGGTGCTCAATGTTTTACAGCTTAATCTGAAGGCATATGCTTGCTTGCAGGATATTACTAAGAATTGTAAAAAGATGAAAAATGGCATAAATAATATTTATGAGACCTCGAAATGATGCTTTAAATTCCAGAAGTCAATAGGAATTTTTCGCTAACTGCTTCAAAAACACCAATAGCTACTCCGAATTAGCATTATTTTGCTTCGAAAACACTTAAGCCTGCACCATTTTTTCTACTCCAGAAAAACAGATTCCATCACTGGAAGCTCCCTTTTAATATGAGGGAAACACCCCCACAAATAACCAAGCGCCAGGATGGGCAACATCCCTGTCCACTGACAACATAACCATCGTTCTTTGTGCATGTATGTTTCCTGCTACTGTGGAAATCAAGGCAGTTAAGTTAATATAGCGATATGCTTGCACTTGAAAAATACTGCAAATTTGCTCTTGAAGCCGACCATTAGTCCATGCAGAGCAAACAGAAAACCAATGTTCTCATTACTCAGCATGACTATCATCGTCCTTTTCTTCATCTGCAGCTGTGCTACTGGTACACATAACGGCGATTTGCTTTGCGTGGTATGCAGTAACTCTGATGAGCAAAAGAACAAGTACAGAGAGAGATTCTTGTTGAGGCCAAATGCTAACCCGCATAACCACAATCCAAACGGGATTGTAGCAACCATTCGGCTGTCCAGGCATGCTAGCAAAGCATAGCACTGCCTAAGGACCAATACAAGTGATGTGTCATTTCATTCTGGTGCTGAGTGGCAGGAGCTAATGACCATGTTCCATACATTGATGGAAAATTTTGAAATGCAAGTTTGCAGCATAGCTAGTTAAAAATATTTGAAACGATGAGTGTTGATTGTTTTTCTTGAACCTTCTGCATGCATTGCCTACATCATTTAATAATATTATGAAGTGAGCCATGTTTTTTTTTTTTATCATTTAGAATGACAAGTCATCTGGTGAAGTAACCGTCATGGGACTGGACAGCATGGAAGAACTCAAGGGACAGGTGATTGATCTTTCTAGATTGCCAGAAGTTTTATTTTAAAGCTCTACAGAGATAGATCATGCTGCAGCATACACAATATTTCTGTATTTTATGTACTACTGGCATTGTATATAAAGAACATCATCACAAAATAGCCACACTTGATGCCTCAACGCAATATAGATGTTAAAACTCGTATCTCTGACCCTTGCCAGGTGAAAGATTGCATGAAATTATGTGGCTTGGAAAGAACTGCTATGCCTTGAACTTGATTCACTTACAACTTCATTTCATGTACAGATGTGATAATGAATTAGCACTGCATATAAATTTTGCATTGTAAAATTGTTGCATATTACATAGAGGTAAACATCACTTTTTCATCAAAGTATGTCACCAAGGCTCAGTGCATTCTTAAGTCGCACAAAAACAAAGATTTACTATATAATACAGTGCATTAAATTGTGCAGCTTCTGTTATAAATATTACATGGGTGAGATAGGAACATGGTCATTAACATAGATTATACCATCAGAACACTTAACTTATTTTATTGAATGATTGCCCGTTTTGCTTCATTGCATTAGAATGATATTATGGCATGTAGTGTGTGCATGCAGGGCATGTCAAAAAATATGTTCAAAAATCACAAATATTTTTTCTATGATGGCAGACTCCTTAGGCTGACAGGATAGATCATTTATGAAGTAGTTATAAAATTTATCTGACTGTAATTACAGGAGACAAGCAGTTGGGTCAAACTAGACGATTGGAGTCTTTCCTGTGAAGAACCCTGTGCTATTTTTTAATTTCTAAGTGGCCGCCAATAACTTGCGCAGTGATGAATTCTGAGCAAAATAGCTAGAGAATCGAAAGTGCTGGATAGCACATCATGTGTAGTCTTCTCAAACTTCTGTAATAAGTGAGCATTTTTAAAGCATCAACCGTCAATCTACTTCATTTCATAGGTGTGCAGGCTGTGCTTTCCAAGAGAGCACACATGGCACATGTAAACAAGCAAATGCAGGAGAATAATGCCACTGTAGTCACTGTCTGAAGCAATGTCATTCTGGGCATCAAGTAAGGCAGTACTCAAGTAAGGAAGTAGCGCTCATTGGATTTGATTTTGCACGTGAAATTAGTTGGATTTCATCATTCTGCGAATGTTATCGGCGGCCTCTTTTTGAAACATCAAAATGGCAACATGATCATTCCAGGGAGGCCTCTGATTTTCCCAGTTGACCAGAATGCTTGTCCTCTCTAATTAAATTGTAAATTTGTTTTCTATAATTACTGCCATAGTTGTCTCTTAAAGGTGTCCTCCGCCGCAAAAAAAGCAGTGCCATGGGTAGAGAGCAAATATTTCAGTTCCCTTGAGGACTTTCAGGCATTTCATGAAAAACAAAGTGTATGTTGCGGTTGCTACACGACCATAGTGGTATCTGGAGCACTTGTGTCCAAAGTGTTCGACACGCTTTTCACGCATGGCTTGGATGCTTCTTAGTATTATTGCTAGTGTTGAATATGTTGGATAGTATTTCATGATTACGTAAAGATGAATGTGTGCCTGTGCGATCATCTTTGCGTGCTGTTAGCATCTAAAAAATAAAATGTACATTAGTCCCACTAGCAAGTGCCTGTTGTTCCCAATGAGTTGCACATGCAGAATCAACCATGTGCAGAACATCCTGATTGTTGAAGACATCATTGAAACTGGGAAAACAATGGCTGCTCTTGTGGAATACCTCAAGGCTTTTGAACCTAAAGAGGTCAAGGTCTCCAGGTGGGTGTCTTGGAAGTGTAATTGCAAACATAACTTAGCATGCATACCCAGTACTTTACACACAGACAAGCATGAAATGTTTACCACAGGCAATAAAGAAACTCAAGAATTCATGCTATGCTGTAGAATGCTACGCAAAATATGACAGATTGTAACTTTGTTAAGCTAAATTAGGACATGGTGCTTTCATTAGCACACAGTATGTTCAGTGCAATAAAATATTGCAGTAAAGTTTTATCAACCTTCATAGAATTGTTTGCTACTGCAGATATTGTGATTTAAAAAATCAGCACTTGTGCAACCTTGTCAATAATAATAAAAAAATGTATTTTTGTGCACAATTCTGGTGAACTGCTTTCTCTATTTTGTGCAGCTTGTTTGTCAAGAGGAGCCCCAGAAGTTCTGGCTACAAGCCAGATTGTAAGTAACACAGTTTTAATCTTGCATGTGAGTGCCACGGTGTTCTAGAAATTACGTGGCTCTACTGCTGACCGGGAGGCTGCGGGATTGAATTTTGGACATGGCAGCCGCATTTTCAATGGAGGCAAAGATGCTGGAGGCCTTAGATTTAGGTGCTTATTAGAGAATCCCAGGTGGCCGAAATTTCCAGAGCTCTCCACTACTGAGTCTTCCATAATCGAATTGTCGTTTTGTGATGTTAAACCCCATCTATTATTATTATTATTATTGCATTTATAACAAGTTAAGCAGCTTCTCTGCTATTCACAGAAAATAAATGTGATAACAGATGCTCGCTATGCATTAGTGGTGCCACGACTGAAGAAAGTGCGGAGCTGAGCAGCCATCCTTGTTTTGCTGTCCTCATGTCTTGTTCTCTTTTTTTTGTATGTTTCCTTCTTTCGCTCTCTCTTTATTGCTTCATTTTTCTTTTTCTCTTTTGGTCTATATGTTTTTCTCTTTCCCTGATTATCTATTGATATCTTTCTCCTGTTTTTCTTCCCGCTCTCTCTTTACTTTTCTTTTAATCTTTCTTTCTACGCTACGCTTTACTTTCTACCTTCCTCCTCAACCTTACTTTCCTTTCCTACTCTCTTGCTACACTATGCTATATATAACACTATGTTATGCCCCGCTAGTGAGCCTTGATATCAGAGTGATTACGATGCTAGTACAGGACTTCAAATCGAACCTCATTAAATGTTTTATGACAGACATTAAAATGTCTGTCATAAAATAGAGAAGAGCAGTCTTTGTACTTGTACAGTTGTCATCAGCTTCCTGAGGTCAAATTCGTGTAAATTTGGATTTACCGTGCTATATACAGTAGACTTGTTGAACAGACCTAAAGGGTCGAAGAAATTTCGGTCTGTGAAATAGGAGTTCCGTTTGCTGAGAGACAACAGGGGTGCAGAATACCAGCACGAAACCAATCATATCGGAAGCAGTTGTTCCGTTTAAGAGATTAGCGGTATCCTACTGTAATTCTAGCTACTGCCTGTACTAACAGGTTATGAGGATTTGCAACCTTGTTGCAGTGCTGCACACCTGCTAATAATTTGCAATGTTCTCACTGCAGATTGTGGCTTTGAATTACCTGACAAGTTCGTTGTTGGCTATGCCCTTGATTACAACGACCATTTTCGTGATCTAAGTGTAAGTGCCAAACTTTTCCTTCTTTGTTTCTTTAAAGAAACATTGGTGATACTTTTAGCGAGCATATATCAATGTATTTGATAACAATATAAACTCTGCAGTTTACAAAAATATTCATTTTTCTGTAGCTTGAACCACACCTGTTACCACCTCTAAAGCAAGCATAATGTAATACAGCTGAAACTAATTTAATAAAGTGATTGCGCTCGAATCAGTTCATAAAATTAGTAAAATTGAAAAAAGAATTTTTCAGTTTTTTAAAGCTAAAATTTTAACCAGTGACACTTTCTTTGCCGCCAACCGAAACCTTCACATGTGGAAAGTCCTTGGCCAGTAAGCAGCCCAAACGTGGAGTCTCCAGTCTTAGAGAGCGCCATTTGAAGAAACTCGTTTGTGATATATTTAAAATGAAATCGCCACCTTTTCACCGAGCTAACAGGAAAAAATCCGGCTTGGTGGCCAAGATAGTTCGTTATTTTGGGTACATGATAACGGTGCACCCTACAGGTGTTTGGTGGGGGGATGGCAATTTTTTCGTTCGATTGGAAGCATTGTAGAATTGAGTTCTGTTAGATTGAGCTTAACTGTATTGATCGCTCTGATGTGTACCAATAATTCGGGAATAGGTCTTCCAATACATTTGCATGTGTCCACAGACACAGAGCCCTCAACTTATAGCTTGAGCTATTTATATATTTACCAACCTTGCTGCCTTAAAGATATTAGGGCCTATGTTGTAAGCCACCTCTGAATGGTTATTATTTTTTCGTGAAGCAAACTTGATACCTTAGATTTTTACATTACAAGTCTCCTTGAATATAAAAATTGGAAGTTTGCCTCGAACCAAAGATTTCATTAATGACTGGCTATAAAAGTTGACTAAAACTAACAAACAAAAGAGCCTAGGAAAGTAAGTATTATGTAAGTGTGAAGAAAATAAAATGGATGAAAAGATTTTTTTTTGTCCACTTTATTTTCTTCACATTTACTTCGTAATTGCTACCAATACCATCCCCTATACTTCTCTTGGCTTTCTTGTCTGCTAGCTCTCATTGATGTTGAGCTTAACAAAGAAAGTATAAGCCCTTAAACATTTATCTTTTTTCATTTAGCAATAAAAATGACAGTATGCTTTTCAGACATTGCTCTCTTAATGTCTGGTTGGTTACGACACCCTTGAAATGTGACCACTTCTGGGTTTTTGAATGAGTCGAAAAACAATTTCAAGCACGTTAAGCACATTTCTCTTTTGCTTGGCAACCAATACTTTATATCAAAGGAAGCTGCACTTCTGAGAGCTAGCTCTGCTGCATCCATTTGTATGTACACATTGTATGTCACTACACTGGCAGCTGTTTTTGCAGTGCACCATAAAATGCGAAAAGAATGTTGTTCAAATATTGTGCAGTGAGACAATAGGATGTTTTCTAATAAGGGCCCCAAAAGTGTGGGGCCTCAAAGCCCTTTGCGGATGTAGGCTTTGGAATGAGCAGGAGCAAAAAGTTTTCGAATAGGGCCTGCAGCGCTTTGGATTTGACATGCCCCCTATTCTGCGTCACTCCAATTTTGGCCGAGAGCCATCACTTCAGTGGGTGCTGTCACGTTTGTCTAGTGCAAAGTTTTTTGGGGCAGGCTGAGGGGCTCCTGCTAAACTCGAGAAATAGCGTCCCCTCCTCAAAACCCAAACCCTGTTTGCATCTCGGCCATGTGCAATGGCCTTGACTTTATTTCTTTGGGACCACAAAATGAATGGGGCCCCTATTTGAAAACTCCCTAATGTGCTAACATAAGTGATGTTTTTTTACCATATATTTTACCCTGACAAATTAACGATTTAACAGGGGCTAGTTTGTGTGGCATTGTTCTTTAGCGGCCTTTTAATGAAACACCAAAATAAGACAGATCACATGTGTGCAAACTTGAACCTATTTATTATTAACTAGGCACGTCCTGTATACACATGAATGAAAGGGTGAGAAGCATATAAAAAAACATGCAAGTGAGGGCGAACTATACAAGTCTGCAATTCATGAACAATCCTATATATGCACAGTTTGTGCACATATGTGTCCAGTCTTCTTGTTTTCTTCTAGCATTTCATTATAGCGCTGCAAAAAAATGCTCACAAAGGAGTTTCATTATAGCGCTACAAAAAGAATGCTCACAAATGAGTTAAGTGCGAAGTTTATTGAAGGCGATTACCTACAGCAGCTGCGATTCTAGCACTGAATATCACCGAAGCAAAGGTCATTGTAAAATGTATGTCAGATAGTGTAGCCTGAGCATTGTTCTTACCTCTTTTCTTTGTTTTGTTTCAGCATGTGTGCATCATAAGCAGTGAAGGCAAAAAAAAGTATGCCGAGACACGGTCCTAGCTCCTGTTGTTGTCATCGGCCTGCCTTCATGTGGCGCCTGTTATTGACTGCAGTAGTCTCTTATTGAGACGCAGTGTCAACGGAGTGTTTGCAGTTGAGTTTCACGGAAGATCAAGATATTTAGTGCACTGGTGCGCTCTTAGAGCTGCACCTACCCTACTCATGTGCTTTGTTTGCTTTCACCCTACATACTCACGCCATTTAACAGCATGCATTCCATGATGCACATAGTGAGACATGCATTCTTTTGTGATGTGAAGTTCAGTGTCCTGCATCTTAGGGAAAAAAAATTGTACTTCCTCAGAAAGCCGGTGATATCGTGCCAAATGCAGTGCTCGTGTGGCCATCGTTGTTGTTGTCGATTGTTTTGCGACGGAAACCACCAAAAAAGTCTGTACCTCGCACACCAGATATTATTTTCGTAAAATAAATACGTTTTTGCAAGGACAATAGTGTGCTGCAGTATTTGTGCACCAAAACTGGAGAAAACATTTTCACCGCGGGAACAAGTGTGAGTAGGCAACGCTTAATAAATGTAGTGCATAAAAAAAAAAGCCATTGTGGCAGGAGTGTAGCCACAATTATAAGGCGTGCATATTGGGGTTATGGGGGGGGAAGGGAGGTGTACACTACGTTGTGCACTCTGCGCTATTTATGCGACTGTAGCATACATGCATACACGAATGATAAAAATAACCGTGAATGGGATTTCGACAAAAATATTAACTTGCGCGCAAGCAGTAAGAGATAATGGGTTTACTTGTAACGCGACAACCTCCAACCCCCCCTCCCCTTCCCCTCTCGTTTTTTTTTTTTTTTTGTTCATTCCTGTATTTCCGTTGTTTTGGCTTGCAGAAGGGCGATGTTACTTGTGCGCTCGAGTTGCCCTATCCGAAACTCAAGTTCGGCGGCAGTAATAATGTCCATGTAGCGTCCTATAAATGGGCTGCAATTCGCCGCAGTTCGCATTCGTGTAACCAGTTACGACGAAGGCGCTAGTCATTATTACCCACGCCTCCTCCAGCGTGCCGTAAAAGCCTTCGCGGAGATAAGAGACGAATCTGACAACTTACATGCATATGTCGCAGCTGCGCAGGCGTGTCAGTGCTGCATATGCGGGCCCCTGGGCACTCCCTAATGTGCCCTTCCGATAAGGAAGTAGATGAGAGCCGAATAACGCTGCAAAAGCGACAGCCACCGATTGATCGGACCATGATCGGATCATCCTCATTTCCCGCACAAATTTTACTACCCACGTTGTCAGCACCGTTGGTCAGCACGACATGCGCACCACAACCCAACAAACAATGATAACTTACGACCCGTAAGGGACGTGTTTTTTGAAAAGAAAATGTGATCAACGTATAACTTGCTTTAAAATATTGTTTAGTTTTTTGTTTAACATTATTAAATAATTAAAAAAGACCCTATATAGCCGTTGCAAAAACCATAACTACAAAAACAGATACAACTTGGGTTGTGATGGCAACCATAACATGTCCCGTTGCCAGGCGACGAGAAACCGCGTTTTTCGAGCACTACGTAAACAAATAATTCCGCTGGGAACAAGTAAGTTGCTACTGGTGTTGTGCTACAGTCGAATCCGCCGTCACCGAAGCAGTGAAAGAGGTTACGAAAACAGAGCACGTAGGGTAAGCAGCATGCGGCTGAAAACATACCTGCCTAAAGAACGGAGGCATATCCTTTTACCTATCCGCTCAAGCTAGCGGTTCCTGAGCATATCAAGCATAGCATCCTGTTTGAGCGTCGTCAGCTGAAGTTATAGCTCCAGAGTTCTGTCATCGTCAATGAAATTTGATTTCTCTGCTATTCAGCACGTCTTGTGAATAAGGGACCACATTACTGTTCATGAAAGTGTCTTGCGTTGTGTAATGCTTCGAAGCTGCGTGATCCGAAAATGCTGTAGGCCTGTTTGCGCAGATTTGGGTGCACGTTGAAGAGTCCCAGGTGGTCGACATTTCCGGAGCCCTTCACTGCGGCGTCTCTCATAGTCATATGGTGGTTCGTGGACGTTAAACTCCACGTATCAATCGAAGCTGCTTGATCAAGTGTGCCTTAACATGTTCAATCCACATGCTGAAATAGCTACCGGGGTCACGTGGAGTTCGACCGATGAGGTACTGTCTTGCAGCGACGATCACCAGATCTTGTCGTGGAACCTGGTCTCCAAAGACAACACGAAACTGGCCGATCTTCCCGATGAACTGTACCCAACGTCTATACACGCCCTTCCTCGAATAGCGGGTACCGGCCTGACGTCACGGAAGAACACTGGAAATGCTGATGTCATACTTGTTACAGCAAGCGACGGTGAGGGTCGCACACTTATACATGCGTAATTGAATGTGCTCACCCGCGGAGGTTCGGCCGTTCAACTTGCCTGTATTTGAAGAATAGAAGCATAAATCGCTGCACTCATCCACTTCACTTATGCATGCCTGCACTGGACTGTGAAATTTTTAAACATACAGCGTCATGCAATGCGGATGTATAAATCGCTGTGTGTGCAGCATACAAAAGCGCAGTCTTTAAATATGGTTAATCTGTACAGGAAATACAAAACCATATATTCTTTGAGAGATAACGAAACCTGTGTATTTTCATTTGAAGAACTTACAGTTATGGAAGTGCTGCTCTGATTGCTCCAAACTGCTCCAAAAGAGAAATGCTGCTCCATGCTGCTCCAAAGTGCAATATTTGCTAGTAACTGCTCCAAACCTGCTCCACAATGGTGTTGGCAAACTAAAAAGAATGAAGGTGAACCATGCCATGGGAGCATCCCGTGAGCCTAACCGAACCCATAATCAAGCTGTATGCACACTATCATCTTAGTATGCAACCCAGTGGCGTAAATCCAGAAAAATCACAAGGGGTGACACATTCCAGGCCATGGTGGTCAATTCGTATTTTTACTATGGGTTGTATTTTTATTTATATAATTAAGTAATGCTTTCAAATAGAATTAAAAAAAAAACAAGCACAGTGTCCAAGCTCAAGCGACAGTCCTTTTTTTTTTCATCTTTTTGCGATTTCTATAGCTCACACAGCTTAGGAGCATTCAACACAGGTACACAGTAAGAGATATAGAGCCTTTTGAAATGTTGATTGCGCTATACTTAACTGTTAGCTCATTTATAGCACGTGCTCAAGCTAAATTTCAAGGGGGACACTTGCAAGGGCTGTTCTCCCCAGCCTGAACAGAAAAAATTCTGGACTCTTTTGAGCCTCCCCCACCTCCTTAATTTACACCAATGATGCTACTGTATGGGTTGTTTACTAGCTGCATACTAGCATAGGGCATGTTTAATAATAAATATAATATTTATTAGATGCTTAAGTGATGTTTTAGACTGCAGGGGTCGTTAATAAAATGTGTCTGCTCTGAAAACGCCAATAGCAATTATAAGCTATAGCATTTTTTTTTCTGCTCCCAAGACACTTAAGCCTGCTCAAAAGTACCATTTTTACTGCTTCAGAATGAGCTTCAAAAAGCAAAATGTTGCTTCCATTACTGAACTAAGCACAACAGGCTGACACATTGCCTAAGTTGTATAAACTTCACCCCACACATTCTGTATCTGAAATGATATTTATTGAGCATGAAGGCTTGCAATTGCTTATAAGGTTGAAATTTTTCATGCTATATCACAGTTATGTTTCATACTATAGCTAGCCACAAAATGCCAGACTTGGAGTCACTGAAAATATTACGAGGGTGTTACACGGCAAATTTTACCAATGTCCTGTGGTGAAATGGCCAGTTATTGTGGCGTCGCTTAAAACAAAGAATTATGTGCACGTTTCATCTGGTTTTTGCTTGCATGTATCAACTGCAATGACTGTGGAAATGGAGCACACCATTGATGCATCCACCTCCTAAGTTTCTAAAATAGAATATTTTTCAGAAAAGATTAAATATTATAGCAAATTTATTAGTTCATCCTAGCACCAGGCAGCGTTTTACTGGTACGTTCGAGGATTTGTGTTTTGGCTTAAAGCCGAAAATTTCGTTGAGTAAAGTGTGTCTTCACAGTTTGCATCTTAAACAAAAATATATTTGGACTCACTGCTTTTGCTCATATTTTGAAACAAAATTATATTCTTTATTACTGGTATGCTTTGCATGAAGACAATAAAAGGAAAACCAAATGTTTGTTCTAGCCTCTGCCTTCAGAGTAGCAAGCTGCTGCAGAGACAGGCACTGTTTAAGGGCCTGTCAGCAAGTGAAATTTCAGAATTATCAGATGAACACTAATAACAAGTACTTTGCTGAATGGTATAAATCATGACTAAGTGTTGTTGTAGATATAGAACTGAACTAATTTTCTTGGAAGTATAAGAATACAAGTGCATGTTACAGTACTGCTATGGACCTGTTCATTGGATACAGGGAAACTAACTGAACTTGTGCGTAGAATGGCATTCTGTGTTTTCTTGTGAAAAATCGCTGCTCACTGAAAAATGGAAGTTTTACAGTTCCTGTAGAGGGTGCATGCATGTGCTTTCACTGGAATGCAAAGTTCATGCAACAGTGAGTTCATGGGAATGTACGATTGTGAACTTATGAAAAAAGGCATGATATTGACAATAGTTCAGAAAGGCATGGTGAACATATGAAATTTCTAAGAATTGCATATTAATTTTTTTTCAGTTTTAGTGTTTACTTTTCAACATTAGCCACCTGGCTATTTTCAGAGACTTGACTTGGAAACTAACCTTTCTTATAGGCAAACTCTACCTTCTCTCGAAAGCTGGCAGAATCGAAAAGGCAGTTGATGCACACTGGGGCGCCGTGCTTGCTGGTCAGTGGAGCCCGGATGCTACAGCTCTCGTGACAGGTAGTATTTCAACTACTCTATCTTAAGCAGCTTACACATGCTGATTTGTCTCAGACTGTTGGCAATGGTAACTGTATATATTAAACACAGGTATGTGCTGACAGTACACATGTAGAAAAATGGAAAATTTGTGTTCGTGTTACACACCTTTATGCCACTATGTGAAAAACATACAAAGACATTTGGCTACTCTTCCAGCACATATGACTCTTTGATACTGTGCTCTCATATTGTCTGAATAAAATTAATAAACATTTTTGTAAATGCTAAAACAAACAGGTAGTTGCCTCAGTGGCTGACTAGCTGTGACAACCAGATCAAGTGCTGAGCATCCGGGTGTGGGTTTGATTCCCAGTTAATGCAATCACACTTGGATAAGTGTGGGTTGTAAGGCCTTGCGTCTTCATATCCTTGTGTCAGTTTTCTTGCTCACATTGTACCATCTGTAAAGTGTAGCCGTATGCCTTACAGTTGTGTCATATCAACAAGCACTTGTCGAAGCACTTCTCATGTGCACCAAATTTTGCATGTAGGATCAAGTGGCCGCAATTATTCTTTTACCTAGTAATACGTGTAACTCATAGCCTTGTGGTTGTTTGAGGCAATAAATAAACTTCATATCATTTCTTCTTGTTACGTGCAGCTGGTGAGGATGGCCTTCTAAAGATTTGGTCCAGAAATGGAATGCTACGATCCACATTGGCAACACACTGTGAGTACCATCTGAGATTACACCAACATATGCTTTAATACTTACTGTCACTGATACACAGGTCAAAATTGTAGCACAGCAGAAATATCAGTGTAATTTGTTATTTGAATTACTTTTTATCATTTCAGTGGTTATAATCTTTACCATTTTAGCTGATGCAGGGGTTGGTTGCTCCTCAGTGCAGTTCCACTAAAACGCAAGCTTAAACAGCTGTATAGCACTTCCATGCCCATTTATGTGCATTAAGTAAAAATGACAGTATGTTCAAGTAACAATTGGAAATTCATGCAGGGACTGTTGTATAGCTTCGAACATTGAGCTAGAAGGCTTGTCGTAATGATAAGCATTTACTTCATGAAGTGCACTTGCCAAGCTGCATTGTACATCCACAATATGAAAAAGTTAAAAAGTTTGTGATACACTTTACGCTTCCTGATGCCTTGTTGGCCAATTAGACACTTTGATTTCCTCATAAAGAAGTAAATTGGACAAGTTTTTCATCCTTTTTGAAAATGCTGCCATTGAGGAACACTACTACTTCTGTCTCTTTTAATGTCTGAAGGGATAGAATAACTATATTGACCTCTTGCGGCAAGGCTGCAACCTCCTGTAAGCCCTTCCAGGATATACGAAAGCAACCTTTTTAGCGGCTCTTTCACATCAACAAAACACTTGCCATTAGCATAAGTGAACACTGCTCACACACTGAATTGAATGTACGCTGAGAAGCTTACTTATCAAGCTGTACTACATTCGTTCATTTCAGCACTGCCCTTATACTGTGTTGCCTGGGGACCCAACTCCAACCAAGTTTTATACAGCATTGGTGCTCACTTGGTGATCAAACCACTTCAGCCTAACTCAAAGCCAGTTCAGTGGAAAGCCCACGATGGTCTGATCTTGGCAGTGGCGTGGAACACAAACAACAACATGATAATATCAGGCTCTGAGGATTGTAGATACAAGGTATGTATCATCAAGGAATTTTTGAATCACATTTCGCGTGAATAAATGTAAGCAAGATAAAACTTCAAGGGAAGTGAGGAGAAAGTGTTGAGCAAGCTATGTCACTGAAGTCAGCATTTAAACAAGGAGGTTTGTCTTCGTCAGTGGTCAACCTCTTCACTCAAAACAAGAAATCTGAGAACAATACGCGCCCCTGTAGCCAACGTTTCAATGAGGTGACTTGAGGAAACGTTTGCGCCAGTGACCATTCTTGATTGACAATTTCTCATGTTATGTGAACAAGTTGATAATTACACCTATCAGTCTGCTGACCTGCTCAATACCAAAGATTTTAAATTTTATGAATTGCAAAATGTCGTTACAAAGTCTGAACATGCCTATATACAAGTTTGTACAGAATAAAAACTGATGCGCCATTTGGAAGCGATATCAAAAAACATGCCGCGCTATTGCAGTCATCGCTGTCACTGCCCAAGTTACGCCAGCAAGAATTAGTAGGCGGAGTACTTTCAAGATAGGTCGAAAATGATATGGCCGCAGTATCGCTCGTAAAATGTAAGCTACAGATGCAAACATATTGCTAGCTTCATTAATGCAGCATCACTGCAGTCCTGTACAATGCAATACGCACCAATATTCCACTAATTAGCTTGTTTTTCTACCTATACATGACATTACAATCAGCCGACCTCTATGATTTCAGCTGATAAAGTAAGGTGTCTAAATTTTGATACATGGAACCTCTTGAGTGTTTTCCAACTCATGTGATTCAAGAACCCTGGCTTCGTACAGCACCCTGAATTTTCATTGATAACTATTGTTGGAGAAAATTTTCTGTTAAGTGTTGCATTTTTTTGCCTAACCAGTGCAAGAAGTTTAAAATCCCAAAGCAACACTGGGGCTTCGAGATATATTGAACGACTACATAATAATTTTGAGCACCTAGTGTACTTAGTGTATCCAAATCTAGGTACAACAGGAAGTTTGTATTTGGCTTGGTTTGGAATGCAGCCACCACGATCGGAGAACCAAGCTGTGCTCTCATGCTCTGCCACATTGTTTCATTGAGCTTTGCCAGAGTTACATCTTTTCTTTTTTGCCACATTATCTAATCAAGGACTCGACAGCCTTACTTTCAATTCTTGCTTTGTTCAGAAAACAAAAAGAAAAATTTACCATTATGTGCTCATCTTGACTTCAGCTGTACTTTGGTGGAGGAAGTTGGTTCCACTTCTTGTTGGTAACTAAAAGTGCTGACTAACTAAGCAGACAGTGATATTATGGGTTTTTATTAACCTGTAGTGACCAAGACAATGCAATCTTGTTTTGAAAACTTCAGTAATAAAAAAGTAGTAAATGCTGATTCTCACTTAAATTTTTTTAAAGACCATGGGCCATTGAACATGTAAGCCAGCTTCCTAAAATATGACACCTTTATATTTATGCTGTGTAAAAAGCATTAAAGCTGTGATTGTTTCCTTATTTTAGAACTTTGCGCGGTTTTAAACTTATATGCATCATTGTCTTGATTTAAAATATTCTGCTACGGTAAGAATATGAGATAAGGTTATCATGTTCGTTGTTTCAATAGTGATCATTGTAACTTTTTGTGCTTTAATTAACCATGTAGCTTCTCATGAATTGTACGGTAAGGTGAAAGTGTTGTCCCCTTGAAATACAACCTTGTACGTGTTGCTTTCATTCACTACACTTTGCATCAGCTGTGGGACACATTTGGTCACATCCTGTATGCAAGTCAAACCAATGACTACCCCATAACATCAGTTGCTTGGACACCTGATGGCGAGCTGTTTGGTGTTGGATCGTTCAATTCTTTGCGTCTCTGTGATAAGACAGGGGTAAGTAATTTGTTTCAATGAAACTAGGTGTTCAAGGCAAAATGTTAAGAATTTAAAAAGAAAATGTGCATGGGATGATGCAATATATTAAGAATGCTTCATCCTTCATTTTTGCCTCTACCCTGCAATATTATGAAGCCTGTCAGATGTGTCATTTCTTTTACTATATACTTTAGTACTTGTGCTTGTATGAGTCTTGTATGAGTGCTTGTATGAGTTGTAGTTGTGCTTGTATGAGTTGTGCTTGTATGTGCTTGTATGAGTAATTTAAAGCCATGTGGAAATATGGCTTTAAATTGGTTTTATTACACCATTAAAAACATCATAGATGTGAAACATTGCAGCCCATTCTTGATGCTATATCTGCAATTTGCCTTGTGTGCATTAGCTTGCTCTGTATCTTCTTTATTAACTTAGTTGGGCTTTCTGTTTAGGTATCTTTGCCAGTGTCACTAAAACAGTGTCTATGTACATGTATGCAGTCGAACTCGGATATTTTGAATTTGAAGGTAATCACAAAAGTGTTACCATCACCATTCTCAGCCTGTTTTAGTCCAGTGAAGGATGAAGGCTTTTTAAAATATCTCCAGCTTACCCAATCTGTGAGCAGGCTATTTTCATTTTATCTCTGTGAACTCCTGAATTTCGTCATTGCATCAAGCTCACTGTCTTCGTCGACTGTGTTTCTCATCGCTTGGTAACCATTCTGTTGCTTTTATCGTCCGCCACTTGTACGCCCTGCACATTAGGTGGCCAGCCCACAAAAATATGTACACCTAGGCCAAGCACTAACAGGAGAGCCTAATTACGGAAAGGAAATTCATCGAACAATAAGAATGGGCTTTAGGGTATTCGACAGGCACTCCCAAATATTGTCAGGAAATCTTTCACTATATGCAACCACTGCATACTGCCAGTTATAACTTATGGGGCTGAAGCATGGAAAATAAATGGAGCAACTAAAGCAACAGGGGAGTATCATAAGGCTAGAAATGCAATGAAAATTTATATGAGTAACGTGAAGATATCATAGGACAGCAGAATGGGTCAGGAAACAATCTGGGGTAGCTGATATTCTAGCCAGATTTTTGTAAAATGTGCCTATGCAATGCAACCAAATGCATGTTGCCTACTATTACCTGAAGTATGTTGCTCTCTTTTGTTCTTCTTAATTGCTTAATTGTGCATCCCTAATTAACTTACTTTTAAAGCAACAAAGCGGGGAAGGAAATTCTATTGAGATGGTTGTAGATCATTTTGCAAAATGTCCAATCAGGCAGTTTCGAACTTTCCATCTATTGAGTATTAGCTTGTTTCTGCTTACTGCAAGTGCACACGAAACCAAGTGACATGCCAGTAGAACCCACAAACAACATAACTCTGTAGATCAGTTTGGAAGCCACCCAATTAGACAGTTTCTAACTTTCTATCTATTAAGTATTAGTGTTTTTCTGCTTTCTACAGATGCCTGATACAAAAATGTATAATACAGAAAAAAATAAATAGTGACATGCCAGCTTGTGGACCTATGCAGGTCATGATTGCAGTGCTCCCTAATGTTCCAGGTACAAACAATATGCCTGCCTCGCGACAGTTCATCGCAATGGTAAGCAGATAGAGTGGTTATCGGTTGTGTTGCTGTTGGAAAAACGTGAATTATTGCACAGCCTCCATAATCGTTACGGAACGTTAAGAAGCGTACGGTCATGGCATGCATAGGTGCACTAGAGGGCACCTCATATTGTGTTTTGTGTTTCACAAGCATCCATAGTTAGCAGAAAGACTAATAGTTAATAGACAGAAAGTTAGAAACTGTCTAATTAGACGTTTTTTTATGCCTTCTGCTGTGTCTGTTTCAAAAGCAGCTGTTCCGTAACCCCACACAACAAATCATGGTCTACCCACCTCCATCAAAACATTGTGACCGTTTAGGTCAGGTGACATTGTCTTTAAGTATTGTAGCTAGATATATGTCATACCTCTCTGCATGTACACCTGCGATCACTGTTCTTGCCTTAACTAGCACTATACATTGCCTTTGTCCTATCAAAGTTAAAAGCTGTATTTTTATGTTCAGTGACACTCATGATATCATTAAATAATGCGATGGGTTCAAACAAACCATTCAAATCTTCTTAGGATGTGCTCTTTTCCTTTATGTACAGTTTTCAGGTAGGTAATGTATCACGCCTTTTTATGTTTAACAGCTACCTTTCGATGAATCATAACTTCCTTTTTTCTTTCTTTTTTTATTTTCTCCAGTGGTCATACTCTCTCGATAAGCCCCAAACACAGAGCATCTACTCTCTGGAGTGGTCCAGTGATGGGACTCAGATCGCTGGTGCTTGCGGTAACGGACAGGTCATATTTGCTCACGTCATTAATAGGTGAGTGCATCATTCATTCATAAAAAAAACTAGTTGACTGCTTTTATCAGAATGCAAACCGTTTCGATGCTGCCCACATGCATATATTTACACCAATGCTCACCACCTACCAACACCATGCCACTCTTCAGTGTAGTCAGGCTGCTACCATCACCATTACACTATTTCCTGTCTGCTTCAGCACGAATACTTTTTCCAGCATTCTCCAGTTACATTTGTATTGCATCGCCTGAGTTCATCCTTTGCCTTTGAATTTTACCTAATTATTTTGTGTAATTAGCTGTGTTTTCATTGTTATAAAACAGTGAACTCTTGCACATTATATGATTGCACACATCTTGCTTATCCGGCATACTCACTCATGAGTACACTCACTCACACTCATTCATACTCATTTGAATGTGGTGAGTGTGAGTATGAGTGAGCACTGATGAGTATGAGTAGGAGTGAGTAGAACGTGAGTGAGTACCTATGAGTAGGAGTAAGAGTGAGTATGAACGTGACTGACTACTTTGAGTGTGAGTAGAAGTGAGTATGAACGTGAGTGGTTGTTGATGAGTGTGAGTAGGAGTGAGTATGAACGAGAATGAGTATTCTGAGTGTGAGTAAGAGTGAGTATGAACGTGAGTGAGTACTTTGAGTGTGAGTATGAGTGAGTATGAACGTGAGTGAGTACTCATGAGTGTGAGTAGAAGTGAATTTGAACCTGAGTGAGTACTCATCAGTGTGAGTATCCGTGACTATGAACTATGAACGTGAGTGAGTATTCATCAGTGTGAGTAGGAATGAGTGAGAGCTTGTGAGTGTGAGTAGGAGTGAGTATGAACGTGAGTGAGTACTCTGAGTGTGAGAAGGAGAGAGTATGAACGTGAGTGAGTAGGAGTTTGAACATCAGTGAGTACTGATGAGTGTGAGTATTCGTTAGTATGAACGTGAGTGAGTATTCATGAGTGTGATTAGGAATGTGTGAGAGCTCATGAATGTGAGTAGGAGTAAGTACGAACGTGGGTGAGTACTCATGAGTGTGAGTAGACTTGACTGCGAAGGTGAGTGAGTTGCTGTGAGTGTGAGTAGCAACGAGTAGGAACATGAGTGAGTTACTATGAGTGTGATAAATATTTGTAACCATCGCAACGGCGTCTTCAATACGTTGGAAATAACGGGCACTATGGCATGCAAGCTTACTGTACGTAAAAGCCTTCAGTTTGGAGACTGGGGGAGCCATCCTACATCAGATGGGGGGGGGGGGGGCGAGGTGACCACGCAAAACTCGAGTTGAGGGTAGCCGTCCATTTTATTGTAATTTGAATTTTCTAGGCTGAATAACTTTTAACTGCCTGTCCCTATAGCTACCATTCTTGCAGCACTTACCTCTTGCGCCTTCAGTCTACGCAACCCGCTGATAATACAGGTAAAAGAACAAGGTCTTGAGAAGCCCTTTAACAAAAATCACCGCGCGAGCCGGTTCAGAAAAAAGAAATGCACTGCGCAAGTGACAAAAAAAACAACAACGCTGAAATGGCCCGCGAGAGAAAGCACATTGTGTGCGCGACGCACATTGTGCGCAGCGATTTTGCAGTTTCTATCTCTGCGTTGTCCCTCAAGTGAACGTTGCCTTGAACGAAAACCTTAAGTGATCTTATGACCTCTCAAACATGAAGCTGTGTGCAAACTTTGCCTTCTCAGTGCCCCATTAAGAAAAAAAAAAGGAAAGCTTAGAGGACGGTTGAGCTTCGTTGTCAATAGTATAGTATGCGATAGCGTAATCGGACCCTGTTCGCATCGCCGTTTCAATCTCTACCCTTGCTTCAGTTTTCGGCAGCTTATTATGCCTTCAACAGTGCAGACACAATGTGCAATAAGCGCCCAATCACCCTTGATAATTTATTCTATCATTCACATAACGCGGGCTAATACAAAAACACACATAACACAACTCGTTAATTACCGTTTTATTCGGCTGTCCGCGATAACCCTGCATACGCACACTGCCAATGAACGTTAACCGCGTCCGCAGATCGATAAATAACGCCCCCTGCAATCGTCAGTGCCGACACGGAGCCAACGAAGTCTCCGCGTGAGCGTGACCCACAGAGGAACGAAAGCATCTCCGAAGATGCGCACAATTTCTCGAATGCAAAACTGCTGTACGCAACGCATTCCATCTGAAGGCGAGGCAGAGAGGGGAGGCGCAGTCTCGACGGTCGCGCCGGGCCACAGAACACCTACCAGTGGCCGGGCGGCCGGGTCGGCCGGGGTGGTCGCGGCGCCGACGTGGCGGCGAGGCACCGGCGTCCACCTGTCCCGCTAGTGCAGTCAGCAGGGGCTAGGGGCAGTGGAACGAACGAAGCAGCCGAGCCGGATGGCATGGCAACGTCTTGGGTTCTGGCGGGTAATCATAGCGGCGGCCATGTAGTATACTGAAGCTGTCGAGAGCGTCTCTATTTCGCGCGCGTGCGTCGTAGCCTACGAAAGCGCATTTTGAGTGCTTGTAACACATTACGGAGATTCTAAACGATGTCTCAGCGTCTCCTACGCGCCATAGCACACAAATGAATGTGCAGGTGCGTCGTAATTGCGCTGAGTCATTGCCTGTTTGTGGAACCTACCGACCTTTAAAGAAAGCGACAATTGTTCAGCTCGATTGCTTATTGAGTAACCTGAGTACACGTAACGCTACCTCAATGTTAATATTCATCATCGGCCTGACAACGTCCACTGCAGGACAAAGGCCTCTCCCATGATCCGCCACTCAACTCAGTCCTGTGCTTGCTGCTGCCATTATGTACCTGCGAACTTCATAATTTCATCTGCCCACCTAACTTACTGTCTCCCCTAACCCGTTTGCTTTCTCTGGAAATCCGGCCAGTTATGCTTAATGACCATCTGTTATCCTGCCTACGCGCTACATGCCCGGCCCATGTCCATTTCTTCTTCTTAATTTCAACTATGATATCCTTAACCCCGGTTTGTTCCCTGATCCACTCTGCTCTCTTCTTGACTCTTAAGGTTACAACTACTATTTTCCTTTCCATCGCTCTCTGCGTCGTCCTCAATTTAAGCTGAACCCTCTTTGTCAGCCTCCAGGTTTCTGCTCAGTAGGTAAGTACCGGCAAGATGCAGCTGTTATATACCTTCGTCTTGAGGGGATAGCGACAATCTACCAGCCATGAGCTGAGATTGCTTGCTGAATCTTCTCCACCCCACTCTTATTCTTCCAGTTACTTCAGTCTCGTGGCTCGGCTCCGCAGGTACTACCTGTCCTAAGTAGACGTATATACCTTTTCCAACTTCAAGTGCACTGCCACCTATCTCAAAGCGCTGTTTTCTTTCGAGGTTGTTGTTCATTACTTTCGTTTTCTGCCGGTCATTTTGTAGATTCCAAGAGAAGGAAAGCGGGAAAAGGGGAGACAAAGTTTTGTGGGCAGATGAGATTAGGAAGTTTGCGGGTATGAAGTCGCAACAGCAAGCAAAGGACCGAGTTGACTGGCGGAACAGGGGAGAGGCCTTTGTCCTGCTGTGATGATGATGAGTATGTGAATGTAAAAGTACGTGGGTGAGTGCGCCTGAGTATGGGTAGGAGTATGGGTATGAAGGTGAATTCTTATGTGAGTGGGGAGGTGAGTGAGGGCGTATGATCTTGAGCAGGCGTGAGTATGAAGGTGAGTGAGTAACTATGAGTCTTAATTGAGGTGCACGAAAAATTGAAGTGCAGAAAGGAGACACCTGGACACGGCGCGCTGTCTCAAGGTGTCTTCCTTTTGTACTTCAATTTTTTGCGCACCTCAGTTAAAATGAATTACCAACTCGCCCAGCAGTCCGTGTTTCTCTAAGAGTGTGAGTAGTCGTGAGTATGAACGTGAGCCATGAACAATGAGTGTGAGTAGGCGTGAGTATGAACGTGAGTGAGGACCTATGAGTGCTAGCTGGCGTATGAACGTGAGTGAGTACTCAAGTGTGAGTAGTCGTGAGTATGAAATGAGTGAGTACTCATCAGTGTGAGTAGTCGTGAGTATGAACGTGAGTGAGGGCCTAGAGTGTCGAGTTGGTAAGTTTGAACGTGAGTGAGTACTCATGAGTGTGAGTAGGAGTGGGTATAAACATGAGTGAGTATTTTCAGTGTGAGTAGAAGCTAGTTTGAACGTGAGTGAGTACTCATGAGTGTGAGTAGGAGTGAGTATGAACCTGAGTGAGTACTCTGAGTGTGACAAGGAGTGAGTATGAACGTGAGTGAGTACTTTGAGTGTGAGAAGGAGTGAGTATAAACATGAGTGAGTATGAACGTGAGTGAGAAGGAGTGAGTGTGAGCGGGCGTGAGTATGAACGTGAGTGAGTACTTTGAGTGCGAGAAGGAGAGAGTATGAACGTGAGTGAGTACTCTGAGTGTGACAAGGAGGGAGTATGAACGTTAGTGAGTACTCATGAGTGCGAGTAGGCATGAGTATGAACATGAGTGAGGGCCTATGAGTGGGAGTAGACGTGAGTATGAACGTGAGTGGGGGTGAAGGCTGAAAAAATTGTGGTGAATGAGTTTGAGTGATTAGTCTCTCAAACTGCCGGCCTATGTCCAACTAGAGTAAGTTTTGAAGAATTTTAGTTGCCTACTTAGAACCAAGATCACTAATTCACTACTTTAATAGTCATATAAAAGGTGCCATATTTAATTGCTTCACTGATCCCTGGCATCACAGGAAACCCAGAGCTTTGAACTGTGCTGCCCGGAACAGGGGTGCTAAGTAGCTACATAATTATGATGATCTTTAGTTTTTCTTACATAAATGCGTGTTTTGAATATGAACTTAATATTAAAAAAATGAGTGGTCATAGTTTTATGCAGGCGTTCCTTTAGATGTATGAAATGTTTTCTTAAAATTTGGCTGCATTACATGGTAAAAGGAAAAGCTGTAACATATCTCCATAGTTCCTCTTTTTTTTTTATTTCACCACAGGCTCAAGATCAAAATTAATATAGAAGGCCAAGCTTGAATTTAACACTTCAATCTTTCACTTTATATTCAAGCAGATGCAACTTGTGTCTTGCAGAAAAATAACTCCTCGGGCTTGGGCATGACCCTCAAAAAAGATACCATGATGGCAAACAGCCGACGCTTAATTTTCCTCCAGAGAAGCAGGGCCAGCACTGACCACTGGGATTTTCAAATGTGCTAATCAGGCCCTAAAGGGGCCCTGCAGCATTCTGCCAGTAACGATCGAATGACCTCACTGTTCGTGTTCATTTCCTCACAGATTTAATGCCGCAAGGAATGTTTCCCGGCACACTAAAAGCCACACTGGAGGGGGATGACAAAGGGGAAAGAAGCTCTGTCAGCACGCTCCATGACATTGAGCACTTTGTTTTCTGCTTTTTATTTGTTTGAATATGTTGGCTCACTTCAAATGCGATCACAAGTGCATTAGTGTAATTCTAGCACTATGCAATGTAGCACAGGTACGTGGCAGCATCCCATGACGACCAAGGTATGTGCACAGCACACGAATGCTCATGTCTCTCTGCCTCTGGCACAATCGGGCCAGCCTGTCATGGAAATTGCTGAGAGAAGAGCGAGCAACGTCCAGCTGTATTTAAAATATAACTGTTGATTCCTCACTGTACACATTGGTATAATTTTTAGCACACATATTCACAGGAGTGTAGGCTACCTATCAGCAGTGTTTTATAGCTATATAGGTTGATCCTTTGAGGTGGCCTATGTTGGGAGCATTAGCTCTCGCAGCAAGCAACAAGACATGCCCCACTGTCTAAATCGCTTTCGAAAAAAAATCTTGCCGGCTTAATTCAAATCAGCGTGTAAAAGCTAGATTTTTCAAATGGCCACCAAACCCACAGGTTCTTGTGCTTTGGGAAAGCTAAAGCAATTAGTCTGAGAAGTACCTGTGCAATTTCTTATTACTGACGAAGACTTGGCAGTCTTTGGCCCATATTTGGCATTCTGGCTAAACAATAATAAATTTTCATCGTTATTTCCAACAGTAGTTACCATACGAGAGAAGGGGCATTCTAACAAACTTTCACACTAACATTTCATTTTCCTGTTTCACAATATTCTTCTAGGAGGCTTGAGTGGAAAAATTATGAGGTTTCTATGGTGGGAAGAAAGATGGTGGCTGTAAAAAATGTTGTGACGGATATCACAGAAACGATGGACTTTCAAGACAGCATCATCAAAGTATCCATGATGTTTGGCCACCTAATTGTGGTTACATCAAACCAGTGCCATATATACAAGTAAGCCCAGTCCCGATGTTCTGTCATAATGTCTTGGTAATTGCATTTAACTATATTTTAACAATGGGTAACAGCGTAATTGAGTGAAAAGGTTGCTACTCGCTTATAATACTGGTGTGCAAACATAGACAAACATAGACATAGGTTCCAGAGATGGAAGGAAAGTGAAGGTGTTGCTAATACGCTTAAATCATACTCTTGGAAAACTGCCTGCTGTCTTGGGGATGCCCGGTTAAAAGCAGAGGGGCAGACTGGTCTTAGACATTTTTTGTTTTATTTCTTCAGTGATCCTGATATAACTGCACAGGGTTATGCAGTTTTTTCTGCTGATTTCAAATATTTAATTAGTTTTCCCGTAACTCACTTTGTTTCTGAGATAACTTAAGTTCACCCCCTATTGTTTAAGGCCACCATAGAAAGAAAAGTGCCTAATTAAAAGTGAATTTTAGGATATGCCAACATAGACTAATGACTATAGAGTGAAAGTATGGAAGAGGTTTTTGTTTTTAGGCCTTTATTGGTTATTTTGCAGCAAAATGAACTATACATTTTCAAAAGCAGTTGGAATTGTGTTACAATTTTAATTAGTAATTAATTAAAAAGGCATGTGCTCTAAATTCTGCTTCCATGCTTGCATTCTACACACATACAGGTTTCCACTGCAAAGAGAATTATTGTTGTACCTGCTTTAGCTGCAGAGATATTGAGGCCTCAAAATTGAATTGTCACAAATTTACTTTTTTTGAGAAAAACGGAAAAAACTGAAAACACACAGTTTCTTCAAAAAGCAACAATCATGGTGCGCATGTTTTGCAATCCTCATGAAGGCACTCATAAATTGGTAGTAGAGCTTTAGACAAAGGTGCTGGCAAATTATAAAGAAGCCTCAAAGTCGGTTCCCAATTTTTTTGCAGGTTCTGCATGTTAACAGCACCAATAATCGGGACAGTTAAAATGACATTACAAAAAAAAATACTACTTCCTGGTGCATGAAAATTTGCAGAGAGATAGTAAAGTACTTGCAGAAACCAAATATGTCAATTTTAAAACATGAATTTTTTTGTCACTTTTTGTTCCCGAGAAGCAGTCTGGTTAAACTGGAAAATTCTAGTATATTGTATAGGATATAGAGTGGAGTGAAGGTCACCTATTTTTGAAAACTAAATTTATCAAGCACTTAATTCTTTGTTTGTAACTGTGACAAAGCACATGGTAACATAGTTATGGGTAAAATTATACTATTGCAGAATACCTTGTAACACTGGTTACATCGATAAGCTAGGCTTTATTTACCTCAAAATATAAGCTGAATGCCTACAGCCACATGTTTTGTTACATATTTTATTCTAGTTTCATGCTGCCTCTTACAGTGTTTTGTTGTTGGCAAAAGGCAGTATTAATGCAGTAATGTCCCCCTGTGTTAGTCGCGCCATGTCCACCTGTTTATATTAATTTCTATTCTTTTCTTCTTTTAATGTGGGCAGCAGGCTCGAAGGCACACCTGGCTCTGAGTTTTTAATAGTATTCCAATTTAGTGATAATTATTACTATTAGCAATCCATCAAAAGTGTAAGCAGTTCTCAGTTACACTTTTACTCTTTATTTACAGCAAGAAAAATTGGAACACTCCTCACATGTTTGATTTGAGGGAAGGCAGCATCTGCCTCATCTTACAGGCTGAGAAGTGAGTAGTACAAGGCTTGTGATTCCAATCAGTATGGCTGTAGATTAGTTGAGAAACCTTTACATATTCTGGATAGCTGTAGCAAAGGCCATTAATAATGCATTGATGAGTTTATGGCCACTCTCAGAAATGAATGAATGAATGAACGAACGAACGAATGATGGGCTTTATTGTTATTGACATGCTGAAGCAGCTCACTGGACATGATTCTGAGAAGGCCAAGAATTGTGGAAAAAAAGAAAAGATAGGCTTCTTGAAGCTGCCATTTTTTTTAAATATATGTAACTCTTTTTGCACTGATCTACCGAGTTTCTTGCTTCAATGACTGCTATTTTTTTCATGTATCTTACTGTACAAAACTGCCTACCGACATTCTTTTTCTTTCATTTTTTTAAACAGCTTTGGCCACTTCTCTTGTTCGCTACATTAATACTGACACCTGTCAAGGCGTTAAACTCACTGTCTCTTATCCCATCTTGTTGCAAATTCAGAATTGTCTCTTTTCTTGGGCCTTGGACTGTTGGGGTCGTAATTCTTTTGTGGCAATAGCCTTATTTTTGGTTATTTACAATACCAAAAACCTTTTTTTTTACATTTATTGGAAAATGCTGAGCAACCCCCCCCCCCCTCCAAATGATGAAGGATAATCGGACTAGATTTGGGAGGGGGCGCTTGATAGGTTCTGGACCATTCATCAGCACTTATTTCAGATCTCCCCTAAATGAGAGAGTGGCGCTTACTTGCTCGGGTGGGGGTATTTGTTTGGCATTTTGCAGTAGTTTGAAATGTCACCTGTTACTTATGTGCAAACTCTGAATTGACTGCACTGCAAATCAAGAAAAAGTTGTTCAGTTTCACATCTGCTTGCAACACTACACACCTTATGCATTCTAGTATCCGTCTTTATGATAGTAGGAACATTGAACAGGTATACAGGGTACCCCAGCTATCTCTAGCCGGAGCTTAAAATTATGCTGACAACACTCGATGATGCGACCAAATACATGTTGCTGGCTATTGCATGGAGTTATTCACACTATTCTTTGTTTATTTGTTTTCTTCATACTTAATTTGGCATGCTTAATTAACAAACTTTCAGAGCAGCAAAGCTGGTCAAGAAGTTTAAATGACAAAGTTGTAGGTCGGTTTGCAAAAAAGTTTGATTAGGTTGTTTCCAACGTTATTTGTGTTGAGTACTAATGGGTGGACTTTTCTCTGTAAAAAATAGAAAGTTGAGCTAGTTGGAATGCTTGCATGATTGATGCAGCACTAAAGATGAAGATGTAAGGAACACACAGTGCAGAGGAGAAGTACTGTCTGGCAACTGATAGATTTATCTAAAAAAACTAAATAGGAAAACAATGCTGGGCATAGCAGACATGCACATAAGTAAGACAGTTGAGGCACAGTAACAAAGTAACCGTAAAGATATCCAAGATTTTCACATTAAAAGAGTGGGAGACGCATGCATGAACCATGCATCAATTTTCTTGACAGAAAAGGAGAGTGCTAATCTTTTTGGCTCATGTAATATCAAGTGGCATGTCTGAATTTTCTTAAGGATGTGCATGCATTGTTAAATGAATTCTTTGACTGTCTTACTTATGTGCATGTCTGCTATGCTTGGCATTGTTTTTCCATTTTGTTTTTTTAAAATAAATTGAAGTTGTGAGACAGCACTCGTCCTCTGCACTGTGTGTTCTTTACATCTTCGTCTTTAGCATTGCATCAATTATACGCTTCTGTAAAGAGTGCGGCATTAACAGTGACCGGCCTTGGTCACATCACTGCTTCAAACATCATATGCTTTCTTTCCACTGTGTATTCTCCTTGCCATCTTAGGGCAGCTGGCTCAGAGAAGGCAACTCACACTCACATTTCGGCCTTTTGTGATAAATACTCCCACTTCCTTTCATTTTTGGCACTATGCTAGTCCAAGAGCTACTACCTGCATCTGCTCAAAGCGTGGTATATGATGACCTACATAGGTTTTCAGACTGATGCTGTAAGTGGGGCAGCTTGGGCTAGTTGGTATGGCATGACGATAGTTATAGCGCGAAAACAAAACGACAATACAGAGACAAGAAGGAGACAAAGGACGCAAGCACTCGTGTCCTTTGTCTCCTTCTTGTCTCTGTCGTCGTTTCGTTCTTGCGCTATAACTATCGTCATGCTGTAAGTGCGCAACAAAGGGTGCTTTACTGGGGCTGATTTTACAATGTCTTCATTGAGTGATCCGCTGCAGTTTCTGTTTAATAAACTTAAGTTCTGTTTGTTGCAACGCCCTGTAGGTACTTTGCACTTGTGGAGAGCGGTGGTGTCTACGTGTATACATATGACAGCAAGTTTGTGTGTGCACCAAAATGGGTCGGCATGCGTCCAGACATGCTTAACTACTTCACTGCGTCTATCAGCAATGCTCTGTTGGCTGTACGGGACAAGGCTGATGAAAAAGGTATGCATGACCTCGTATTAAAGGCGGCCCCCACTGATTTTATATTGTGCAAAGTCAGAAAAATTCATGGACTCAGAACAAGATAAATATGGATTGGTACAGATATTGTGTTCGTCCTTCTCCATTCATGAATGGAGAAGGACGAACACAGTATCGTCTGTTATTGTCTGTTAGATCTCATTATTATTGTTTAAAAACACGGAAAAACGAACCCTGGAGTATATACTTCTTTCCTATATATATATATATATCTATATATTGTTAAGACGTTTATTGGCGGACACTCGTCGATGATGCACGACAGCGACAGTCAAGGCAGGGATCGACTCTCTGCACGAGCTGCTCTTCTTTTTATGAAAACGGCGACCCACTAGAAGGCACTGGAGAGGATGACCCACTGTTCGAAGGCTTTGCCACAACTACCTCGGGTACGAAGAGGGAGCCACCTGGCGACCTAACAGCTGGTTACAATGAGCGGGTTATGGTAGGCCTTGAGGCGCTCCACGTTAACAATGTCGAGTACTCGTGGCGCATGTCCGAAGATGGTTCGATGGGTTCAATCAAGTAGTTGACAGGGGAAGTGCATTTGACGACACGGTAGGGGCCTTCATATTTGGGCAATAGTTTTGAAGATAGGCCAGTTGCAGTGGTAGGGATCGAGAGCCAGACGAGCGCTTCCGGGAGGAACGTGGGCGCAGTAGTGCTGGCGTCAGCGCGAATGCTTTTTTGCCGCTCTTGATCATGCGCAGTAAAGGTCTTTGCAAGCTCTCGACACTCTTCAGCAAGCTTGGCTGTAGCAGAAATAGGCGCCCACTCGGACGGATCTGGCTTGTACGGAAGTATCGTGTCGATGGTGTGCGACGGGTGCCTTCCATATAATACAAAGAAAGGTCAAAAGCCAGTAGTGCTCTGAGGGGCGGTATTATATGCGTAGGTGATGAAGGGTAGAATGGAATCCCGATTTGTGTGATCGGCGGCGACGTACTGGGAGAGCATGTCGCCGAGCGTACGGTTGAAGAGTTCGGTGAGGCCATTCGTCTGTGGGTGGTAAGCAGCAGTTTTGCAGTGAACAACGTTGCACTCTTTGAGGATGGCTTCAACGACTTCAGACAGGAAGACATGGCCTCGGTCACTGAGCAGTTCCTGGGGTGGACCATGTCGCAGAATGAATCGTTGGAGCAGAAAGGAGGCCACATCGCTTGCTGTAGCCGCGGGGTGAGCGGCCGTTTTGGCGTATCGCGTAAGGTGGTCCACAGCGACAATGGCCCAGCAGTTACCAGCCAACGTTAGGGGAAGTGGCCCATACAAATCGATGCCAATGCACCTGAAGGGCTTGGCAGGGCAAAGTAGAGGTTGCAGACGTACCGGTGACAGGTGCGTTGAAGCTTTGCGGCACTGACAATCTATGCAGGAGCGAACGAAATTCTGCACGTAGCGGTACATGCCGCGCCAAAAGTACCGTTGGCGAATGCGGTGGTAGGTCTTCAATTTCCCGAAGTGCGCACATTGCGGATCAGAATGAAAGAGTCCGCTTATGTCAGAGCGCAGACTGCGAGGTATGACTAGTAGCCACTGGCGGCCGTCACCGTTGTAACTGCGCCTGTGGAGGACGTCGCGAATGGTGAAATGGTGGGCTCGGCGACGCAACGCGCGAGTGGATGGAGTGTATGGATCAGTCAGCAAGTCTATCAGTGAGGCAACCCATTGACCCTTGCGCTGTTCAGTAGCAATGGTATGAATGCTAATCGAAGAAATGGCAAGGTGAGATGCTAAGTTGTGGGCAAGGCTGAGTTGTGGGCTGAGTTGTCGTCAGGCAAGGGAGAGTGCGACAGGGCATCGGCGTCAGCATGTTGCCTTCCATTGCGGTACAGCACGCGGGTGTTGTAGTCTTGCAGGCAAAGTGCCCACCGGGCGAGACGGCCTGAGGGATCTTTCAATGATGACAACCATCGTAGTGCATGATAGCCGGTGACGACATCAAATGGGCAACCATACAAATAAGGTCAGAACTTTGTAAGCGCCCAGACGATTGCCAAACATTCCTTCTTGGTGATAGTGTAATTAGTGTCGGCCTTAGTAAGCGTACGGCTTGCATACGCCACGACATATTTCGAGAACCCTGGTTTGCGCTGCGCAAGGACAGCGCCGAGGCTGACACCACTGGCATCCGTGTGTACCTCTGTAGGGGTCGTAGGGTCGTAGTGGCGGAGTATGGGAGGCAACATCAACAAACGGTGGAACGTTGTGAAAGCGTCGTCGCACTGTGATGACTACGAATAGGAATGGAGAGGCCCGTTACTTCTGAGGAGCTTCGTCAGTGGTGATATGATAGTCGCGAAGTTTTGAATGAAGCGCTGAAAATAAGAACACAGTCCTACGAAACTGCGCAGTTCCTTAACGGATGTCGGCTTGGGGAACTCTGTCACGGTCCGAAGCTTTGCTGGATCAGGGAGAACTCCGTCCTTGGACACGACGTAGCCGAGTATTGTCAGCTGCCGAGTTGCAAATCGGCACTTCTTCAGGTTCAGTTGCAGACTGGCATCACTCAGATGTGTTAAAACATGCCGAAGGCGTTAAAGATGCGTCGAGAAGTCCGTAGCGAAGGCGACGACGTCATCGAGGTAGCACGGGCATGTGTGCCATTTCAGGTCATGCAGAACAGTATCCATCATGCGCTCAAAGGTGGCAGGCGCATTGCACAGCCCAAACAGCATGACGTTGAATTCGTACAAGCCGTCGGGGGTGACAAAAGCAGTCTTAGGTCGAGCGTCCTCAGCCATAGGTACTTGCCAGTACCCGGAGCGCAAATCGAGAGATTAAAAGAATTCTGCTCCTTGCAGGCTGCCAATCGCGTCATCTACTCGCGTTGGTGGGTACGCGTCCTTACGAGTGATCTTGTTGAGGCGTCGGTAGTCCACACAGAACCGTACAGAACCGTCTTTCTTCATGATGAGAACGACAGGAGACGCCCAGGGGCTGCTAGAGGGTCGAATAACATCGCGGCGAAGCATGTCATCGACTTGCTCGTTGATTACACGGCGTTCTGTGGGAGATACGCGATATGGACGTTGCCGCAGTGGTGGCTGTGCGCCTGTGTCGATGCAATGCGTAACGGTAGATGTGCGGCCGAGAGAAGGTTGAGCGACATCGAAAGAAGAGCAGAATTCTTCCAACAGGCCCAGAAGCTGAGAACGCTGGCCCGACGTAAGGTTCATGGGAATGGAGGGACTGAATACATCATCGGATGATGAAGGAGATGTCGAAACAGCACTAAGTGTACTGGAAATTGAGCAGTGCATGTCACCAGGTTGATCCATAACTTGTGCGTCTTCGATGGGTTCCACGCTGCCGAGACATTCCCCCCGCACCAACGTAACGCTGTACGGGGATGAGTTCACAACAAAAATAGTGGTGCTGCCGTGAGTGAGTTGCACGGTCGCGAAAGGAAACAGCAAGCCTTTTCTGATAAAACACGATGAGATGGCGAGAGGAGTGCAGCGGTGTCAGAAAGGCTTGCGCAGTAGACCGACACCACCGCGGACGAGTTTGCAGGCACTTGGGTGTTGTCTCTGACGAGTAACTTGCTTGCAGCAGATGGACTGTTGGCCGGCGTCAAAGAAGAGAATTGTGTGAGTTCTATTTCTGCTAGTGCGCAATGAATGACCGCGTCGTGACGGGAGAGAAAATCTCATCCTAGGATCACGTCGTGAGAGCATGAAGGAATTATGATGAATTTGACCGCATACATCACGTCCTGAATCATAAGGCGGGCTGCGCACATCGCTGTAGGGTGAATGCCTTGGGCGCTAGCTGTACGGAGGAAAAGCCCGGAAAGTGGCGTAGTCACTTTGCGCAGTAATCGGCTAAGTTTTGCGTCCATGACAAATACGGCGGCTCCAGTATCTACAAGGGCAGATGCACGAACGTCATCCACCAGTACGTCTATCTCGTTCGACGGGCTTTCCTGAGGGCTTCCGCAGTTCGAGAGCGTCGCAGCCCTTGCCTCGCGAACTGCGACGACTAGTTTTCCTGGTCACCCTCGAGTGGACGTGGCCGCATCGGCGACAGTGAGCGGCGTCGCGGAGATGGTGAACGGCGGGTAGACGGAGCGGGGCGAGACGACGGTGACATAGGCGGCGGTTGGTCATAAGAGCGGCTTGATTGGCTGGGAAAGTTGGAAGCGACCTGCGGTTGCTGCACACAATTGCGATAGCGTGCTACGTGACCGACGCAACCACAAGCAAAGCAGATGGGGTGATTGTCAGCAGTGCGCCATCGGTTCCCGGGTTCCATCCATGTCGCAGGACGCGATGGGCGGGCCGGCTGCTGATATGAGTGCATGGTGGGCGGCACTCGGGGCACGTGGGTGACGTCGGTGTATGTAGGTGACAGTTTCTCCGAAGGCCTGGGGCCTCGCGATGGTTTCGGTGTAACTTAGGGGTCCAGCCACAGAAATCGGTGGGGGCGGCCTGGCGACAACTTGGGCGTAGCTGAGTGGCGCAGATACAGGAGACGGCTAGTGGTATTGAGGAACAACCTTCGCAATTTCCTGCTGAATGGCTTGGTGGAGCGGAGGTAGAAGTGTACTTGATGGCTGTTGAGCATGTTGCGGGGAAGCAAAAGCCAGTAAAGAGACCTGGCGAGCAACTTACTCGCGCACGAACGACTTGATTTCGGCAAGCAAGGTTGTGTGGTCAGGAAATGCTGACAAAGCCGAGAGATCAGCATCCCGAGGTGGCGGTCGACAGGTCATCAAGCGCTGCCGCCGCAGCTCGTCGTAACTTTGGCGTAATGTAATGACTTCTGCCACAGTGGTTTTTGGCCAGGAGCATGGTGAAGGCATCGTCGGCCATGCCTTTTAGAACATGCGGGGGTTTTCGGCCAGGAGCATAGTGAAGGCATCCGTCGGCTATGCCTTTTAGAACATGCGGGGTTTTGTCAGCCTCTGACATGTTCAGGTCGACTTTCTTGCACAAGTCAAGGATGTCCTCGATGTAACTTGTGAAGGACTCGCCGGTCTGCTGTGCTCATTCACGTAAACGCTGTTCGGCTTGCAGCTTAGGAACGGCAGGACGGCCGAACACGTCGACGACAGCGATTTTGAAAGCGAACCGAGTCGGGAAATCAGATGCGTGGTTGTTGTACCACATACCGACCACACCCGCGAGGTAGAAAAATAGGTTGCCGAGTTTACCTGCCTCGTCCCAATCATTGGGGACGCTCACGCGTTCGTACATGGCGAGCCAGTCCTTGACGTCGGTGCCATCCGTGCCGGTGAAGACAGGAGGGTCGCCGATGCGGGGGACACCGGGACATGGCGTCAGCATAGGAGGAAGCGTTTGCTGAGCGGCGTCTTGGTGCATGGTAGAAGGCACGGTACGGGATCGAAGCTCCAAGGGCATCGAATGTGAACCGAAGATGTTTGAAGGGCACAGCACTCTCAGCACTCTTCACCAAATTGTTAAGACGTTTATTGGCGGACACTCGTCGATGATGCACGACAGCGACAGTCAATGCGGGGACCAACTCTCTGCACGAGCTGCTCTTCTTCTTATGAAAAGGGCCACCCACTAGAAGGCACAGGAGAGGACGACCCACTGTTCAAAGGCTTTGCCACAGTACAATATATATATATATATATATATATATATTGCAATAATGATGCATTTGCGAGCAGTCGACTGCCCATTTTTCTGTCATATACCAGTTGGTCAAGTAACATACTTACATGCTTCTGTTTTTGTACCTTCTTATTTTTGTAATCCTAATTGTGAACAAAAACTGTGCACTTGGAGAATGCTACCAACTTAACCAGACTCTAAAAAGCTTGATTTCCCTCTTGTGTCAGCAGAGCACAGATTTCTGTTCTGTAAAGACTTCCTCTTGGACAGTTTTGTCAGGCTTACTAAGCATGGCATTTAGGGTTCCAAAACCTGCACTACTTGAAGAAGGAAAAGTGGAGCTCATAACTGTCATTTAAAGCTTTGGGCCAATGAAACACTATGTGCACGGCAGACTCTGGTGTACTTGTGCTCTGAGTGGGCAAAATTATTGTCACCAACATAAGCTTGCAGATCACATTAATGGCTTCCAAATATCTTATTTATAGACACAGCATAATCGCATTTTTTTGTTTATATTGCATAGAAATTGCTTAACGCAGTATTGTGGTGTTTGGTCATTGGTAGCTCTTTTGCAAATACAACAATATGACAGTGGAATGTTGCATAGCCTACACTTTCACGGTCTTGTACATGGTGTACTTTGTCCATAACTTGGTTTCATTAAAATGGTATGGCTTCCAGTGGTGTACTTGTTTGACGTACGGACTGGCAAGCCAGCTGGAGATGGGAAACCATATACACATAAGGTCTGTCCTGAAAAATGCTCGTGATATGCACAAAATGCACATATGCAAATTAAGACTGGCACTGCATGTAACACCCAGCAGCACTTGTATTCTTTTCCACGACTCATATTTTCTCCTTTATTAAGTTTTTTTATTTGAGCTCTCTCATTTGTTGCATTCTTTAAGTGCTTTGACTAAACAGGATTTTTTCTTTACACTGTGATGACTGTGAAAAGATTGCAACTGGTTTCTCTGCTTCCATACATCCGTGATTTTTGTTGCACTAGCGTTGCAAGACCACCATTGCTGTTTTCAGGCCATCTTCTCATCCTCGGCTGTCACACTCACTATGCTATATCGAGGAACAACAGTTTGCCTACCATTGCCACACAATATGCACAGGCCATGTGCCACACAGTGTGGTCATACACACAGTTGGCAAATCGTGTAATGTTCTTGTGTCACAGAATCTTACGGTGATGCTGCTTTTGCATATCATTAAAAGGTCACTGTAGGCAATGCAATAAGTAATAAATAAGAATTTGTGAGCCTCACCAGAAAATTCTTGATAAAGTTAGTGTCTCCTGTTAAAGTAGTTTGCAGAGTTTGCATGAATTGTAAACATTACTCGCTTGGGACTGATTTAACCTAAAGTGAAATATTGTTGCTTCTTCAAGCGCAAAAAATCTTAATAGATTCCTAAATACCAGGATTTCGATTTCTATTACAATAAAAGAGAAGGGGAAGCCACATAACAAGACACTCGTGGCAGTATATTTTGTTAGACATTCAAGCTGAATTGGAAACAACAGTTATTTTACACTTGCACTATATTTTTACAGTACTAGACGTCAAAGTAAGGGCGAAGACATGGTGAGCTCCAGACAAAGAAAAAAGAAGCAAGATATTGTGTCAACTGAGATTTAACTCACAAAGCAGATAGACTGACGAAAATTATCGTGCGAAGTACCTGAGACATTTTTTTCTCTAAAAGAGCCCAGTGCACTTTAATGAAACTGAGAAAAACTCACTTTTTTTTTTACTGACAATATGGTCGGGCCTGCTCAAACAACTTTTTGCCAATGTGTTCATCTCCCTTAAATACGACAAATCTATATTGTGGTTAAAATCTACATATCCCAGTATCATCAATATTGAGGAGTAAAGTTTGTATTTGGCTCATATAGATTAGAACCTTTCATTTGGGCATGAATCGGCTCATAAAATAATATAAAACAATTCAAATGTACGGTATATTAATATTTTGAGATAGAATTAACATCATCCTTGTGCTTCCGTCAGTGCCATGCTTCGTTGCATGGACTTAATCGCGATTACTAGATTTGAAGAGTGGGTGGTTCTTCCAGGCAAAGTGCATATATTATTTTGGACTGTTATCAGTGTTTTCTGGTTCTTGGTATCCATCGAAAGCTTTGAAAAGTGTTCCAGTTTGTTTTATGCCTTGCCATTTTGGATCACTTCTTCTTTATGGAATGGATAGGTGCTCAATATCTTCATTTTATGTACTGTATTGAAGCAAACAGGGGACATGATACTGTAGCGCTAAACTTGAAAAGAATCACTAAGAGGCGAAAAGAAGTAGGAAAGTCAGCCTTTTGTTCTTCATGATCGAGTTTTATCATTGAACATCACGTGCTTCAGTAAAGGCCAACTGGCCCTAGGAAACCTTATTTTGGAATGTAAACACGATAATAAAGCAACTAGGGCACAAATAAAAGATTTTGGGTGAGACCATGTTGATTCTTTTGGTATCGATTGTTGGTGCAGTGCTGGCTTAATGAATGTGACTCAGTTTGATTGAAACAGTTGGAGCATTTGGCTCATTTGAGTTAATGTTACAAGAAGAAATTGCCCCATTTCGATTAGAACTGTTCTAAAAGTTGAATATACTTGAACACGCTTTACGTTCATATGAAATTTAGTCTAGCTTTTATTTGTGCATTTGGCTCTCTTTTAAAAAAAAAAAAAAGCCTCACTTAATTGGCTACTGCTTTTGTGATACATATGTCATTTTAAATAGGTTGCATAGATAGGTATTTCTAGCTTAAATGATAGTGCACACATAAATGGTTTCATTTAGACACCTCCAAAAGTAAGCCTCATACAGCAGTAGTCAAGATGATTGTCTATTTCTAAATGTTATCCTGTGCTAAGTAATTTATAAACATATATATGTACTATTTTGTGATGCAATGAAATTTGCAGGTGGTGTCATGGCATTTGTGCTCACAAAGCTTACTTCTTATGTTGTGTTCTGTAATGTGGTATGCATCATTGCACCTAGTTGCTTATGTGCCTAGATAATATGCATTATGCTTGACATTTTCAGTTAATGGTTTTACCTTTGAAGCAGCTGAATCAATGAATTTGGAAGGCAGTATTCACACAACTGTGTTTTTGTTATGGAAAACTTTTGTCTCAATTTCGGCTTTTTCTACTGTCCTCAATGCAGATTGAAGTAACACAGGTCGGCATTGACCAGTGTGCTCCATCAATTCATCGCAGACTAGCCATTATGGACAAAAACAAAGACCTGTACCTTGTCAGCCTACGTGATGGGAAAACACTCCAGAGCATTAAACTAGGTAGGCAGACAACCGTATTGTGAATTTTTAGGATTATACATGTTGGGCAGTTTATGATTTCACAGATGATGTAAACCACAATATTTAGTGCTTTTTGCTGTGCTAAATATTTCAAATATTTTGTCTTTGATACCTGATATTGCCTAGGCTTATAGTATATTGGGGAATAGCATCATATGCCTCTCCGGTTGTGTGATTTTTATTTTAGTATGAGCAAAAGTTTCAAGAAACGTGGATATAGTAGATGTAATCATGAACAGGAATGTGGATGCCGAAAGTACATTGACATCAGCACCACTTGCAGGTGTCATGACGGGATCCTTATGTTGGAACGATGACTCAAGCATCTTGGCTTCTTTGCAAGAAGGCAAGCTGATGATATGGAATCACCCAGATGTTGCCTGGATTGATCGTAGCCTTTTGCCCAGCACAGTTACAGAGAAGGAAATGACGTGAGTATAGCCGATAATGCCCTCGCGAAAATCCATGTTAAATGTACTACAGTGTAGCGGTGATAAGGAACAGCTTGGTACAAAAGTTGCATTTGAGTTCTTCTTGAAAAAAAGGCACAGCTATCATGCTTCTACTTGAGTATTCAGGCTTTTTGCAAAGCCTTACTGCAGCCAAAATTAATGCCTTGCATTATGCTTCACTTTGCAGATGTAGACAGAGCTGTCTATTTGATTGTAATGTATCATGTCAAACCTACTTTTTTAATTAAAGTAAATTTCTTCAAAAGCCTATTATTTACATATGAGCAGTACATTGTAAGCAGGCTTAACATAAAAAAAAAACATGTATGAAGCTGAAGTAGTGCAGATAGTTGTAGTAAAGTCATATTTTTTGTATTGTAAGAACTTAACATGAAAGCTGCTTCCTTCCTCACTGTACTTCCTTGACCCATGTTCCCTGGCTTGATAGAGCCATTGAAGCATTGGATGTCTATCATGGTTCGCATGTATATAGGTGCCAGAAGTATGTAGGAGGGGGCATGTGAATATGTGATGTCCTTAATCACTGGCATGAGTCTTGGTGCCTGTAATGCACAGGCTGTGAAGTATATGTTGATGTGCTGTGACACAGTGCTTTTTCCCTTTTTGTGCCAAGTGTGCCTGCAAAGACACATAATCATGCACTTTGTGTGCACAATTACGCTTGAGCAAGATGGGTACTACTTATGGCAAACATTATTCCTGCAATGTAGTTTCTAGCAGTGGCATTGAAAACATTTAGTTTAGTATTTTCATATTGGCTACTTGTTTGGCAAGCTCTTTATGGTAGTGATGCTACCAAGTGTGTGGTGTGTACCATGTATACAAGTTCACTAACTCGATGTGTTCTTTTCCAGTGACCTGGGCTACAATCCTCACATTGTGAGCTTTCTTGGGTCTACAGTTTTAGTTCGAAGGACTGATGGCTCATTAGTGTCTTTTGCCTTTCCCCCGTACGCTTCAATATTGCACGGTTACGTTGCCTCGTCACGGTGGGACGACGCTCTTCGCCTCTGCAGGTTCGTCAAGGTATTGAATTGCAAACTTTTTATATTTGCCATAAGATCGAAATTGTGAAAACGTGACTCGTACTGGCACGTTTTTCTGCATGCCATTCCTTTATATAGAATTTCGCAGATAAGTGGGGAACTCAGCATTCAGTCGAACCTGGACGCATATAATCTGAAAGAGATTACAGAGTGTGCATGAATAAAACTTTAAAAATGCATGTTGTACTCTTTCCCACCACCCATTTTGATGCTTCTATCGACATTATTTCACTAGGAACAAGGGTCAGGGGGTATATAATACACACGTCATATGTATTCATACCATGGCTGTGAAACAATTCGCAAAGGTTTCAACGCCGTTACGCCCCACTCTGTTTCTGGCTTAGCCAATGCAGATCTGTTGATAAACTCAAGCTTGTAGATTTGATTTGGTTTGTCGTCACAGCAGCAGCATTTCAAAGTCATGGAATGCAGAAATAGTACCAAGTATTGGGTACACATTAGAGTCTGCTGTGGTATAAAATTCTGAACTGATGTGAAACCTTTCACTGTGATATCTTTGGCAAGCCATAGGCTATATTGTGGACGTTAATTACTATAAGTTATGGAAAATTGTAAAAATAATTTCGTATAACTTGCAAGTGAAGTCTTTGAAAGCATTGATGTGGTTTATGTAAGGTACCATTGTTCATCTAATATTGGAGGATTGTAGTGCATGCGTACTTTTACATCTCAGGTAATTCCAGTGTGAGTTAATTGAAGCCTTCTTTGCTGGTTATCATCAAGATGACAAGTATGTAGTCATCCTAGAAATGTATGTTTTTATTACCACATGACGTGGCTTTCATTTCTTATCTTTCAGCTTCCAGCTTTGTGGGGTTGTCTGGCAGCAATGGCTCTGGGTGCACGAGAACTGAACACAGCAGAGGCGGCCTATGCTGCTATTGATGAGGTAGTGCTGTGGCTTGTTGAACCACTTTTTCATATTGTCACGTGCTAGGGGATCCATACCCCGCACCTCCACCAGTTGTCAAGCGCTAGAAGCTCGAAGAAAAGACGCAATCTGAGATACAAAGAAAGATGTTCCCACTGGCACTAGTTGCTCGTCTTCGTCTTCTTCGTTCACTGGCACAGAACTGGCTCACTGTTCACTGGCACAGAACACCAGGTGGCACTATTAGTGAAAAACCACCGCAACCCTACCTATTGAGATTTTTCACATGTCAGGAAAGAACACTAGGCTTCGGCTGAACTCAGCGGGGAAATAAATAGACATGCCAATGCAACAAGCAATCCACAAATCGGCGATGGGCATGTCTAAAACATGTCGTAGCTCAGCTGCAATAACACCGTGGAATGACCTTAGCTGAATTTCATCGTTGACAAGAGTAGTTTTACTTGAGCCAGTTAAATTCTCTCCCTCTCACACCCCAATATTTGCACTACTATTTTGCATTAGTTTTGTGCAGCAGGCCATTTTGCATGCTAGCTGGTAAAATTCAATTAAACTGTGAATAATCCTTCTAGTACTTTTACAGTATTTTGACCATGCATTTTCAGGCACCCATTTGAATGTGTTTCTTTGTAAAATTTAAATGTTTCTCACAAATTTGTGACTTGAACTTGATAAACTCTTTATAGATATACTCTATGCATTGAATGTTATTAGTGAAAGTTTGTTCTGCATTATTAATGATGTACTCAAGATAATTTACCCATTGAAGAGATTGGATTACTTTGTTATTTTTTATGTTCTTTTCTGCTGTATAGGGCCCCCACAACCTGCCTTACATGGATGAATGCTGAAATTGAACTCTAAGCCAGACTAGATGAGCTAGCTATTATCTGAAAATCTATTGTCATTTATTGTGGGGTCTTCAGATCTGTGTCATGGGAGAAAATTATCTATGTAGGTTTCTTGAATTTTTTGTATGTCAGTGTTATCACGAATATCAAAGCATTTTCCTGTTTTTTATTGTACAACCTTGGATGGTGCATTTAATTGTTCTATGCTTTGCACACTCCAGAACACCAGCATATCTGCACCTAACCCAATGCTCCGTTTGTGCAGGAGTGCTCAATCAAATCGTGCAGCCGTCATTTTGCTTGTGCATAAACTTTTATTGGTTCAAACAGTCAGCTCTTACTTCATTTACCTGGCAGCTCAAGTGACTCAGACCACCTTGTTTAACAGGTCGATAAGGTGTTTTACCTTCAGTACATCAAATCACAGCAGTCCAATGAAGTCCGAACAGCAGAGCTTGCCTTGATCTGCGGAAATCAAAGAGAAGCTGAGAACATCCTGCTGCAAAACAAAATGTGGTTCCGTGCCATCATGATGAACATCAGTCTTCATGAGTGGGAACGGTAATGCCACATTTCGGAGGTCTCTTTCTTTGTGTGCGTTTGTGCAGCTGGATAAATTTATTCTAAATCTGCTCTGACTTTATACCTACGAATTTATAAAAAGTATTACTCTGTGTTGCCTAGCAGATTTTTTAGAATGACACATTATTCTATGAAGAAAAGAAGGGAAAATTTAATAGCCAACTTTTTTTTGTTAGACACAATAATAATGAGAGCTAACAGACAGGAATGCCAAAGAAAGTATAAGGATTGTTATTAAATGTGATTGTAGCATAAATGGGAAGAAAGAATTGTGGACGGAAAGGTAACTTGCCGCCAGCAGGGACCAAACGTGCGACCTTTGAATAATGAGTACAGTGCTCTACCGACAAAGCTACAGTGGCGCTCATCCACCCGTCTACTTTATGGTGTATATATGTTGACTCTAAACATGACAGTGTTATTCAGCGCTGCTTGTATACATGATGGTGAGTATGGAAGAATCTTTTTCCGTCTGTTGGTATCACATAATACGCAGTCTTATCACGAGCTGGCAGCCGACCAATAACCCCTTGCACACAACCTGAAGGCATCAATTCTGTCAGAACGAGATCATCGCTGTGAAGGAAGGAAAAAAAAAGTCGAAATTCGAGGGCTCATTTTTCTTTGTTAGACACAATAATAATAATAACTGACAGACAATGATGCCAAGGAAAGTATATGGGTTGTTATTTGTAGTATTAAATATATAAAGAAGGTAAAGTGGACGAAAAGATAACATGTTCTATGCAATTTCATGGGGTTATAAATGGACAGTCTGCCAGCAGAACTGCTAAAGAGTGTGTCACAACCAGTTGCTGCTGAAGATTTAAGACTATGTAAGCATATCATAGGAACCACTGATAAGTCGGAATACCTACTAACACCAACATATCAACATATCGTTCTAATGAATAGCAATGCACACATAAAATACAAGAATATTAATTCAAAACCGCTAGATTAGCCCATTTCATTTTTTAAAAACAATTAGAGAGTGGAAACTTCTCGAAGATATAGTAAACTTAAGTGACAATAGTGATTTCTTCTCATCGTTGTGAAATTGTGACTTGTGTATTATACCTTTTGTACCTGTTTGCTATGTGCTATATAATATACTGAAACTTTGCGTGCTATAAGTATTATATATTATAATTATATTTTCCATTATGTTTTTGTGTACTATCAAAGAATTGTCATTAACTATATTTACTTAGAATGTACACCCCCCCCCCCTGCAGTGATGCTACTGCAGTGTTTCAGGAACCATGTAATTAACTATGTAATGTTGCACTACAAGTGGATTACGTTAGACTGAATGTCAAAGACATACTAGGCATGTAGATTGCGCCTTCGTATAATCACAGCCTGTACTCTGCATAATTTAAAACGTGCAGAAGCATGAGAAGTCAATGTGTAAAAATAAGACACCTCATGGTTCTTTGGCATTAGCACAAACAAGCCCACCTGTCCAATTTTCACTATGGTAGTTCAACAGCCCACTCAAAGTCATATTTTGCTAACAGTTGTGCATCCTTGCTTGTTAACTGAGAAGTAAGCATTACTTTTCTTATTACTTTGGGCCTTTTGTTTATTTACTGTGGGAAAATGTGCTTGGCATTGTTTTGTGCTTTCATTAGTCGGGAATGGTTCGACTTTTGGACTAATGTATTCATCTTTTCCTCGCAACCAGGGCCCTGAATCTTGCCGTGAAGTACAACACCCACATAGACACAGTTCTGGGCCATCGAATTTTGTCACTGGAGAGGCTCGGCAAAAAAGAAAACAACGCTCTCTTCCTCAAGTACAACAAAGAGGTATAATTTATTTTTGTATTGACATCTGCTTTTTAACTTGACCCTGATTTCTTTATGAGGCATCCATGTCACACTGCAGTGAATCTTATCTAAATATTAACTAACTGGAAATATCAAATTATATTTGACTCGGTCTGACATGTTTCTTAACAATAAAAGAAACAAATCATGTTTAATGGGAGCAGAGCTCAAGTATGCTTGGAGAGGTCCACTGAGCACTGAATGGACATTTCTTTGGACTTTATCACCTCTAAAATTTCTACGTGATGATGCCGCTCCAATTTCTACCAAATTTATCAAGGGCGTCGATGCATCCATGCGAGGCATGTTTTGTAGCTGCCAGCCCATGCTGCATGTAAACAATAGTTCACGTGAGGGAACAACAATATTTTCTCTAATTATTGTTATAGCAGTTAGAAGAAATTCACCTGTCTCGTTTTTATGATGCCAGAAAGGTATGGCCACTGTCCAAAATCATAGACATCATTTTTTGTGCTAGCGTCTTCGAGAAAGTAACCACTAGTGCACTTTGGCAGCAAACTGTTCTCCCCCTTCCTTTCCATAAACGATTGGAAGGTAAAGGCCGTGCAGTGGGGCTATTTGACCATGTACTTCACATCAATATCCAATATTTACTCATTATTAACTTTTGCCAAGAAAAGAAACTTGCCTTTGCTTGCACATCATTTTTAAAAATTTTGTTTATATTTCCAGGTGAAAATAGACTGGGCGAAAATCAATGCTGCCATGGCAGAAGAGTATGAGAAGGAGAAATATGGTTGAAAACTTTTGCGAGCAGCTCCTAAACTGTGACGCTAATAAATGATTTTTCGTTATACTAGATGAGTGGGATGGTTCTATGCTGTTACGTGATGGCATATACATGTCATTTTGGGCACTGATCGTGTAATGTGCATCTACGTGCGGTCTGTTAGTACAACAGAATGGATAACAAGGGTTGGGCAATGCCGCCGAGGACGGCAAAAGGCTAGGTATGGTGACGGCATTATGATGTTTGCACACATAAAATGGCATCAGCTTGCATAGGACAGGCCACATTGGAGATCACTGGCAAAGACCTTCGTCCTGCAGTGGCCGAAAAAAGACTGATGAACTTTGCTATATGAGCCTTTGCTAGCAGCTCATATTGCTCCTGACATGTGATGAAAATGGTGCCCTTTAAGTCAGGACATAACAACCTTGACTCAAATTTCTCTGCTTGCTTGTCACTGGTATTTCCGGTCTGACGTAAGAGACTAGTTATATTTTTTCTGCGCCGGGCGCGATAAATTTTGATATTGCCTCTTAAAAGGGATCTTCAACACTTTTCTAGCATTGGTCAGAGAATGCTGCAAATCGGTAGTCAAGGCTCTCAAAAACACGCCAGTTAAACATAGCGCAACATGCTTTATGTTGATTTGCAATCTATTCTCAAAGTCAGCCAAATCTTGCTCCCTCGTGCCTTTACAAATGATAAAAAAAGTAAAAATGTAAGGGCTTGTTTTCTTCGTTAGAGACAATATTAATGAGAACTAATGACATTGGTGTCAAGAAAAGCATTGGGGGTGTTATTTGTAATAATTAAGATAAATTTGTGAAGGCAGTAAGTAATATGTACTAAAAGATAACTGCCTGTTTGTTAGTTCTCATCAATGTTGTCTCTGGTTTTAAGATATAATACCACAGATATTATATTTATTATTAATACTGTTTCTACAAGTGATGTCATATGCCTAAATTGCTGCTCCATTACCGAAGAGCACGGCGGTTGGCTGATTTGGGAACTATGAGCTCTGTGGTTGCAGCGGGATGCCACCCTGTGACCACGCATGCACTTGCAATCACAATGAAATTAAGCGGCGCATTCGAACAAAGAAAAAAAAAAGCACCCAAGGTGATGACACGCACTTATGAAGGGACGCATCTTCTTGCCCCTCTGTTATCTCTCTCCCTGTGTAACTTTCAATGAGCTTTCTAGTGCGAAAAAAGAGAGAAAGCACTTCAAGCGTGTGACAAATATCGGATTACCGAGATGTCTTGCTGATAACGTACTTCAAAGCTCAAATCATGAGATTTAAGCCTCTTACCTGTTTGCAGATGGTTTTTATCGGATCTCCTTATTATTTCTTCAAGCATCCGTGCCGATGCTATTAAAGGCCTGAAGTCATGTTTGTCGAATTGCTGTTATCGGACCTACAAGTTTCTCTGCCGAGCCTCACTTCACCAAAAACACGATCGTTTCATTTAATTTAGTTCTTGATTATATTTTCCCCAGAAATGCTAAATTGCTTCCAAAGTGTATTCTTGAAGGTCTGCTTCAAATAACCTCGGTCGAATTCTCGCTTACTGCGTGATTTCTATGGACGCAACGAAAAATCTATGGAAGGTGAAGATGGGCATCTACTCACAACGTCTTTGCTCTCTGACTGCCTGAGTTCATCGCACTATTTCTTGCAGAATTTCTTGGAGTCACATTGGCTGCTGGAAAACTAAGTCCTCAGAAATCCCAAGTTATGATTACAGATACATTGTATCCTTTTGCATGCATTTGACACCCACAAAGCAATCACATTTCAGGATATTTGGGAGTGTTGTTCCGTGCATCTCATATGAAGTTCGGTTGGTGCGAGTCCCCGGGCACGCTGAAAGTTTTCTATATAAAGCAGCTGACTCACTCACTGTACTGTGTTTTAGGTGGTCTGGCGCTACTTGTAGCAGCCCCTTTTTCTTTCATTACAGGAGAAAGATTCAAACGCGTATTATTAAAAAAAACGAAACAACTTTTCTGCAATCAGACAAGTGCGGGCACTCACAATTTCCATGAAACATTACCACATGCATTTCACATCAACGCGAGGCAACCCTTTTAAGCTTTCGCTGCAGAGTTCCCCAGTTTAATTATTGCCTTCACAAATCTGGCTGTTCATTAACTAATCTTTGTGCAGATTACAATGAAGAGGCAATGATGGACCACTTTTTTCTACCATGCCGCCGTTTCGGGTCACTTTGTAGAATATTTTTTGAGATGCCGGCTGGAGTAGGTTGGGTCTACCATTGACTACTCCAGACCTGTTGTTGGAGTCGGTCATTTCGGGGCAAGCCAGAAATGCTAATACGATGCGTTACTCAAACTGATTGACTATGCTGCTGGCGCTACCGATAAAAAAATCTGTTCCTTTTCGATCATTTTCCCATGGCGATTTGAATTCCTTTGCCTCTTTTCCTGTTTATTTACTTTGTGTCTGACTCATTTCTTTTTTTTATGGAACATGTGTTTGCATTTTCCTTCATGATTGACAGCGTGGCAAATTCGCCTCGTAGGTATGAGCCAGTCATACACTAGGCGACAAAATAAAACAGATGAAATCCCTGTAACTCGGCTCGTACCGGGTGTATTGTAAAAATGAAAAAAGGAAAAGAAGTATGTGAAAAACTGGCCGTAGAAGCTCTCCCCACAGGAAACGGGAGCTTCTAGGGGCTGTGCTCAACACAAAAAAAAAAAAAAAAGGTGCCAAAAGTGTATCTGGAGCGGCCGTTCACACATAGATGCGCTCTACACATAACAAACTGCCACCAGCGGCGACACACGATGTATAGCCACAGAACACCTAGTATAGCCCTTAGTACCAGCACTCGCTTCCCACGGAGGCCCTTCTCATCAACGCCATCACTACCCACAAGCCTTGTTGTGGTCATCTACTGTGGCCGCGCTGCAGGAAACTTGGTTACTTAGCATGTGCATCTTGACTACAATTAATATTGCTCCTAAAAATGCCAGCCGTGCTTCGTAAAACCTTCGAATTATTCGCTATCAAATTTATTGATTTGCCCTTTTGGTGAAACTGTGAATTTTTATTTACTTTATTTGCATGTTTCTCAATTTTTCGGTCACTCAAAGATGCTCGATTTTCCGCTCACAACCAACGACGATGACACCGACACTGGAATTTGTGCAGAACGAGCTCTTTAACCCTATCGCTTTAAAATTCCTCCTGGTTCGAGGATCGAACTCAGGTCCAACATCTTTCCGGGGTGGTCGCTCTACCAACGGGTGGTTGTCTATTTTCCCTTTTCTAACCCTTCCGCCACCTTGCAGGTCTCTGCAGAACTCGTTTGCATTACATATCATCAATATATTGTTAAAACCGGTATCGTTACAAGTGAGTTCGATTGTATGTACATGCATACAAACGCACACACTAACTTACATAGAGTATGATTGAACCCCCTCCCCTCGGAAAACAAAATTCTGGCTACATCGTTGCCTGTCGCTATAACTAATGGTGACGAAATTGACTCCGATTTTCGCGGTCTTGCACACCCTAGCGCGACAATAATATGTTGTCGTTGTTTATTATTTATTTTTTTGGCCCGGGTAATTTCTTAAGACGCACACATGCAGTAGGCAACAAAAGTTTTCGGAGCGCGACATTTGCGGAAAATCTGTATGAGGTCTCGCTAACCTCTATATAATTAAAAGTTTCAGCCTGTAGTATATTTTTCAGAAGTACAGAGCGATCGATCAAATTAAAGCAGTTGCCGAGTAACATGTGTCACGTTCATAGGCGTGCGCGGGGTTTTCCACCAGGGGAGAAGCGGGGGGGGGGGGGGGTCAAATTTCACCACAGAGGCCACCCTTCGGTACACATCCGCCCAGCTCCTGAGCTCAGTGGATGGAAAATTTTAAATGCAGTGCTGATATGTTTTGTTTTCCACAAAGGTCAGCCATTGGCTGCTGGCTTTCGGGAGTAAAGGCGTCGAGTAAAAGTTTCCTTGAATGCAGACGATCTTGATCACTATACCTCGTAGAAAAAGAATTATTCATAGCAATAACCCAGCGCATAAAAAAAAGGTAAGAATGACATGGAGGTTCCGACCGAGTGAAGATATGGGGCAGAATACGACTCGGTCGGCGGCTTCCTCCCACTGCGCGCGCACGCCTATAGTCGCGTTATCTTTTCACCCTGATGCACAACGTGCAACAGAAACATGCTCCTCCCCACGAAGTCTCACACTGTGGGGAAGTCGAGACTACGTGTAAAGTGTGAAGGGGATGATTTCACGAAAAGCTCGGTTACCAATGTCCCAGACTGAGAAGATTATTTGGCGCCGACTCCAAACGGGCACCTTGATGTCCCCCTTCATACACTCTAAAATTCACCCGCATGACACCTCATTGTCGCCTCTTCTCGAGTCCCCGAGCTGACTTTCATCATACATATAGAACTTGTCCAAACACGCCGAATCCCCCCTTTGCGGGGGCAGAGTGACAGGAGTGATGGGAGGCTGCTCTGCCCAGCTCACAACCGGATGACCAACTCCGGATCGTACGCTGGACCATAGGGGTCGTCGAAGCGCACGGACCACCTGGAGACCCAGGCCACCTGGAGCTACCTGGGGGCTCATAGTCTTCTTTTTCCCTGACCCCATTTCCCTCCCTCACCTGACCCATTCTTGGCGTCATTAAAGTTATATCTTCCTCCTCCTCCTCCTCGGTTACCCAGGCCGGCTGCGAGTCTCATGCGCTCTCCTACTTAATTTCTTTTTTAATGGTTACAAGTCTCTTAAATTTTGTTTTGCGGTTGTTGCTGTTTCATCTCATAAGACACATACCAACACTGAAAGTTGACTTATCTTTTCACCCTGATGCTCCTCGTGAAACAGAGATATGCTTCTCCTCACGAAGTCTCGTACTGTGGGGAAGCCAAGACTACGTGCAAAGTGGACAATTTCACGAAAAGTTCGCTTGCCAAGGCTGGCTGCGGGCCTCATGCTCTCTCCTACTTACTTTCTTCCTTCGTGGTAACAATTAAGTATCTTAAATTTTGTTTTGTGGTTGTTGTTGTTCTATCTCATAAGGCACACACCAACACTGGAAGTTTACTTCATCTTTTCTCATCGTCTACTAACAGCATCGAGAAGAAGCCACTCCACTGCCGCGAAAGGCGGTTATTGTAGCTTTCTGTACAAATAAATCTCTTCCTGTGTTAATAAAATTTTAAATAGTTATCTTCGTGCGGACCGTGCGCTACTGTCACGTGTCATGGAAAGCTCGTCGTTTTCGTCGTCGGCTTTACTGGCTAAATTCACAATTATGAAGTTACGACTAATAACACCTCTTCAAACTCAATCTGTCTAGAATCAAAATAAGCATGTAGTTATTTTTTTTTTGTTTTATGCAGCCACGAGGACGTTTTCTTCGCCATTTTGGAGTTTATTGTAGAGACTGAAACAAGGGTGCATTAAATTGTGCCGGCCATAATTTTTAATGACTGATAACTTGCTATTCAAATTAATATATTATTTAGCTGTCGTGGTCCAGTAATAATACTCTATCGAATATTATGGAAAAATCCGCTCTCTACACGGCCAATTTCTTGTATTGGGTACGAGCCATCGGCTGAGGACGGTGAAGAAGAGACGTGTGCGGTTGGCGGCGCGTGCAAACAGCGGCGGGTCAGTACAATGTGTCGCTCGCATTGGGTTCCTCGTCGCCCTGGCAGCCCCTTCACAGCCCGCCTATGAACCCGGACGGCAGAAACAGGCTGACCGAGTTTAGCCGCAACTTCAACGGGTCGTCTATGTACGCCTCCTATGTGACGGCCTGGAACAGAGTGGTAAGGTGTGGAGCAGATCCAGCCACTCATTTCAGGGGAGAGGGGGGTCTGACTTTTGTTTTTAGTAGTTGCTATCATCACAAGAACTCCATCACAGCATAAATACTTTTACATGACCAGGATTCGGGGACATAAGAGTTACTCAGTAACTCTAAAGGACATCTGCATGTAGCGCCACTTCTGGTCAGCCAAAGCGCCTGCCTGCCGTAACTGAAAGGAAAATAATCGAGAAAGCAGTCATATTATTGAAATAATTAGCTAGTTATCAAAAACGACTCCCAGTTCTATACAGCACAGACTTTTTTGAACAGTCTGAGAAATTTACAGCGTCGCACTATAATCCACGAGGCTTCCTGGAGTCCTTATATAATATTGAACAATGGGATCCCATGCATTTCTACTGGCGCTGTTCAGTGGTCCCGGGAATCCACACGCTTTGTAATGTGACACAGCATTTTTGCCCAAATGTGTTAGTGGGTATCTGCTGCGTATAACCCGGGGTCGTTTTTCATAACTACCTTTTTTTCATGAGATATGATTTTTCTCACCAATTTCCCATTCAGTTACGGCAGGCTGACGTTCCTGCCGCCGAGAGATGGCGCCAGGACGGGAATATTGCGAAGCAAGACCACTTATCGAGCCAAATACGAACGGGTCAGAAGGGGTAGACATGGTATGCAGTGCGTGTGGAGAGGAGGAGGAAACTGTCGAACACTTGATAATGTTCTGTAAAGGACTTGACCCTATAGTTCAGGCTGATGGCGCAGAGTTTTTCAAAGCACTGGGGTTTAGGGAGAGGGAGGGTAAAATAGATTTTAAGCGGGTAGAAATAACTAGAAGAAGGTTATCTGTTTGGTGGCTATAATCAAGGCACGAGTGAAAATTAAATCCTTCAGTGCAAATACTAGCCCTTAACTTCACTATTCACTATTTAGAGGGGGAAATAGAGGAGATAAATCTAGTTTTTGTTCACTAGGTATTACTGCTAGGTGGCGTGAGCCACCGCCCGATCTAAATGGTACAACCATATAAACACATCCATCCATCCCAATTCCTGGCTTTTTTCTTCCTCCGTGCTGGGCATGATTCGAACAGTTGATTGATATGTGGGGTTTTCCGTCCCAAAACCACTATATGATTATGAGAGACGCCTGATTCGAACAGTGGTCCCGCTCATTTGTTGATAGGAGGTGGATGACAAGGAAAGAAGGGGGGCAGGGGTGCTGACACAGGCCTTAGAGGAAGGGCCCCTGCCACCCGCTCTCCTCGCTGGATTCTCCATTGGGTATACGGCCCACCGGTGACTCGGATTCTTACAGCGAATCTAATCGAACCCACTGCAGGAGCCATCAATGCGAATTGGAATGCAATCGATAGAAAAGGCACCCACCTCGCGCGTGTTAAAGTTATCACAGTTATAAAGACGTCGCAATTTAAATTCAAGCCTCTTTACGTGCGTCCAAACTGCAGCATGTATGCCTCTATGCCTGAAAAAAAGCTCACGTCGCGATCCACATTCGAAACTGTGACCTGCTGCAAAGTAGCGTCGTACCTGCTCTTGCAGGTATCTTCTCTGCAACACGTACCTGCTCTTGCAGGTCTTGTGCTACGAAGGGTCCTCGTCTGGCCCGCAAGGCGGGAGTCGCAGCATGGACAGGCAGGTGACAGCTATCCGCAACTTCTTCCGGCGGTTGTTCTCCCGCAACAATGACGTCACCGCACCTGCCGAACGCAATGCGGACGACGCCGAATCTGTGGCCGGTGGCGTTGCAAACCACGTGAGTGTTGTGATGTCACACGCGAAACTGAAGATCTATCTCTCCCAGAGGCATATTTTTTTTTTTTTAAGGAAGACTCGGCGATCGCGCACATATACGTGCGTGTACAGCCACGCCAATCGTGCTGGTTTGCTACTGGTTCCAGTAGTGTTAGCACATGCCCAGCAGCTTCTGGAACCAGTTGATGCTTCTGGAATCAAAAGGCTATGGAAGCAGCACACTATAGCTGCAAGTTCCCGCGCAGCGTTGCCGTTTGTCGGCAAACTCGTAACTGAACGACATGGAGAACACCTTCTAAAAACACGCTGGCAACAAGTGAAATTCCAGCTGCATATTTATTTATGCAGCTGGGGGCGTAGTGCCCTAAGAGCCCACCCCTCCTCCCCCGAAATTCAGATGAACGGGAGTGTTTTACCGAGAATAAATAATGAAAATATGATTTTCAAGGCCTTCAACGAGTGCCCACCTCCGAAAAAAAAAATCGCTGGCTAAGGGCATGCCTTATGACCTCACATCACGGCAACGTTTCAACTGTGGTTGCAGCGTTCGCTATCGGCTTTCGTAACAACGTGTAAGGAGCGTTACATATTAATTTCTATGACTTAACTATTGCCCAACCCGGGAAAATATGATGTAAACCATTCCTCCCTCTATGCACGTCATCGCACAATAACGTGCACTTCATTTCGCCAAAACAGACATCTTCGATCTAACCTGAGTAGCGTCGTAACTCCATGGGGTGTCTCTGTAGTCGACGTGCCTAGTAATTCCACGACCAATCCCGTCACCAGGGGGCCGCGGATGGAGAGGGTACTATGAGTCCCTTCCACCTCTAAATTGTTGCTTCCTCAGATTTGGTATACTTCTCACATAGTTAACGAAAGACATTCCCCGCTACGGGCCTGCCCACGACATGCACAAAACTACTCAGGATGTACAAGAATCTGTTTTATTACTCGCAAATCCCAGAGATCTGCCGCATTTTTTTTCCTTTTTAAAATCGTGCTGCATAATGATTGAGACACCCTCTAAATATATAAAGCGCGCACGAGCATCGTTATACCCTTTATAAAGTATTGCGGTTCCCCACCCCCACCGAAAAAAAAAAAAAAACATTTCTGGCTACGTTCCTGGCAGCAACCAACGCGTGCAGGTTGCACAGTACTTTCCTTTTCACCTGTTAATATTATTACGGTGCATCATCGACATAAGCAAGTGTGGCACTTTACGAAGATGACGAAGTCGCCTGCGCATTAAGCGCTCTCGCGAGAGGCAACTCAACCATCTTGTTCGGCTGCAGATTCTCTGTTGACGCTACAATATAAACCTATATCTCGCCCCGTCACAATGTTGTGAACAGTATAAGGACCTCTTTTACATTTTTAATTCATTTTTATTTTTACTTTATTATCTTTTTTTTTTCTGCAGGCAAACGCTGCTAGCAAGCATGACGAGCAGCTGGGAGATCACAAGGATCCCCGCGATGACCACAAAAAACAAGTTGCGAGACCAACGCAGCTGAAGAGTCCTTTCACGCACAGTCTGAAATGCGGAAAATTCTAGCTTCAGTCGGCATTGCTTCCAAAGCAGTTTGCGATTTATATCGCTCCTTGTCGCGCGTTGCACCCGCAGGGCTCAAGTCAAAACTGCCGCCGTTACGACTACCTACGGCCGTTCTTAGATGGCGCGGCATGTCTAATAAAAAATTTTGATTAATTTTTTTGTATATTATGCTGGCATACTTCAATAAATCTTTCCGAGTGAAAAGTTTTTATATTTGTTTTCACAAGTTAAATGAAGTCGGGTTTTTTTAACTCTTTAATAAACTTGACTTTATACGAAACCAATAAAACTATTACCGTGTATTTAGACAACGCGCGAACAGCGATTACTCGCGCCGTACAACCGCGATTAATGTTTTCGCTTAAGAAGTTGCTGATGCTTGAACATCGTGCACGTTAATATCTCAAAAACGAGGCAGGATTCTGAATGGAAAGGAGTGACTACGCAGCACAGTGTCGTGACCTGCCGGGATCCGTGAAGGGTGCATCATGAGCCAAGTGGACGATCTCGCTGAAAGGTTCGCGCAGCAGAGTATCATAGTCAACAGAAGCTGGCTGCAAGCTTGTGCCCGACATGTTCAGGAGGAAAGTGCCGCTCCCGAGCAAATAGCGACGTTCGGCGGCGACGTGTACAAGCAAGTCTACTACCAGTTGCTCGTGACAAATCTGTGGGAGTTGGGGATGAGTTGCCTGCCGGATAGCGCACTCGCCGCTCACAAGCTTATGCTCAAGGGCTCATTTTTTCTCCAAGTGGATTGCGTGCGAGACATTAGTCAGCCGGCGTACTCTCAGCTGCTTAAAATCACAAAAGCCGAGAATCCGAACACCGTCGTCCAGGCCGATCCAATCGAGAAGCCGTTTCCGTGGCAGGCGCAGCCGAAGAGGGTGCTCAAGCTTGAACTCACTGACGGCACTCTCCGGATGCAGGCCATCGAGTTCGAACCGGTGCCATGCATGAGCGCCGACATGCGGCCTGGCATCAAGCTCCTCATCACGGGTCCCGTCGAGTGCCGGCGGGGCGTGATGTTCCTGCGTGCAGACAATGTGCGTGTCCTCGGCGGCATGGTCGAATCTCTCTCGGAAGGTAACAGTCGAGAGGCAGTGCTCTGTCGAGTGCTGGGTCGAGACCTCGCTCAAGTACTGGATGGCGTGCCGCGCCCGCTAACTGCTGACCGCCCGGAAAGGGACCGCGAGGACACGAATGATCGCCAGAGTATTAACGATCGACCGCCTGATCATCCGGTGCGAGTTCCTGGAGCGAGTGGATCACCGCGAATAGACAGTGATTTCCACATTATCAGCAGAGCGACGACCATTCCATTGGCGAACAGCAACTCGACAACAGTGCGAATGACCTCCTCAGTGTTGGATGTTGACCATGAGTGGGATAGAGCTGATAGGGCAGGCATGGATCCTGATGATGTGTTGATGAGCCAAATAGACTTTGGCAATCTAGAACCAGAAGCTGAAATCCACGACTGCGTTGACGAGGATGTTGACGAAGACCTCCTTCGGGAGCAGCTTGAATTCCAAGCACAGGCTGCAGGTGATTCAGTATTGCAGGACACTGTTGAAACTGACGGGCACGATACTAGTGAGCCATACGTAGAGCCACGTTCGAGTGCTTGTACTCGCGGAGCAAGCACAAATGACGAGCCACTGAATGAGGAGTCCCGACAACAAAGTGTTGGCAAACGGTCCTCACCGTCTCGGCCGTATACACAGCTTAGCTCTGTTTTGAAAGGTGGCAAGCATCCAGACAGCTCCGAGGTTGTGATTATCAAGGGCTACATTTCCACACCGACAAGCAAACTGAAGGTTGGTCCAGAAGAGACATGGCAGCTTTCAGCCATTGTTACCGATGACACTGCTTCGTTGGAAGTGGATATCGAAAATTCCTTGTTGGCAAATTGGATGGGCTTGACTGCAGCTGACGCAAAAAAGAAGTGCAAGCTGTCTTCGAAATTCAAGGAGTTCTTTGCAGGAAAGGTGGCAGAATGTCAAGAAAAAATGAGGTCTTTGAATGGGCTGCTGACAATCAGTTTCTCTGGCAGTGATACGAAGTTGCCTGTGTTGCTAAACTACGATGAATGGAAGCAAGACTGAAGCATTTTCTGTTGAGTTGCCATCTGTGGTGGCACGTGGGCTCTTGATGCCAGATTCTGTACTTGTTATAATGCCTTTATTGCAGGGCACTTTAGCTATGAACCATATTTTTCTGTTAAAATGGCAATGGCATGATAGACAGGGTAATAAGTTGAAACGTTTTTAGCAGCAGTAAGAGGTAAACAAGTGTTGCTGACATATAAATGTTTCAATGAACTGACACACACACACACACACACACACACACACACACACACACACACACACACACACACACACACACACACACACACACACACACACACACACACACACACACACACACACACACACACACACACACACACACACACACACACACACACACACACACACACACACACACACACACACACACACACACACACACACACACACACACCACACACACACACACACACACACACACACACCCACACACACACACACACACACACACACACACACACACACACACACACACACACACACACACACACACACACACACACACACACACACACACACACACACACACACACACACACACACACACACACACACACACACACACACACACACACACACACACACACACACACACACACACACACACACACACCACACACACACACACACACACACACACACACACACCACACACACACACACACACACACACACACATATATATATATATATATATATATAAACGGTGCAATGCCAGCAGACACTGTAATGGGCAGAAGCTGGACAGCCACAAGCAACACTAGTGCTTGTATTATGTCAAGTGGTATTATGTGTATGTTTACATGTATATATGTATGTACAATGAATGAACAACTTTTATGAAACAGTGCTATTCTCTTCCACATGCCATTGTTAACCAGTGTGAACTACTGGTGCAGCTCACATATTGACCTGAAATCTGTGCCTTGCAAACTTTTTGAAGCCTGTTACTCATTTCCACTTCGCGTATTCACTACAGGATGAAAGAGTTCTGCATTTCGGTTCATCCAATTGCATTAATATTCAACTTGCAGTCTCTCATTTTCGAAAAAACGCACACACTTCAGCAACCAAGATAACTCCCATGCATGCACTCTAGTCCTATATCAATTCTGTATGTGTGCATGTTTGTAACGTGACTTGGTGTTTATATCTAAACAATACTATTTCAGAGCCAGTTGTTAGACAGATTTAGAATAGGGTATGTAAAGATAGTGTTCATTGGGTATAATGCACCCTTTTATCACTTAACAGGGTTATCCATAAGGATAGCGTATGATGCATGTGCAGTGGTGACAAATGCTAATGCTGAGCTTATTGTATCCTATTTTAAAACTGTCTATTGTGGAAATATGTTGCAATATTGATCCTACCCTTAATTTGCAAAGCTTTTCCTGGCTAACCAAAGGCAGTTGGATCATATTTATTCATGTCGGTCATCTATCCACCCATCAAGCTGTTGGCTAGCATTGGTTAATCATGCCTAGTGTTGGCTGACTTTTTACTAAAATTGGGCAATGTTGTCTGAGGTTTGGCTAGTTGCTTGCTAATATTGGCAAGGGGTGCCTTTGAAGCGGTCACAGTGCTGGAATACATGGACTAGAGAGTGGTGAACTGTCTGTGTCTTTCAGCCCTATAACAGCACTGTCTCTCTTTCAAATGTATGTGACCAAACAGCCCAAAAATCTCTACATCTAGAGGTGTGTAATAGTTTGGCACTGTGTGCTGATTTTTACAAGTGGTAGCCAGTTGTGTCTAGGTCTGAATAATGTGCATTAACTACTAGCAAGCTCTGGCTAGGGCGATGATGTGCATATCATAAACAGCTTGTGTGTCTGCATTTCTGCATAGTGACTACCAGTGGTTACAGCTGGTTGTGTGGCATAGCACTGTATAGCATAGCCAAACTGTGAGTCCTGTTGTCTAGCTATCTCTGCATGTTTGCTAGGACAGATTTATGTTAGCTAAATGTCAGCTAGTACTAGCCAACCTTGGACATAGACAGGTATAGTTCACTGCTCACTTCTGTAGTGAAGTTACAAATATTGCATGAAGGCTGCTAGGACTCAACCATTTGTAGTCTAGCATTCCTCGACTATGATTAAATGCTTAAATGCACCAGTGCATGCTGTTTATAATAAGTGCATTTGTCCTGTGTACCATGCATCTTTGCTCGACAAAACTGCCATATGTGCTAAAATGTGAGTGCCGATGTTATTTCGGACCATAAACTTGCCTCGTAACAATTGACTTCAGTCAAGAAATGTGCTATTAGTCAGCTCCTGAGTGACTGCTTCGCATTATGTCTGCTCCCACAGTGCAGTTCTCCTCAAATTTTGTCATATGTTGTGTACTCTGGCTGATGTTTCTGAAGGCACGATAGAACTTATTTTTGAATTGTATTTGATGTTACCTTGTTCAAAACAATTTGATGATAAACTCATAGTTATTTATTTATAGTGTTTCATAGCAGAACTTGAACACTATTAAAGAGGTCATAACCCACCTCTTGTGTTTGGTGAAGAAGCGCATCTTTCCGAAAGCAGACACTACTATGAACAACTCAGTCTTATCTGGCTGTCATGTGTGACAAGGAGAGTTTACTAGCAGATCACAAATCACATTTTCTCGGGCGATACAGAGGCCTTTTCTCACTCTCTTCTGAGCTACTGGTACCTGCTCTTTGACATCACATAGCAGATAGCATGCAGTTCGCCAACATCCGACATAAATCAAGTGGGGTGTTTGGATCGAATGTGCTTCTTTTGTCAAGAGGTGTCGCCATGTACCGGCTCTGTGCTCCATGGTTTACGGACATTACACAGTAAATCACACTAGGGTGCACAAGAATCACAGTGGGAGGGGGTGATCGTGTTTCATCTCAAGGTCATGGCACATACTGAGGTTAACTTCTTTCACGTAAGTTTGGGTAGGCTGGTATTCCATTTCAGTGCTTAGCATACACACAACACTTACGCTCCCTGCCATCTCTGCTGATGCTACGTGCAAGTTTGTTACTTCGATGCAGGAGTATTTGGGAGATCTGCGGCATAACAAAGCGGGACTGTTCATCTTAAACAAATTTGACTATATGTCGCTTGACTGGTATTATATGGGCTCTAATAAAATTTGATCAATGGTTTCAAGTAAAAATTGCTTCAAATGTTAGTGTTCTTACCAACCTGTTGGCTGGAATGTGCCAAAACTACTCTGTATCAGACAAGAACTACATAAATTATATGCATGGTACTCTAACTTCATTCCTATTTGTTGTTTAATTCATAACTTGATGGTCAATTGATTTTTGCTTATTGGTCGCTTGATTGGTCTAATCAAGAGTGAGAAACTGGACTTTAATTTCCATGCTGTTCCTTATTCAAATTTGTGTTATATATTGTTCATTTTTTATTAATGAGAACTCTGCTCATAATAATTTTTTTTTTATTTGGCTGCGATTTTCGATGCGAAATATAAGTGACACAGCTTCTTTGTGTACATTTAGCTTGAGGCCTCGCTACTTTTCAACTCTACCCCTTGGCAACTCTGCCTACAAAGGATGCCTTTCTTCATTGGCTCACACCTCCCGTCTGGGGACACGATACCTTCTATACGGCTTGTCGCCCAGAGACGGAACAGTGGCACGTGTGTTCTGGTCGGCTTCTTTCCTCAGTCCGGAAGCGTCATCGCAACATTTGTGCTTACTTGCTCCAAGCAGGTAATGGTTACAAGACCCCCATAAAGTACGTAAAAGAGCCCCCCATTACATAAGCGTGTCATGGCGGCAGTAGTCACTGCGTTGCCTAAACGTCCATTGTTCGTACGGTTGGCTCGCTAGCAACGGCTGCAAACCCAAGAGCTGCTGGCAGGGGGCACTTCCGGGACCGGCAAAGAGCGTCCAAGGGCAGGTCGCGTCTTCGCCCCTCACCTGAGGTCTAACAATCTGCGTGCCAGCTTCCTTGCGCTGCTCTCCAAGACGACGCTTGCGCGCAGTCCTCGATATGGGCGTTAGAGGGACACTATATATAAGGTGAAACAATGAATGAGTTCATAAATTATACGTTTAAAACCATAGACCCTATAATAGAAGAGAAAATCAACATCAAAGTTTTATTGTTATTTTAATTTCGCGCCGTAATTTCCGTACATGACGTCATGAAATAAGTGCACGGCCCCGATCAGGAACTGCGTAGGCATTAATAGGCGACGTCAAAATCTATGACGTCGTGGTGACTGGGGCGGGAACTTCAAGGTGGCGTCGGCTACCACATTTTCTTTTTGCGCGGGCTCTCATTGACCGAGCGTTTGCTAGCTGAAAGCCTGGTGATTTCGGTATTCCTAAAGAGTAATTTACTAATACGAGAAATTCATTTTTCTTTCTCTTTGATGTCCGGTTAAAGCGTCGAAAGTGCAAGTGATAAAAAAAGCAAAATCAAGGAAAATTCCGGGAATGAGTTCTGCCAGCATTATAGCTATGTGTTAGTTTCGGTGGAAGCTGGCCCGTGGCCATGCTCAAATCAAGAGCGGATGTCGTCGATATTAATGATATCGTTGATATCCTTAAGTACAGGTGTTCGCTGTGTCCAGGTGTCATCGCTGCAGTACCAGCCTCAAGCATTCACTGCGTAAGGAGCAGTAAGGGCCTTGTAAGGGCCAGTAAGGACCTAAATACGCATAAAGAGGTCCAGGTGCGTAGGAGCAGTAAGAGCAGTAAGGGCCAGTAAGGGCCTAAATACGCATAAAGAGGTCCAGGTGCAAAAATTAATCTCGTAGTCATATCCTGATTTTGATCCCTAAAGTAGCATAAATTAATTGAGCAATAAAAAATACAGCAGCTTGCACTGAAGAATGGGCCGCAGCAGAGCTGGTCGGCACTCGGTGGTTCCTGCGTTTACTGTAGGCACACACCTCAATGCTCAGTGTTCTGTCATCGCGCTTAAATCACGAATGTGGGCTTAGTATCCACAGGGTGGTATTGGGTGCCTCCATTTCTTTCTTTCTTTCTTTCTTTCTTTCTTTCTTTCTTTCTTTCTTTCTTTCTTTCTTTCTTTCTTTCTTTCTTTCTTCTTTCTTTTTCTTTCTTTCCTATTCTTTCTTTCTATCTATCTATCTATCTATCTAATCTATCTATCTATCTCATCTATCTATCTATCTATCTATCTATCTATCTATCTATCTAATTGTGTAATG